ATGTCTTAAAGTGTAAGGATCATTTGTTTCTCTGCAGGTGCTGTCGCACTGGAAGCCTTTGGAAACCGTGTCGTGTGTGCTGACTGGGTGGTGTGTTTAAGAACACAGTGGGGCAGGGCCAGGACCAAGTACACAGTCAAGCTGAGTCTTGTATTGTCAAGTACAAGACTGGCTGGCACAGTCCGTGAGGTCTTTTGGCTATCACGGGTGCACTTTATTTCATCCAGTCCTTCTCTAATAGCTCTCTGCTGCTTAGCTATTCGCCAAGGTAAAAATAGAGGGCTATAAGGAAGGGGAAATTCCAGAACACATTGGCTTCTATTCACAAAAGAGGTGGCAGAGGGTTGTGGCTGGGATTTTCAGGGCAGTGATAAGATTGTGCCCTAGAAGTGTGAATTTCTGGAGACCCTGGGAGGCCCGATCCCCCTGCAGACCCTTCTTCGGAGGCTGGTCAACAGCCAGCATGCCCACCCAGCATCCAGCCAGAGGTCAGGAAGCATCGCCAGCCACGCCAGGTGGGGGAGCAGAAGACGCTGAAGTCCACCGTCTGCCCTTCATTCCGGCTGGTGTCAGGTCACAGGCAGCTGGATCCGGTTACCCAGCCCAGGACATTCAGTTTCATTGAGAAGCCCTCTCCCTTCTGTTTCCTTGTGCCGCAGACGATTTACATGGACGATGGAGTGTCATCTTTTGTCCAGATCAGAGGCTCGGTTCCACTGTTTTGGGAGCAGCCAGGGCTTCAGGTAGGTCATGAAAAATCTTAAATGTCCCCTTGTGACGTTGTCCGCCCTGCCGTTCCCTTCAGCAGCTGCAGAATGTTTCTTTTGACGTGTTCCTTTCGTCGCATTATTTCTAGTCTTTTTCCTCAGCCCTGATGTGTTGAGCTGAGCTGTTGAAGTATGTACACGTGTGTGGGGTGTGTGTGTGTGTGTGTGCACGTGTGTGTGGAAAACACAGACACCCCTTTGTTTCTGGTGGGCAAGCGTGCTGTGTGAAGCCGTCAACTCGAGCGAGTGAAGCCTGCTGGGTGAGTCCCACGAAGTGTGTGCCTGGCTAGCGCTGCCGGAGGTGAGACCCGGAGTCTGGTGCACTGAGGCCGTTTCTGAGAGCGGTGACTCTCGTAGAGGGCTTCAGGCAGGCTCTGTGGCTGCGTAGATCTGGCACCCGCTGCCGCCTGTCAAGAGGCCACGCGAGACGTGCGCAGCCTTCCCGTGATTTCTAAAAATAGCCCTTGCCATCCAAAGCAGGGCTCCGGTCAGTGCCAGACAGATTTGGCATTCTTTCTCCTGGGAAGAGCTCAGGCTAGGGATGCGTTCCAAGAACACATTGGTCGTCAATGGAATGACGTGCTGCCTCCTTCACCAGGGTCTTTAACAAGGTGGGTTATGGGCCAAGTGGACTGGACGGTCTTCCCCAGTCATCTCCAGTCTCCTCCCTGTCCTGAGGGGACGTGGATGCGGGGCCTTTGTCGCCTCTCGGCTCTTCTTACTGACAGCTCTCGTGTGACTGCCTTTGGGTTGCCAGCCAGTGGCTACCAGGGCCCAGAGTGCCATCTGCCAGGTTCCAGGGAGTGTTTGACATCGCTGGACTCAGGGTCCCCAGTCTTGGGTTCAGCTTCTTGACTTTACCCTGTGCCAGGAGCAGGTGAGTCACTTGACCCCATGGCTGTTGGCATGCTGCACTGACAGCATTGGCGAAGTACCTGGTCAGCCTGGGCACTGAGATGGATGAATGGAGGTCTCGTTTAGGCTCCACGCTCTGGTGGAGAGAAAAGGCTTCATTAATTTTCAGTCTTTCCACTAGAAAGAGACCACCACGCTACCCGAGATAACTGGTGGCCTCTAGAGAAACGCTCCCAAGGACAGTTGTGACGTAGAAACTCCTCCGGATGACTGCCCAGAGGAGGTTTCGGGAAAAACAGCTTTATTGTCTTCTAAGTTACACACCCATTTAAAGCTTACAACTTGGTACTTTCACCGCATTTACAGAGTTGTGTAAACACCACTGTAATCTAAGAGCACTTTGATCACCACTAAAAAACTGTCCTCATTAGCGGTCTCTCCCATGCCCTCCAGGTCTCCCTCGGGCCACCTCAGCAGTTCATCTGCTTTCTTTACCTGTAGATTTCCCATTCCAGACATTCCAAAAGGGTTTTCAAAACTTGATTTTCTTTAAAAGTGGAGTGTTCCTTGGGAAACGTCTTGAGCTCTGTCTTCAGGAGAATGAAAGAATTGATCGGATGAATATGGCACAGAAAGGAGACAGGGAGACTGTGCTGTGTCTCATGTAAAGTTGGTAAGAAATCCAGACGTTAGGGGCACGGTCGTGATGGATTCTTAGGATTTGGGAAGGACCCTCTGAAATTCATCCAGTCCACACTCTAACTCTCAGTACAGAGGTTGCTTTTGTTTTTGTTTTTTTTAGACAGAGTCTCGCTCTGTCACCCAAGCTGGAGTGCAGTGGTGTGATCTTGGCTCACCGCAACCTGCACCTCCCAGGTTCAAGCCATTCTCCTCCCTCAGCACCCCAAGTGGCTGAGACTACAGGTGCTCACCACCATGCCTGGCTAATTTTGTTGTATTTTTAGTAGAGATGAGGTTTTGCCACGTTAGCCAGGCTGGTCTCAAACTCCGGACCTCATGTGATCCACCTGCCTCAGCCTCCCAAAGTGCTGGGATGCCAGGCATGACCACCACACCCAGCCAGTTCAGGGGTCCTTCCTCCAGACCACGACTGGTTCCAACTCTTGGCAAGTCCGTCCTGTATTGCGCCACTGTGTCTGTCCGACTCTAAGTGTTTCAGGTACGCAGGAGCAAGTCTGATTCTTCTCCGTGTGACTTGCCCTCGGCCCTGGGAGGCTGTCTCCTCCTGAATCTTTGCTAAGGCCTCCCAACTCCTTTGGCTGCCTTCTGTCCTGTTTCTAAGACTCTTGGTGTTCTCATCTCCCTCATCTAAAAACACCACGCCTTTCTGCCATTCCCCTCTGGGATTTCATTTCAGTCTCCACCTTGACCTCCGTGCTGCCTCAGGTGCAGCCTGGCCCTCCGTGGGATAACTGTGCCTCAGTCCGTCAGAGGCCAGGAGCAGTGGACCCCGAGGCCTCAGCTTTTTGGCAGCTGTTTCACCCCCTTAAATGCCTAACACTCGTGCTGTGCCAGAGCCTCCATGGTTCTCCCTCCCTCCCTCCCTCCCCCCCCCTTTTTTTTTTTTTTTTTCTTTTTTGAAACAGTCTCATGCTGTCACCCCACACCCAGGCTGGAGTGCAATGGTGTGCTCTCGGCTCACTGCAACCTCCGCCTCCCGGGTTCAAGTGATTCTCCTGCCTCAGCCTCACAAGTAGCTGGGACTACAGGTACCCACCACCATTGCCGGCTAATTTTTTGTGTGTTTTTGGTAGAGACTGTGTTTCATCACGTTGGCCAGGATGGTTTTGAACTCCTGACCTCAAGTAAGCCACCTGCCTCGGTCTCCCAGAGTGCTAGGATTACAGACATGAGCCACCGCGCCTGGCCTCCATGGTTTCTTCAAAACAAGTTGCAGAAGGCTTTAGTGTTCCTTTTATCTTACTAAGGACTTGCTAACCTTTGGGCCTAATACCCGTGTTTAGCCTCTAAATACCACTCTTCGTGAAAGAGAGACTAAGTCACCTTCAGAGGAGGCCAGGAGGGCAGGGAAGTGGCCGGCCACCCTCACCGGCTTGAACTGTCACTGTCAAGCCCAAGGTCGCTTCTGGTTATTTTTCTCCACTTTGAGCTTTTTCTCTTCCTCCTTTACTTAGGTTAGATGAAAAGTGCAAAGATTCTGGAGGAGAAGCTTGTACATTAGGTTGCAATGCGATCCCTTCTTGGTGGCTGCCGTTGGAGACCCAGAGCCCAACAGGATAGGGCAGAGGGCAGTGGGTGAGGATTTTTCTGCGTGTTTTCCTGGGAACGGTGCCTTCAGTACTTCCTGACTCCATTTCTAGCAGCCGTGTACCTTTAATAAATTTCATTTTTACTGTGTAAATGGGTTGTGCAGTTTATAAATAGCCACACTGAGATTTCACCCTTCAAGCGAATTCCTCCCTCGTCTAGCTGGTTAGAGAATCTATTTATGATCTGTGTCTGTGGCTGACAACTTTGCTCCCCTGGTCATTGTAGAATCTTCCTCCCCTTAAGAGGGCTGTACAGACACGTGCCTTGCCAAGGTAAGTCCAGTCTCTGTTTTGAAGTTTCCTGCAACTGAACCAAACCGAGGACGATGCTGAGTAGAACAGACCCCTCTTGTCCCGTCGTCCCTCTTCCCCGCTGGAAACCATTCGCCAAGTTCGTGGATGCATGGTTTCGGCATGGGCACTTTGGTGTGTACCTTTGTTTGTTCCAAAAAAGACATGAGATGGATGGCTTGTAGTAGTAACAGTTTCAAAAATCAGTGAAGAGGTTAGGGTGAAGGGAAACAGTGGAATTGGTGCCCACAGTGCGTGCCGTAGGTCCTGTGCATGCGGGAAGGAAGCTGACACTTGTTCCAAGTGTCCCCACAGCCACCGCAGAAAGAACCGCACTCACAGCCAGTGTATGAAAGTGACGAGCTTTGAAGCTATGCAGACCTGGGCTCAAATTCAAACTCTGGCTCCCCCACTTCGTGACCATGAGAGGATCTTATCTGTGCCAAGCCTTAGTTTGCTTTTCTGTAAAATGGGGCTAACAATACCTACCTTATAGGAGTTCTAGAGAGGATTAATGAGCATAATATAAGAATTTGGCTTGGCACAGCGGCTCACGCCTATAATCCCAGCACTTCGGGCGGCCGAGGTGGATGGATCACTTGAAGTCAGGAGTTTAAGATGAGCCTGGCCAACATGGTGAAACCCTATCTCTCCTAAAAAAGCAAAAATTAGCCAGGCATGATGGCAGGTTCCTGTAATCCCAGTAACTCAGGAGGCTGAGGCAGGAGAATCACTTGAACCTGGGAGGTGGAGTTTGCAGTGAGCTGAGATCACACCACTCTGCACTCTAGCCTGGGCAACAGAGTAAGACTCTGTCAAAAAAATTAAAAAAAATAAGAATTTAACACAGTATCTAGAACCTAAAAAGTGCTCAAAATGGCAGCTGATATTGATACTAATAGAAACAAATGATGACACCCAGGAGATAAAGCCACCGGCGGCCTCAGAGAAGTATGGCTTTTGGTGTCCTGAGCACTGAATGGGAATTTCCTCCTGTCTTCGCCGGGACGCCGTGACATGTGATGATGTGAAGACAGCTTCCTGGGGTGTCTTATCTGTCATCCCTCACAGACTCCTGGTAAATCAGTGACTCCAGCTGAAGCCATTTATTCACCCCAGCCGTTCACTGAGCATCTCCCAGGTGTATGGGGCACGGGGGATCAGATACAGTCCCTGCCTTCAAGGAGCAGGGGCCAGGACATGGCAGTGTTGTGTGGATACAGCCGTGCTGGAGGAAGGCAGGGACCCCAGGGCAGCTCTCCCAGGCTGAGGGTGTTATGGGGGGCTGCCCAAGGGTCCAGACGGCGGAGGATGAGGAAGATGCACTCGAGCAAGGAAGGCAGCCCTTGCAGAGGGAACTGTGGGTGCAGATATTGTAACCCCTGGGATCACAGAGATCCAGGGAGTGTCTCTGGATAGCTTCTTGGAGTCCTGGGCATGAGGGAATGGGAGGACAGATGGGAGAGGTGAGCAGGGCCCGGTCAAGGCCCTGTGGACGCTACACTGAGGAGTCTACATCCCATAATACCAGCTACTCAGGCAGTACTCCCCAACCTTGCTGCTCAGAAGACTCCCCTGGGGAGCTTTAAAAATCCTGATGCCCAGGTTGATACTATACAGATTAAGTCACAATATCTGGGGCCAGGAGCCAGGCAGCTGTCCTTTTTGAAGACCCGTAGGTGACTCCAGTGTGCATGCAGGAAAGTATGGGAACCTCTCAGAGCTGTGCTGGCAGAGCAGTTTTACTGGGGTCAGACCAGGTACAGGGAGCTCTGGTTGTGGCCTTTGTCCATTGCTGTGGTGTAAGTTTTCCCATCGTGGCCACTTTGAGCCTAGCAGCTCCACGTCACTGAGCTCAGAGTCAGGACAGGCTGGGTACACAGCCGGCTTGCACACCTGCAGGAGCTGGCTCCAGCACACGCCGGGCTCTGGCTAAAGGACTGCCTGATGGAGACACGATTAGACAGAAGTCTAGAAAGCGTTCGTTTGGAGGGGAAAGACACCAGATGGGAGGCTGCTGAACTGAGATTTTCGGGCAGCCTTAAGCAAGGTAGGAGTGGTGGGGTGTAGGGGAAAGGTGTGAGGTGCTGTCTGCGGTCCTCGGGCCTCCTGACTGCTGATGGAGAGACCGCTGCGCTTCCCGCAGCCTGGAGTTCTCCAGACCCTGACTGTCCTAATGGCTGTCTCCCTAAACTCAGCCCGTGGGCTATAGGATTGAACTAATGAGTTTAGGGACCAGATAAGAGTAACTGACCCTTTGCTCAGAGGGGAGGAGGATGGGGTAGAGGAGAAGGGAAGCTACACAATGCAGCCACAGTGGTGGCCCCTGCCCCCACCTGCAGCTCGTTCCTGTGGCTTCTGACGCTCATTGACCTCAGGATTAGGTGACTCCAGAGAAGGTAGATGCTGGTCATTGTCAGAGTAGGACAGAAGGGAGGAAGCCTATGAGGCCTAGGAACCCAGACAAAAAGGATGCTTCCCGGAGGGTGAGCTCCAGGGAGAACAGGAGGCCCCAGCTCCCTCCGCTTTTGCCCGAGGCCTCCCTGTGCTGCCTTTCCGCTTGCTTAGAAGAAGTGACTTTGGGTTATGACTCAGGGAGAGTCAGTTAGACAAGCCCAGTCACAGAACTTGTTTAAGGGATGGAGGGACCCAGCCTGAGGCCCAAGGAAGCAGCTGTGACAAGCTGGGCCTGGTCAGGGTGTCCCTGAGGCACTGTAGGTGAGGACTTGCCTCTGCTGGTAGGCATACAGCCCTGCAGGTGTAGAGACAGCTCTGCAGGTGTAGACACAGCCCTGCAGGGGTAGACACAGCTCTGCAGGTGTGCACACAGCTCTGCAGGTGTGCACACAGATCTGCAGGTGTAGCGACAGCTCTGCAGGTGTGCACACAGCTCTGCAGGTGTAGAGACAGCTCTGCAGGTGTAGACACAGCCCTGCAGGGGTAGACAGCTCTGCAGGTATAGAGACAGCTCTGCAGGTGTAGACACAGCTCTGCAGGTGTGCACACAGCTCTGCAGGTGTAGACACAGCTCTGCAGGGTGGACACAGCTCTGCAGGTGTGCACACAGCTCTGCAGATGTAGACACAGCTCTGCAGCTGTGCACACAACTCTGCAGGTGTAGACACAGCTCTGCAGATGTAGACACAGCTCTGTAGGTGTGCACACAGCTCTGCAGGTGTGCACACAACTCTGCAGGTGTGCACACAACTGCAGGTGTAGACACAGCTCTGCAGGTGTGCACACAGCTCTGCAGGTGTGCACATAGCTCTGCAAGTGTGGACACAGCTCTGCAGGTGTAGACATAGCTCTGTACGTGTGCACACGGTCCCTGGAGCTGTCTTCCCTGCTGTACCTTCCACCCCCTTCATGGGCATTTGCAACCTGAGCCAAAGGGGAATGTAACAAGTCCAGAAATAAGTCAAAACCAGAGCCACTCAAACTTCAGTGTGTGTGCATAGGCATCGCCTATTGGGCTTGTTAAAACACAGATTCCTGGTCCCACCCCTGGAGAGTCTGGCTCAGCAGATGGGGGATGGGCCCAGGACTGCATTTCTAACAAGCACCCAGAAGAGGTCCAGCCATCACACTCTGAGAACCACTGGTCTAGACTTACAGGTCCGTTCTGCCCATTCCCTGCTCTGCTCACTCACCTAGGGGTGGTGCCCCTGACTTCTTAGTACTCCCAGGTAGAAAGGTTTGTTGTCAGCAGTGACATCGGACTAGCCACTGCGGGGGGAATTGACCATGCCTGTGACAGCAGGACCCAGCCCTGTCCACATGGAATGGTTGCCTAAGTCCAGGACAAAAGACAAGCCGGAGGCCTCGGAAGAGATGTGCTGCAGCCCCTGTCCCGGCGGTGCCCTTCTGCGGTGGGCGGCTGCTTCCAGGGCTTGCCATCTGTTTGCCACGTTTCCTGAGTCCTCGCCGACATGATTGAAGGAGCCACATCACCGGCAGGTGCCTCATTTCACCCTGTTATGCCTCCTGCTCCCCATACGCAAGGGCGCAGTTTCTGTCAAACTGATTTGCACTCGTGCAGACTTGTTAGAAACTGCTTCTGGGTCTTTCCATGGAGGGTCCTGGTTGGGTGTAATCACCCAGGGCAGGGGATTCAGCGTCTCCCATCTCTTTCCTGCCTTTCCACGATACATAATGGCGTGTTGATTCGGAGGGCGCTCAGTAACTGAGGGATGGACTGCTGACTGATAATGCAGTGTATATGTTAACAGGGGAGCTACAGAGCCTGGGGATTGGAGACGGCTAGGTCCAGCCATCTGTGCAGCCATTTCCACCTGATTAAAAGAAGAGGCTTTGGGTTATGACTCGGAGAGAGAGTTAGACGCGTCCAGTAATAGAACTCGTCATGATGGAGACCCAGGCTCCTCAGCCCTGGCCTGCTGAGCTTGTATTCTCTTCTTACTGTGCTCCCATGGGAATGATCCTATAAGCAGCTGCCGCTCATCCCTGAAGCCAGGACAGATTTCTTGTGATGACTGACAACCAGCCAGCAGGTAGCCAGTCTCTTGGGTTTCAGCCCTTGGTGACCTGTCAGGGTGGCTGAGAGGTCACAGACCTGCTGACTTCCTTCAGGGTGCAGGATGGAGCAGCCTTCTCAGGGGTGCAGGGCCGTGAAAGTTTTCAAATGATCTGAGATGTCCTCAGCCCGGTGTTGATGGCCATCAGGGAAAAGGAGGACAGGCAACAGGCAGCAAAATGACGGAGTCTAGGGTGAGCCTTTCCTAGGAGCTCCCATTAGCTGACCGCCAGGATGCCTTGTTTTTGCACTCACTTGGCTTGTGACCAAAGTGTCTTAGGACTGAAAAGGATTTGGGACTTTGCTGAACTGTTTATACAGAAAAACCTGACTGGGCACAATGGCTCATGACTGTAATCTCAGTACTTTGAGAGGCTGAGGTGGGCAGATTGCTTGAGTCTGGGAGTTCAAGACCAACCTGGGCAACATGGTAAAACCCTATCTCTACAAAAAATTTAAAAAACAAATAAGCAGGTGTTGTGGTGTACACTTGTAGTCCCAGCTACTTGGGAGGCTGGTGGGAAGATCATTTGAATGTGAGAGGCTGAGGCTGCAGTGAGCTGTGATTGCATCACTGCACTCCAGCCTGGGCAACAGAGTAAAACCCTGTCTCACAAAAAAAAAAAAAAAAAAAAAAAGAAAGAAGAAAAGGAAACCTTCTCCAAAGAATCTTTACATCTATTGCTGAGAAACCAGTTCTCTAGGCGTGTGCTTTTCTTGAGTCTGAGGTGGGCAGTTGTATCACCCGTAGTGTTGAGAGTTATAAAATAATACACGAAGGATGGTAATAGCCACATCTCATAACATAGATAAATCTAATTACATTACTTTTACAACACTCAAACAGAAGCAAAACTGAAGAGTGCATTTTTAACAATTTATTCTTGAAATAATTTCAGACCTACAGAGTTTAAGAACAAAAGAGGGAGTTCCCATATGTCTTTCACTCAGATTCACTAAATCTTAACCTTTTGCCACACACACATTATTTTTTGAGCCGTTTGAGAGTAGGTTGTATATATCACATTTGTGTTAGTCCATTTGCCTTGCTGTAAAGGAATACCTGAGGCTGGGTAATTTATAAAGAAAAGAGGTTTATTTGGCTCATGGTTCTGCAGGCTGTACAGGAAGCATGGTGCCAGCATGTGTTTCTGGGGAGGGCCTCAGGAAGCTTACAGTCAGGGTGGAAGAAGAAGGGGAGCCAGTGTGTCATATGGTGAGAGAGGGAGCGAGGAGAGGGAGGTTACAGGCTCCTTTCAACAACCAGCTCTCCTATGAATTAGTGAGAACTCATTCATCACCATGGGGTTGTCACCAAGCCATTCATGACAGATCAGCCCATATGACCCAAACACCTCCTGCCAGGCCCCACTCCAACACTGGAGATTTGGAAGGGACACACGTCCAAACCACATCAATGTCTCTTAAGTGCAAAATACACTCTCTTACATCACCATAGTATAAATTTCACATTTGGGAGATTTAACAGTGGCAAATACGTCAATCTCATCTGCAGGCAATATTCCACATGTATCAGTTGTCCCAACGACGGTTGAAGCACCTTTCCCCCCTTGAGTCCAGCATCACATACTGCATTTGCTTGTCATGTCTCTAGTCTTTTAACCTATGTCTGTTCCTTGGCTTTCTGTCTTTCAAAACACTGATGTTTTGGAGAATGCAAGTCTTCTTTTCCTTTAAATTGAGGGTCCCTCCCTTTAGATTTTCCTGTGTTTCATTATGAGCACATTCAGTGTACGGATGCCTGGCCAGAATGCTACCTACATGACGCTATGTCCTTCATAGGGTACCAGAGCTGGAGGCACATTGCGTCCATCTGCCCCTCACTGGTGACGTTGACTTTGGTCACCTAGTCAAGGTCCTACTCAGTTTCTCCACTTATGGTTAATGATTTCCCTTTCTACTAATCAGCAATCTATGGGAGATACTTTGAGACCATGCTGGTATCCTGCTTCTCGTTAAACTTTCCCTTAAGATTTATCATCAGCAGGTAACTTTTGCTGAACAGTTATTTACTATGACAGTTGTAAAATGATGATTTTTAAAATGATTTCCTCCAAATTTATCACTTCGTATTTTACTGTACAGCTCTCTTCTTCCCCATTCACCCACCTACACACCTACCCACCTGCACACTGATTCACCCATCTGTCACCCATTCACCCATCCATTCATCCATCTATTCATCCACCCATCCACCCACCCATCTACTCACTCATCTACCCATCCACCCACCCCTCTACTCACTCATCCACCCATCCACCCACCTACCCACCTATCCAGCCACTTGTCCACAGCCAGTCATCCACCCATCCAGCAATCCAGCCAGCCATCCACCCAGCCATCCATCCACTCACTCACCCACTTACCCATCCATTCATCTTTATTCTACTCATTCACCCACCCATCCATTCATCCTCACATCCACCCACCTGTCCATCTACTGAGGCATCCACTCATCCATCCATCCACCCACCCATCCATCCACCTAGTATCCATCCATCCATGTACCTATCCATCTATCCCCCATCCATCCACCCAGTATCCATCAATTCAGCCATCCACCCATTCATCTATCCATCCATTCACCCACCCACCTATCCATCCACCCATCTACCCATCCACTCAGCTATCCATCCATCCATCCATCCATCTACCCACCCACCCACCCATCCGTCCACTCAGCTATTCATTCATCCATCCACCCATCTGTTCATTTATTCATCCATCAACCCACCCATCCACCCACCCATCTACCCATTCATCCATCCAGTTATCATTAGTATAGATTCATGGATTTCTATTTTATTCACCAGGTTATAATCCATTACTATCCTCATATAGTTTGATGTTCAGATTATCCCAGACTTGGCCAGTGAAAGCCCCTTTAAGCTGGCTCCAGTGACAATATGTATTTTAAATGTTTTTTTTTTTAAGTTGAGTATTAAATAGTTATATTAATAAATAATAAGGTAAATTTGATCATTAGGATGACTCAGATTTTAGGGGGAAACTGATGTCCCTGAAGGCATAAAGGAGGCTGAGAAGCAGTTTCTGTCTCCCTAGTTGGCTTCACTGACCTCTGTGCTATCAGAGAGCTTAGGATCCGGTATCTACCTCATAATCTTACATTGGAACTGCTGTCTGTGGAAGAATTGCACCAGACGTGGTCATGTTACAGTTAGGACTAAGCAGCAGCAAAGCCAGACTTGAGGCTCCTAGACCTGAATTTGGAGCACTGTTAGCTGAATCCAGAGAGCTCAGCCTTCCTGAGCCCTGACAGGGCTGCAGAGGTGGCCTGGTGGCTGCAGGGGAAGGAGAATGGGAAAAACCACTGCCTCCTCGGTTTGCAGAGCAGGAAGAATCACTATCGTTACTTCTCTTTGCTTTAGGTTGGCTCCCATCATCTGAGACTCCACAGAGGCCTGGAAGCCAACGCCCCTGCTTTTGACAGGTAAGGATTGTCTGACACCATCCAAGCCTGTCATTGTCATTCTCAGACGTCTTCTTCCCATCAGACACCAGGGATAGGGTGTGACAGGATGAGGAGGACCCTGAACCCTGAATCTAAATATGCTTTCACTTTGGTCCTTTATGCAAGAAGGGAGATTACAAAATGGGATTTTTACTTGTTCTCAGGTCTCCCGAAGGTAAATTAAGGAATGTTCAGGTGGCACTTTCTAATTATTTTATCTTATCAGCTTCTTGCAATGAGGATTCATCTCTTTGCCCTGGTTAATAAGGGATAATCTAAATTAAAGGATATTTGAAGCTGTTTGGTTTTGGTTTTAAAATAATATAGAATAAATATAGAATTATTTAAAAATAATATATAATATAAAATAATATATTATTTTAAAATAATATAGAATGAATAAGTATAGAAAAGTATAAAGTGAAAAATAAAAATACCCTAAATCCCAGCAGTTACCACTCTCAGCGATTTTGCTACTGGTAGGTTTTTACATGTCATTCTAGAAAACAATGGTGGCACTATACATACATATATATATACAGAAATTGGATCATAGCACATCTCCTATTTATTTATTTATTTATTTATTTATTTTTAATTTTTATTTTTTGAGATGGAGTTTAGCTCTTGTTACCCAGGCTGGAGTGCAATGGCGCGATCTCGGCTCACCGCAACCTCCGCCTCCTGGGTTCAGGCAATTCTCCTGCCTCAGCCTCCTGAGTAGCTGGGATTACAGGCACGCGCCACCATGCCCAGCTAATGTTTTGTATTTTTAGTAGAGACGGGATTTCACCATGTTGACCAGGATGGTCTCGATCTCTTGACCTCGTGATCCACCCGCCTCGGCCTCCCAAAGTGCTGGGATTACAGGCTTGAGCCACTGTGCCCGGCCCACATCTCCTATTTTTTAGCTTAAGAAAAGCTGAACTATTTGTAATATGTATTTGAAATAATAGCTTCTTAAAATATTTGCTTATTTACTCTAAATACTCAATATTTAAGAATTGTCTTAGTGAATGTAATTACAGTTCTCAAAAGTAATGTTTTAAGTGTTTGAATCATTCTACCTGAATCTTCATTGAGACTTTACATTTGCTTGCATCCTCTTATTAAACATACCACTAGTCACATGAGCCCAGCTGTGACCCCCTGATTAGCATGTTACATATAAGGGGCTTTTTCTGTAAAGAGATATCCAATCAAGTATAGACAAGGCCACTGCCTTTTCCAGAACATTATTAGTGTGTCCTAAGCATTCTACACATGAAGTTCTTTTAGTTGACATTGATCTACACTAAATGATCTTAGGAAATAGTAAACATGAAACTGAAAAAGAAATTCTACCTGGCTGGACTCGGTGGCTCACATCTGTAATCCCAGCACTTTGGGAGGCTGAGGAGGGTGGATCACTTGAGGTCAGGGGTACAAGAACAGCCTGGCTCACATGGCGAAACTCCATCTCTACGAAAAATATAAAACTTAGCCGGGCATGGCGGTGCATGCTTATAATCGCAGCTACTTGGTAGGCTGAGGTGGAAGGATTGGTTGAACTCAAGAAGCGGAGGTTGCAGTGAGCCAAGATCATGCCACTGCACTTCAGCCTGAGTGACAGCGAGGCTCCATCTCAAAACAAAACAAAACAAAAGAAAATTCTACCAGAAGCTGACCCAAAACAAAAGGAAAAGTCATGCTGGGTTTGCTTCAAAAATCTTCCTATGTTTAGGAGCTTGCTAAAAAAAAATACATATATCTAGCTGAAGCATGTTTGCATAGGCGGAAGATTTTTCAGCATCCTGGTAATGCAAGGTGTGTGAGATGCGCATACCTGAGAGACTAAGACCTCTCTCTTCTCACAAGTACCCCAGAGGCTGCCTGCCCCCTTGGAAAGCATCCCTAAATCCAGGGGTACACTCAGATCTCTTCTGCAAATCACAGGACAAGCTGCTGAGAGGGTGAGTCTTTCTCCAGGCAGCTACTGTGTCCGAGAAGTCTCTTCTGTAATGCTTCTTCCCACAACACTGGCTAGAGGCAGGAGCCCTCCGGTTCCCTGGCAGGAGCTGCCGCTTTCATGTTAATTGCTGACTATGTTCCCCTCATTTGAGACAACGTGTGGAAATAAGGTGACATGTCTGTCTAGTGGCCGCAGTGGGGCACCGTGAGGGTTCCCCTGAGAGCAAGCTGCCAGGTCCCCGATGACGTCCCTGGACTGGCATTTTCGCCGTCCTGGGCACTTCCCAATTCTCTTCTCTTGGACATCACTGCACTCTCAAGAGTCTTTCAGTTCTTTGATGGATTTGATTGAGAATAAATCCCTTCTTTCCCCCGCAAAACCTTCGTGCGGATAGTTTTTCTCCCCAGAGGATGCTTGTTTTCCTTGCCCGTGCTGCCTGGGTACTGAGAGTAGCCGGGGCCGTCTTTCGTCACTTTGCTCTGTGTGCTCCATATCTGAGGAGGGCTGTTTGGAGCAGGCCTTTGGCTGCAGCTGCCAGAGCAGGGTCCTGTCATCTCCGTGTGGTGATGAGTCTCGGTAGAAGGGTTAACCTTTCACGGGATGGTGCCTGAGGCTGCCCTCGCGGAACAGAGAAGCTCTTTCCCCGCTCCGCTCTGCGGGCGGCCGCTGTGCGCGTCAGCGTATGTCGAACGCTAGATCCCTCCCTGAAGATGAGAAGGATGCTTCCAAATGGAAATCTGATTCCTCAGTGTCCTGAAAAATACCGTTTTTCAAGTAGCTTCCCATGACAGTAACCCTTGAGCAGGGGAAGTGGGGAAAAAAAAAAAAAAAAAAAAAAAGGCCCCCGTGCTCAGAGTGACCCAGCAAGAAGCCTGCAGTCACCGACCCTGGGTCAGCAAGGCCTTTCAGCTCACCAATAATGAGTGTGTTTACGATACAGGGAAGGAAAGAAGAACCCGCTCCCACACGCCAAGCACTGTCCTTGTCACTTTCACTGTCTTTCTAGTCCTCCAGCCGTTCTCTGCAGGAGGGGGAGCAGCCCTGCTCTGCAGATGAAGGAGCCAGCTCAGAGGGGAGGAAGTACGTCATCAGGGGAGTTTGGGGGTGGGGACAGCATAGAGTAATGATGAGGAATCATGAGTAATAATGAATAATAGCGGTTTTCTTCTGGCCCTGGGCTTTGGAACCAGTTGAGAAGAAGGGGCAGGGATGAGACAGACAGAGATCAGAAATGGGCCTTTTCTGATGGGCCACACTGTGGGACGTGGCTTGGATGTGTGGCCACAGTGGGTTCTCTCACCAGGGGCAGAGCCTGTGTGTGTGAGAGCCAGGCCTGGGATGCACCTTCTCTGGGCAGACAGACCCAAAAGAAAGCCCACAAGGGCTGGGTCACACACAGTCACGCCCCAGTAGGGGCCCAGACCTCCACATGGAGATGGGAGCCCGGGCGGGGGTGGGAAAGGGCTCACCCTTAACTTAGACCAGCGAATCGGCAGACGAGCCTAACTTGAAACTACCCACTTCCAAATCCATATTCTTTCTACTACTCTCCTCTAAAGTTAGTAAGAGAATGTTTTCTCTTACTGGGTTAAAAAAAAAAGATTTTTTTCATGATCATTTAGCTCTTTACAAAATTCCACTCATAAAAGAAACGTCATTATAGAAATTTGGGAAGGAGAAAGATGTGTACAGAAGAAAAGAACTTAAATCACATAAAATGCCACCACTTTTGACGTCATGTGTTTTCTTCGTCTTTTTCCTATATTTCGGCATAAAGATTGCACCGTTCAATGATAATTTGACACTGCTTTTTGCATCGTATCGCTTCCCTGTTTTGTTTAAGGCGCTACATTTCAACATGTTTCACACTGAGCTTGTAAGGTTACTTTAAAATAGCTGGTAATCAAGGACAAATGTTGGAATCGCTCCCGAATATTTCAACACACATATTTAGAAAGTCGCGTCTAATACAAGGACTAGTTTCCCAAAGCCTGCAAGTTCTGTTGCATCTCCTTGCTGTGGTTTAGCATCATGAAATACAGCACTTAGGTGGAGAACAGGATGCTGAGTTGAGAGGTCTCCTGCCAGTTTTTCTAGTTTTGAGAAGGATGGGTACCAATCAAGAGAAGAGATTCATTTCAGACGTGCACATTGCATGTATAAGACTAGGCCAGGCGTGGTGGCTCATGCCTGCAATCCCAACACTTGAAGAGGCTGAGGTGGGAGGATTGCTTGAAGCCAGGAGTTCAAGACCAGCCTGGGCAACATAGCAAGACCCTGTCTCTATGAAAACTAAGTAAAAATTAGCCAGATGTGGTGGCATGCACCTGTAGTCCCTGCTACTCAAGAGGCTGAGGTGGAAGGATTGCTTGAGCTCAGGAGTTTGAGGCAACAGTGAGCTATGATCGTCTGCCTGCACTCTAGCCTGGACAACAGAGTGAGAGCCTGTCTCAAAAGCAAAACTCTGTTGATGAAAGGTCAGGTTAGGTGTTCTAGATTTAATGGGAGGTGGTTTATAGACGGTCCGGGATATTGTTTGATTCCAAACTCATGTAGCAGTCTACACTAGCTGGTGGTAACGGCAGCTGGGAGGGACAGGTTTGCTCCCCCCCGGCTCACTTTCTACGCTTTGGGTCATGGCAGATAACTGGCGCTGGGCTCTAGCACTGAGAAAGCATGACCTCTTCTGCCCCTTCTTCCCTTGAGGGGCAGAACAGGGCAGTGTCTGGACCTGTGCCTGTGCCCAGCCTCACTCCCGCCCGCTGCCTTTGCAGGCACATGGTGCTTCTGAAGGAGCAGTACGGGCAGCAGGTGGTCGTGAACCTTCTGGGAAGCAGAGGCGGAGAGGAGGTGCTCAACAGAGCCTTCAAGGTAAGGCCAGGCTGCCCCCGTCACAGCTGGGCCGAGCTGGACGGGGCGACAGATGGCTGTGGTGAGGCCTTGAGTCTAGAGGAGGCTCCTGCAGGGACTGGAGCTGCCAGCCCAGCCCTCCTTTGTTTTCCGAGGCTTCCCCAGCGTTCCAACCACTGAACAGGCAGTGCTCGGTGATTCGGGCCCCTGATACAGTGAGTGTAATTTCTATGAGCTGATGGTTGGGAGAATTTGCTCAAAGTCAAAACAGCATCTCCTGACCCAGTCGTGTGTCCCCTGGCCTCCCCATGGGACTTCTAGGGATTCTGACTTCTTGAGGAGTCACCCTCAGTCCAGCCCAGGAGCAGGCAGGCCTCCCCTCTGCCCGGGCTGGTCCTGGGTGAGTTCCCCCAATCCCACAGGGCACTGGCCTCAGGGCTCAGGCAGGGCAGCAGCTTCCGTGGCTTCCCCCTGCTTGCCGGCCAGCCTTCAAATTTTCCCCTCTTCCTTGGGCTCCCATGGGAGCTTCTGGACTTGCTCCTGCTGGTCTCTGAGGGCTCCCTCAGGCTCCCTGGGGCTTTTCCTGGCAATCCTGGACAGAGATCCTGGACAGGGTCACGGAGCTGCGGGAGGTGGGGGGAGCAAGAGACGCCACCTGCCTGGCCAGGAGCTGTCCCAGTGCACGGATCCCAGGCCTCCAGCCCCCGCTCCCTTCTCCCCAGGCGCAAGACATTCCAGAATGAGCGGCGGGGGTTCCCGGTTCCTTTACCAGCCTCCAGGTCCCCTGCCTAATAGAAGAAAACTGTCTGGTTGTTTGAAGCTCAAGGCTACCCCTTAGAGAGAGCGCGCGAAGTGGCCTCTGGGGCTGAGGGCGATCTCTGAGCCTTTCCCTCTGCTTAGAAATGCCACATGCTCGTGCTTGGAGCAGGCACTTCCTGGTTTGCCAATTTTATTTGGCCAGACCTGCTTTTCCTCTTTGGTTTGTTGCTATTAGCAACAAGCTCCAGCAGTGTGTCCCTTCCCACCCATCTTGGCAGTGATGCGGGCTGCTAATTTGAAGGACGAAGGGGGAAAAAAAAAGCCAAAAAATAAAAATAAGAATAGTAAGAACTCCAACTCTTTTTCCCCTAGGCCTTGAGTTGTGGCCCCTCCCACCAGTGGGTGAAGTGAGGGCAGGAGATGGCAGCCGCCTCATGCGGGGAAGGGTGGGCTCCTGGCCAGGCAGGGAGGGGCACTCTAGCTGGAGACCTGGGTCACAGCCCTGTCGGGGGTGGCCCTCAGCCACATCAGCTCCCCTCAGACAGGGGCCCGGCAGCCTGCCCGGGCCCGGCGGCCATCAGTCCTGCTGGACGAGGCACTGGCTCCGGAACGCGTGTTACTGAGCCACCAGGCACTGTCAGCCTCTGCCAGCTTCTGGCTCACAGCAAGACTTGCTTGACGATGGCAGTGTTGCATGGATTGACACTCAGGCCTATCACAGGCGGTCACGTTGAGTCAGACCAGGTGACCCCAACTCCTTCTAGTCCTTGACGTCACTGGGACCTCTGGCTGGGCACAGGCTGGACTGGCCTGACCTGAAGCTGTACGGGCGTGGGTGCAGGGTGCGGGAGGCCTGGAGGCCGGGTGGCCTGGGGAGGCGGACAGTTTGTCCTTTATCACGGGGCTCTCTAGGAAGAAATCCAGGGACCAGAGGAGCCTCAAGTGGAAGGGAGGGCTCTTAAGCGCATGGTGGTGCCATCGGCAGCCCCTCGCCCCGCTTCCTGTCTGTCCCCAGCTTCGCCCGGGCTCCCTGGCCATCCTGAACGTGCACTGGGATGCGGGTCCCACCTGGCCCACCTCCTCAGCTGGAGCCCTGGCCTCTTCAGAGCGCTGCCATCAGAGGCTGGTGTGCAGCAGGATGGGGCCGGTTACCAGGGCAACAGGGAGCTGGATTACGAGCTCCGCAGCCTGCTGCAGCACTGCTGTCCCTGAGGGCCTGGGACACCTGGGCCATCTAAAGAACAGAGCAGTCCTTCCTCATCTGTGCCCTCTGGAGAGCCCCACAGGAGTGTGGTGTCCCCAGGGAGCCACACTGGCTCTGGCTGCTTTTGCCCAAGGGGGACCCTCTGCCCTTTGGCAGGCAAAATGGTCTTTGTGGGGTTTGTCCCCCACGGCCTTTGTCCTGTGCTTCCCTTTCGGAGTCAACTGCCTGGTCCACTGTGAGCTTCCAGCCAAAGCATGTCCTGAGGCGAGTCACTGTGGTTAGCCACGGGGGTCGAGCTGTGCGAGGAGCTTGCCCTCCTCGTCCCCGCTTCCCTCTGCTCCTCTCACTGCCTGCCCCTCCTCTTTTCAGAAGCTGCTCTGGGCTTCTTGCCATGCAGGCGACACGCCTATGATCAATTTTGACTTCCATCAGTTTGCCAAAGGCAGGAAGCTAGAGAAATTGGAGACCCTCTTGAGGCCACAGTTAAAGCTGCACTGGGAGGACTTCGATGTGTTCACGAAGGGAGAGAACGTCAGTCCACGGTGAGGCTCTCTGCGCACCGCGCCTTCTGCTGGGTCAGGTGGCAGAGGGGCCGCGCCATCCAGGACACGTGCCCTATGAAGGGCAGCTTCCTTCCCTCCGCACTCAGCTACCGTTGCAGTTTTCTGGGTCGTCAGCTTGGCGATGTCGGGAATCTCGGGTTCCAGCTTCTCCTCTCCCTTCCCACAGTGGGAGACAGGCTTTCACATTTCTCGAGGAGATGGTGAGGCATGATTTTCTGGGGAAAGAAATGAACTAATAAAGGGGGCTGCATTAAAACATGGAGCTTCATGCTGCGATGCAGCCTGTGAGAGTGAGCATCACCGTCACGGTGGGATGGCTGGCATAAACTCGGATCGCCCGAGGAGAGCGGGGTATGGACTGCCCTGCTTAGAGCAGAGCAGAAAAAGGGAGTTCATTTCCCTTGGCTCACATGCGGGGGGTCCTCATCATTTGCAGATTCCATATTGGCTAATTTACCTGCTCCCTAAAACTTATTTATAACCTCAAAGTCAGTACTCAAAGCACTTTTCCTGGACATTCACAGACATGTGAAGAGCAGTGACAATGTGAGTCACATGTTCATGCTCCCAGCTGAGAGCAAACAAGGCAATACTGTCTTCTTGTTTAGCCCTTGTATGTAAACACCTGTCCTTTATGAGATTTAGTACCACATTTTTCACATCTGTGGGGTCTTTGTTGGGGGGGGGGTCCCCCTTTGTTGGGGCATCTCATGGTTCAGAATGGCCCCTAAGCATTGTGCTGAAGAGCTGTCTAGTACTTCTGGACAAAAGAAGGCGGTAATGTGCTTTATTTATGGAGAAAATGCACGTTAAGATAAGCTTTGTCCAGATATGAGTTACCGTGCTATTGGCTATGGTTCAGTGTTAATGAAGTGTTAATATATAAGTATACATATATCAGATACATATAATGTATATATACATATTATATATATAATGTATACATATATTCAATAAGATGTCTTGATGTGGAAATGTACATAAAACAAGGTTGTATATTGATCAGTTGAAGAAAACGGGACCAGAGGCTTGCAGGAACCTAACCCTATATTTCTCCTAGGAGCTGTGGTTCTGTGTTCATGTCCAATTCAGTGTTCATACAACTTTATAGAACACAATTGCTGTAAATAAAAAAGACCAGCCAAACTTACAACGACCCAGCTGTGCAGGCTGCTAAGTGTGTGTCCTGGGGTCTGCCTGCCTTTTCAGCGGTGCTGGGGATCCACTGGGATAGACACAGGGGTTTCTGGGGGGCCATTTTGGGGAGGAGGTCAGGGGTTCGCTCTTAGAACGTTTCCTTGGGAGTTGACAGTCAGACACGGGCCACTGTGCTATGGCCACTGCTTCTCTGAACACAACTTATAACTGTTTGCATTTCTTCTTGTCCTAAGTTTTCAGAAAGGCACTTTGCGGATGAACTGTCTTGACTGCCTGTACCGAACCAACACCGTGCAGAGCTTCATTGCGCTTGAGGTGCGTCCCTGCCGCGGCCTTTTGGGCCATCTGTACCGGGTCCTCTGCCTTCAGCCGGACAGGCTGGGCTGAGCACCTTCAGCGGCAAGATGAGGGAGGCATCACCGAGGCAACCTCCTAACGATGGGGAAGGTGGACATCCAGAGAGGGGTTCCCCAGGCGGCCACTTCCTCTGTCACAGGCACACTCTCACATGCCCTCTTGTGAAATGCATCCCAGACGTGGTGGCCCAAAGGCTCCTAGACGATGGCTGTGTGTAATGATTATCCTGGATGCACCACTGGCCAAAGGCAGCGTGAGGCTGGCCAGATGAGGCTGAATCTGAAGCTGGAAAGAGACCTAGTGTGCGCGGCCCCACCTTTCTGGTTGACCTCCCCTGGCTGGGGGTTCGGCGGGGGCAGGGTCAGCACCCCCTGCTGTCCACCACTGTTTGCTGTTCAGCCTCTGGCTGGTGAGGGCAGGGGTGGCCAGGTGTTGGGGTGAGAGGAGGGCTTGGGTAGACCGTATAGATAAAGTTGGGGTGAGTTGTGGGAAGTCACTCTGCTATAAGAACTCCTCCTCCTCTGGAGGGGCACAGGGTCCTCCAGGGCACAGCGTAATCCACAGGCTGCTGAATAAGGAACCTCCTGGGGCAGCAGCTGTGGAGCCTCCATGGGAGAAGCCAGTGCCAGCCATCCCTGTTCCTCCCCAGGTCCTGCACCGGCAGCTCAAGACCCTGGGGCTGAGTTCAAAACCCATCATTGACCGCTTCGTGGAGTCCTTCAAAGCCATGTGGTCTCTGAATGGCCACAGCCTGAGCAAGGTGTTCACGGGCAGCAGGGCCCTGGAAGGGAAGGCCAAGGTAGGGCCCAGCCGAGGGGGCAGGGTGGGGGCCCCGTGGATCCCCCTCACGGCCCATGATCTGGGCTCTCGGCAGGTGGGGAAGCTGAAGGATGGAGCCCGGTCCATGTCTCGAACCATCCAATCCAACTTCTTCGACGGGGTGAAGCAGGAGGCCATCAAGCTGCTGCTGGTCGGGGACGTCTACGGCGAGGAGGCGGCAGACAAAGCGGGGATGCTGCTGGACAGCGCGGCGCTCCTGGGTAGGGCCCGCTGCGGGCAGGGGAGGTGGGGGGGCGGGGTGCTCTCCAGCCCCACGTTCCCACTGCCTCTGTGCCATTCAGAGCATCGGTGGCAGATGTGCCCGGGGTCTGAGCAGTGGAAGTGCACCTTGAGGCGGTCACTGCCTCTAGCGGGGACCTGTGCCTTCCAGCGGGGCCTGGGAGCTCACCCTCGGTTTCGGCTTGGACTATGTGTGTTTCCATCCCGAGGAGGCGAGAGACACCAGGTGGGCTCTGGGAGGCAGTGCGCTCTCCTGAACACATCGGTGCCTTTGAACGCTAACCCACTCCAGAAGCCTTCTCAGCTGCGTGGGCTCTTGGGCCCTTAGCAGGTGCCGTTGGCCTGGGGAGCCTTCCCTGAAGTTGGCCTCCAGTTTCTGTTTTGGCCCCTGAGGAAGCCGTAGAAACAGAGGATGATGCTGTCATCTCCTGGGGATGAGGGCGCCTCTGGTCTCAGCGGCAAGACATCGTGATTCCAGCCATTGCTAGAGGTTCCTTTGGGAGCATTTGAATGGCATCTTCTTACCTGAGCCTGTAAACATATTAGGTCTCATAGAAAAGGAGGAGAGACCCAACATTTTTCCTTATAAGAACATGTAAGTGGGCCAGGCGCGGTGGCTCATGCCTGTAATCCCAGCACTTTCAGCGGCGCAGGTGGGTGGATCACCTGAGGTCAGGACTTCGAGACCAGCCTGGCCAACATAGTGAAACCCTGTCTCTACTAAAAATACATAAATTAGCTGGGAATGGTGACAGGTGCCTGTAATCCCAGCTACTCGGGAGGCTGAGGCAGGAGAATCGCTTGAACCCGGGAAGTGGAGGTTGCAGTGAGCCGAGATTGCGCCATTGCCCTCCAGCCTGGGCAACAAGAGCAAAACTCCATCTCAAAAAAAAAAAAAAAAAAAAAAAAAAATATGTAAGTTACTCTAGAAATGTTAGGTGTTTTTGAAAACTGAATTAGTCCAGACTTACGGCCCTTTTCCACCCTCATCCTTCGTCACAGGGGCACTCTTATTTGACTTCTGGTAGGCAAGGTGATATTTAGTTTCTACTCTGGAAATAATGCCAGCTCTCTGTGAAAGGTTAATGAAGCTCCATATTGTATGGTGAGTCTTATTTAATAGCAAGGCAGATATGAGTTCGATTTGGGTTATGTCACAAGTTTAAAAGACGGAATATATTTTGGCTATCCAGAGGATGGAGATGGTTCTGTGTGATGACTTTTTAAAGGCTTAAGTTGGAGGCCAAAGAAAACATTTCAGATATGCAGGATGGAAGGCGGGGGATGCAAAGGTGGCTGCTGGGTTGGCATGTAAGGTGATGGTGTACATGGGTGCGTACACATCGAAATCTGCTCAGTCACTGCATCCGCGTGCTTCAATTCCTGTGCCTTGTTCTACGGAGTGGACAGCGAGGACAAGGCTCTTCCTCATCGTGTCTGAGATCCCTGTGATCTGATGTCCCAGGCCTTCTGGCCTCAGGTGGGGGTAAGGGTATAGAGGGTGGGGTTTGGGTCTTGTGTTTTCACACCTTTATTTCAGAAATCCCATAAAGAGGCACGTGGTTTCCAAGATTTTAAGCATTCTGTCATCTTCCTAAGGAGCATACCCTGGTTTATCTCTAGACGCTCATGAACCATCTGTCTGTCTCTGCCAGGCAACCTCTTCTGTATCTTTGGAGGATGCCTGAGCTTTGGAACTGTAAACAAACGTGCCTTTTTATGCCCCCAGCAGTGACTCCCAGGATCCTGAAAGCTATGACTGAGCGTCAGTCGGAATTCACAAATTTCAAGCGGATCCGGATTGCCATGGGGACCTGGAACGTGAACGGAGGCAAGCAGTTCCGGAGCAACCTGCTCGGGACGGCGGAGCTGACGGACTGGCTGCTCGACGCACCCCGGCTCTCTGGAGCTGCCGAGTCCCAGGGTGAGGGCAGTGACTCTGGGCGGACAGAGTCCCGTTGCGCCTAACCTGACCTGCCAGGCTTGCCCCTTCAGCGGCCGTCGTCTCGTGGAGTTGCTTCTTTGGTGTTTTCCCTCCTCACAGGGTTTAAATAGCACTGTGGTGTCTGACTCTCGAGAATGCCACCTCGAAAAGAACTGTTTGACTTTTTTCCTTTCCCAGATGTTGAGAAGAGTCAGCAGCTAGTGAATCTCTCTTTTCCATTTGCATACAGTGGTGGTGAAGCCCTAGGCTTTGATCAGTGGCATCTTTCTGTCACCAGGCGGAGGGTGTGGCTTCTCCAGCCATGTAACTGTAAGGACGGGAGCCAGGCCTGCCTTCAGTGTTTTTTTGTTTTGGTTTGGTTTGGTTTTTTTGAGATGAGTGTCACTCTTGTCGCCCAGGCTGGAGTGCAGTGGGGCGATCTCAGCTCACTGCAACCTCCCCCTCCCGGGTTCAAGCGATTCTCCTGCCTCAGCTTCCTTAGTAGCTGGGATTACAGGCACATACCACCAGGCCCAACTAGTTTTGGTATTTTTAGTAGAGAGGAGGTTTCGCCATGTTGGCCAGGCTAGTCTCAAACTCCTGACCTCAGGCAATCTCAGCCTCCCAAAGTGTTGGGTGTGTGAGCTACCACACCCGGCTCTGCCTTCAGTGTTGATATTGACCAAGAATGGCTCATCCCTGCCTGTCATTAAAACCAGTTCTATTCATCTGCTTTAAGCAGTCACAAAACAATTCATGTGCTTTTTAAGGATAAAATAATTCCAAATGTTGACACCTCACCTTTTATCTAATGAGATACACTGTTGAATGGCCCCAGAACTTAAGATCCGAATAAGTGATTCTTGTTCCATCAGCATTGACTCAGGGAATTTTTTTTTTTTTTTTTTTTTTCGCTTCCTTGGACTTAGAAAGAGACCTGTGGTTCAGTTTTTAGCCTGCTGGTGAGTGACCTGTGATCTAGCTGACATGTGGTGGGCCGTGTGTACATTTGTGCCCCACAGCTGCCTGGGTGGTACCCAGAGTCCCATCTCGTCCCTTCCTCTGCACGCACCATCCGTGCCTTACTTTCTGCCTCCAAGGGCAGGTAGCAGAGTCCACCCTTCAGAGCCACTGGGGCTCTCTGTGTCGGGGGTAGCCTGGGTTGGTGCTTGTGGTGCCTCCAGAAGCCATTCAGGATGCCCTCCGGCAGAGTGCCGTCGACTCGGAGAGTGCTTGGCACAGCCGTGGCTCAGCAGCCATCCCTTCCGATGCTAACGTGACTCCTTTTCCCTGCAGGAAGGCGTGCGTGTTTGTAGCAAGCTGGCTGGTATTTTAAAGGGGATCTTTTTGGGGTAGACACTAGCGCACTCCCCCGCAGTCCCACTAGAGATGCACCAGGTTCCAGACGAGGAAGGTGCTATGGTGACTGTTGCCAAGCAGATCCACAGAGGGACGGGGATTGTTTTCTTTAAAATATAATAATAATAAAGCTTTAAGTCAGGGAAACTAGAGGTTCCAGGTTGCCCACTGTGGCCAGCAGAGAAGGAAGTGGATGGCCTGCCTGGCCTCTCACTGGCCTCTCACTGACAGAGGCCACGTCCTCCTAGCAGGAGCCAGGGGAGGCAGGTATTTCACTTTCTGCAGCAGCTGGAGCCGTGGCTGGGCTTGGTTGCTCAGAGCCTGGATGTCAGAAGTCATGACTGGAGAGATTCAGTCAACAGCTACAAGGTTATATGAAATTCTGACCTCCCCTGTTCAAAGGGAACAGAAAGAATGGATGGAGCCCTCGGGCTCACTGCTGCATTGAAGCCAGGCATTACTGAAGCAGGTTCCGCCGGCAGTTCCCAGCAGCAGTAGCAGCCCCCTGGAGCTGGATTCAGGCAGTGGACAGCGTGGCTCGGGAGAGGGGACTCGGGAACCCCATGAACTCGTAACACAGGACATGGCGGTTCTGACCTCTGTCATCTCTTGCCTTGCTCCCCAGATGACAGCAGCCCAGCTGACATATTTGCTGTGGGGTTTGAAGAGATGGTGGAGCTGAGTGCAGGGAATATTGTCAATGCCAGGTAAGGGGCAGGGGTGCGGGCCGGGCAGGGCTCCCTGACTCAGATGCCTGGCTGGGAACAGAGCCTCTGAGACTCCCCTGGAGCCAGCCTGCTTCTGAGCCGGCTAAGCTGTAGTCCTGGCTGTGTGGGGATCTCTCACCTGGCTCTGGCTCTGTAACCACGTGTGCACTGCCCTGTTCTTTCCCTGCTGCTTAAAGAGGTAGAAGGAAGGGCTGATGGTTGCTGTGTTTTCTCTGTGGTGCTCTGGCCTCGGCCACTTGTTGAGGCTGATTTACGCTGCCAGAGGGAGCTGGCATGTGTGGACCTGGGGCACAGGGGCAGGGCAGGGCTGAGACTGGGAGAGTGGCTGACTCATGTTTCCTGGGGAGAGGTGAGAAAGCGGAGTGCCGGGAAGCGGTGCTTCCCTCCTTCACACCAGGGCGAAGGAGAGAATCAAATCCACTGGATTTGTATTTGATACGAAGTCAACTGGACATTCCCCCCGCCCGCCCTATACCCTGCCAAACTGGCCTGGCTTTTATTTCAAGGAACTTTCTGAGCAAATAGATAAGACGGACTCTGTGGGGCTGCCGCCATGTATGAGACGCAACCAGAAATACCCAGATCCTCTGGTAGAACAGGGGAAGCGTGACACTGATATTGGGGTGCGGGCAGAGTGACATCAGTTCTGCAAACGGAACGGGCCTGGGCTGGAGCATTTGGCAGCTGGGAGATGGCACTTCCAGCCACCTGTAAACAGTCTTCCTTTCCTTTTCTCTTCCAGTACTACCAACAGGAAGATGTGGGGGGAGCAGCTTCAGAAAGCCATCTCACGCTCGCACAGATACATTCTCTTGACGTCGGCACAGCTGGTCGGCGTCTGTCTTTATATCTTTGTGCGTCCGTACCATGTCCCGTTCATCAGGTAAGAACATTTGGTGTGTACACATCTGGGCAACAAAGACTTGTTAGCCTCTGGGTTTTGTTATTTGACTTCCTCCTCCTCCCCTGCCCACTCTGTAGCAGGAATTGGAACATGCCATTATTTCAGATAAATGTAGCAAAATCCCCTAGGAAAAGCTGAGCTGAATAGAATATTGTCTAGCAACTAAAAAGCCACCATGGGAAATGTCTGCCTTGGGAAGCTGAACTCTTAGAGTGTTACATGATTGTCATCGTCCGGGCTCAGTTCTGTGCAAGGAAAGGCGTTCCTTGTTGGAATCTTACAGACAGGAAGCCTCTGACAGGTAACCTCCGAGTTACCTCTGAGTAACTCACTGGGAAATGCCAATTCTTTTGTCTCTTTTTAAAAGAATTCTAATTGAGTCGAATGTGTGAGCCTCTACAACTATGACCTCACTGTCATTTCTCCAAGGTGCATGCTTTGTGGCTGCTGGAAAGGGGTCCGCTTAGGGGCTGCGTTCCTCCTGGGGTGCGGGTGTGGGTGTTGAGATGCTGGAGGAACTCACCTTTCCCTGCAGCCTGCTGATGCCCTCATCTTTCCCCCTGGGCCTACTCGTGGCTGGCATTCGAATTTCCTCCGGCCTTTCTGCAGACTGGCAGCAGGCATCGGGCCGGCGGCAGGCATCGAGCTGACCTCCCCACCGAGCCCCTGGGTTCCAGGAAGGGTCCGTGCCTGTCTGGAGTGCCACGGTGCACCCCCGCAGCACCTGGAGGCTGTGCCTGTGCTGCCGGCCATCCTCTCCTCTGACTTTGGGAAGATATTGAGGTCCCTGTCCCTCTCCTTGTGATATTTTGGCAGCTTGGTCGTGTCCCGAGTTAGCAGGTCAAGGCTAGTAAGTGTGAAGGATAGGTGAGGGTGAGAGGTGAAGCATTCGAGAAAGGGCTCAGAGCTGAGGAGTGCCGGGTTTCCCAGGCTCGGCGTCCTCGGCTTCCACACGCCTTCGACCCTGAGCCTCTTCACCTGTACCCCTTCCGTCACTCTTCCCCCACCTTGTCTACCAGGGAGCAGATGCAGCAAGCCTTAGTCTGTAGCACAGTCACGGAAATGTTAAAAAATGTGCCGTAGCCCATGTTTCTATGGACTTGTATGCATTATGAGTTGGCATTTTAATGCCGGCAGGCTCTGGCATTGCATAAAAGTCCGTTTGAGACCACCTGCCCAGCCCAGCATAAACAGCTGCTGGCTTCCTAGCTCTTAAAATGCCTTGATTGCTGGGCGCGGTGGCTCACGCCTGTAATCTCAGCACTTTGGGAGGCCAAGGTGGGGGGAATCACTTAAAGTCAGGAGTTCGAGGCCAACCTGGCCAACATGGTGAAACCCTGTCTCTACTAAAAATACAAAAATTAGCCAGGTGTGATGGAAGGCACCTGTAATCTTGGGAGGCTGAAGCAAGAGGATCGCTTGAACCTGGGAGGTGGACATTGTAGCGAGCTGAGATCACGCCACTGCACTCCACCTTGGCAACAGAGTGTGACTGTCTCAAAAAAAAAAAAAAGTGTTGATTGCCCGGATGGTACCTCCCATGCATGGCGTGATGGCTGCACGGGAGTGGGGTGGGTTGGCGGGTGGTAATGTTCCTGCCACTCCTGGTGGCATGAGAACCTGGGCGGACGCAGGGATTGCCGTGTCTTCAGCTTCTTGGGGTGCTTAGGTGAGCACTGAGCGCTTTTGGGTTGGGGCATGGAGGAGGTGTCCAGGCAGCAATGGACAGCTGGAGGGAGGCAGCCTCCTGACCCGGAGTCGATGACAGCCATGGTGGCCGCTGTGTTGCGAGTAGACAGACTCTGAGCTGATGATTTTGGAGCGCTCAGAGCAGCAGGTCCCAAGCTGCTACCATGCCCTGCTCTGTGGCAAAGCAGGGCCATGCCTCTCCTTCAGGAGCCGACGGCATGCGCACTTCCTTCTGTTCCAGGGACGTGGCCATCGACACGGTGAAGACGGGCATGGGGGGCAAGGCGGGGAACAAGGGCGCTGTTGGCATCCGCTTCCAGTTCCACAGCACCAGCTTCTGCTTCATATGTAGCCACCTGACAGCCGGGCAGTCCCAGGTGAAGGAGCGGAACGAAGACTACAAGGAGATCACCCAGAAACTCTGCTTCCCAATGGTGAGTGGCGCCGTGGGGGCGGCCAGCACATCCCTGCTCCCCGCAGTCCCAGACATGACTGTTGACAGGAGCCAGGTGTTGGGGACACAGCCACAGGGTGGGCCCCTGCCTGGAGGGCTCATCGCTGGGGAACGGGGAGAAGCTGTGTCACTCCATGGAGTTGACCTGGGGTGGGGTTAGCCATGGGCCTATGGGGGGGTCGGCCTTGCAGCATCCCTCCCCTCCTGTTGCCGTACGTTTCCTGAGTGTCTGCATGGCCCCTGGATTTTTGTGTATGCATTTTCTGGTTTTCTTTTTCTTTTTTCTTTTTTGAAATGGAGTCTTGCTCTGTCACCAGGTTGGAGTGTAATGGTGCGATCTCAGCTCACTGCAACCTCCAGCTCCCAGGTTCAAGCGATTCTCCTGCCTCAGCCTCCTGAGTAGCTGGGATTACAGGCACCTGCCACCACACCCAGCTAATTTATATATATATATTTTTTTTTTTTCTTTTTTTTTTTTTAGTAGAGACGGGGTTTCACCATGTTGGCCAGGATGGTCTTGATCTCTTGACCTCGTGATCCGCCCGCCTCGGTCTCCCAAAGTGCTGGGATTACAGGTGTGAGCCTCTGTGCCTGGCCACGTTTTCTGATTTTCTAATTCAAGTGATGCTTTAGGGAAAGAAAACCATGTTAGTGCTTTGTCCTGATCCAAGTGGTGAAGAACATTCAAATCCACACCGTCTAAGACTCCACTTTCCAGAGAGTCACAGTCTTCACATGTACTTTCTGTGGTGGCTCAGATAAGAACACGGTTTTGACCAAGGAACCCAAATCCTCCTGTTCTCAAAGCTGCAGTAGCAAACTGCACACTGCCCTCTCGTGGCGGTCTGGAGGGTTTCATTCTGAAACCAGAGGATTTTCTTTTCCAACGCAGATTTTGATGTTCTCCTTCCTGTGCAAAGGTGCTACCCTGTACACCTTCAGCGTGTGGTGCACATGAGACCCACATATTCCCCGAAGTGAGGACAGACTTCATCTGTTCATGCCGAAAAATCTTTCAGTGTCTGAGAAGTGGCGAGTTGGGTCACAGAGCTCTTCCCCATGAGAACAGATCCTTAAAACTGACGTCCCGTTTTACTGGGCTGCACAAACACTGAAGGCAACATTTCCTTAGTTTTTGTTAAGAAGGGCCATAATTCTTGTTGGAGTCGTTTCTTATGTTAAAAAGAAACAAATGCGTTGGGCAATTTTCAGTTGTGTGTAATGTAGTTTAGGGGAAAAAAAGTCCAGCCTATCTCATTTAAAAAGTGCTACTTTGGGGCTGGGTGCCATGGCTCACTCCTGTTATCCCAGAACTTTGAGAGGCGGAGGCAGGCAGATCACCTGAGATCAGGATTTCGAAACAGCCTGGCCAGCGTGGTGGAACCCTGTCTCTACTAAAAATACAAAAATTAGCCAGCCATGATGGCACACACTTGTAGTCCCAGCTACTCTGGAGGCTGAGGCAGGAGAATCACCTGAACCCAGGAGGCGAAGGTTGCAGTGAGCCGAGGTCGCACCATTGCACTACAGCCCAGGATACAGTTCAAGACTCCATCTCAATTGAAAAAAAAAAAAATGCTACTTCGAAATAGTAAACTTGGGATACGTAATAACATAAACCTTATTCTCCTAAAGCTGAATACTGGGAGCTGCTTCCTGGGAGCAGACACTGCAAAGAGAGGGAGTAATTAAAGGGTTTGTAATGTGGTTCTTTTCTACAATAATAATATTGAGGGACCTGTTAACATTCTTCACTTCTGTTTTTGTTCTTGTTTTTGAGACGGAGTTTCGCTCTTGTTACCCAGGCTGGAGTGCGATAGCGCAATCTCGGCTCACTGCAACCTCTGCCTCCTGGGTTCACGTAATTCTCCTGCCTCAGCCTCCTGAGTAGCTGGGATTACAGGCACACGCCACCATGCCCAGCTAATTTTTTGTATTTTTAGTAGAGACGGGGTTTCACCATGTTGACCAGGATGGTCTCGATCTCTTGACCTCGTGATCCACCCACCTCAGCCTCCCAAAGTGCTGGGATTACAGGCTTGAGCCACCGCACCCAGCCTTGCTTTTGTTTTTGAAACAGAGTCTCACTCTGTTGCCCAGGCTGGTGTACAGTGGCATGATCTTGGCTCACTGCAACCTCTGCCTCCCAGGTTCAAGTGATTCTCCCACCTCAGCCTCCTTAGTAGCTAGGATTACAGGCACACACCACCAGGCCTGACTAGTTCTGGTATTTTTAGTAGAGATAAGTTTTCACCATGTTGACCAGGCTGGTCTCAAACTCCTGACCTCAAGTGATCTGCCCACCTCAGCCTCCCAGAATGCTGATTACAGGCATGAGCCACCACACCCGGCCAACATTGTACACTGATTTTGTCTGATATCGTAGTCATTGGCCGTAAGTAGCTATTTACATTTAAATTAATTAAAAATAAATAACATTTTAAAATTCCTTGCTTTTACTGGCCACATTGAAAATGCTCAGTGTTCATGTGGCCAGTGGCTCCCCCATCTGACAGCACAGAGAACATGCTGGTGCTACAGAAAGTTCTGTTCGACATTGTTGTCCAGACACTCATTTTATTTGGTTGAGATCCATGTAATCTTCTGTCCAGCTTATGGTCATGGGGGTGATGGAAATGCCTCATAGCATAGGAAAATAGAAACTGATTTTGGAGCTATGCAGATGGGAGCTGAAATCCAGCCCATCTGTATCAGGCACTAGCTGTGTAACCTTCAGCAAATGCCTTTGTTTCTAAACTTTTGTTTTTGTTTTTGTTTTTTTTTTAATCTAAGAGAGAGCTGGTGGTATTTGCTTGTGCACCTGGAACAGAGCCCAGCCCTGGAGGACAGTTGATCCGCAGCAGCTGCTGTCTTTGTGATTCCTGGGGACGAGATAGGGAAAGCAGGGACCGCAGGAGCTCTCCAGGGCTGAGCTGGGGCCGTTGGCTCCTAGGACTGAGTAGGATGGGGAGGAGGAGTGAGAAAAAGACAGAGAAGGGTCACGTGAAGAAGCTCAGGAAGTTATACGAAGGTGTACATCCTGAGCATGTATGCTCTGCTTTTGAAACCTCATTCTCCTAACACTGAATGCTGGATACTGCTTTCTATGAGCACGCACTACAAAGCTAGGGTGCATCTGATCTTCAGGACTGAGATTCGCAGAGGAAATGCTGGCCATCTTGCTCCCCTCCGCTTAGGGTTGGAGCTTCCCTCGAACCACTCAGAAACACTATTATTTAAAATTAGCAAATAAGCCTTGTAAAAATTCCTCCGTAGGTTTATGGGATGGGTGAAAAACAAGATGCTCTAGTAGAAAAAAAATCCTAAGTAACGTTTTAAGAAAAGGACTCCTGCTTGGCCCAGTGAGCTTGTTTTTCTCCTCTTTCCCGCCTTCCTTGCCAGATGGGCTGAATGATTATGATTTTCTTTTCAACTTAGGGGAGAAACGTTTTTTCTCATGATTATGTATTTTGGTGTGGTGATTTCAACTACCGCATTGATCTTACTTACGAAGAAGTCTTCTATTTTGTTAAACGCCAAGACTGGAAGAAACTTCTGGAATTTGATCAACTACAGCTACAGAAATCAAGTGGAAAAGTAAGTTGAGCTTTAAAAATATTTTTTTAGCTGCTGCTTCAAGATAGATGACGTCTACGAGATGTAGAGGCTGGTGCAGCAAATGCAGATCCGTGAGCGGATTTCACTGTTCCGACGTTGTAGGAAACAGGTGGGCTTGTGAGGCCACAGTACAGGAGGGGCCGTTCACACACCCTTCCTGTCCCTCTTTCTTTTCTTTTTCTTCTTCTTTTTTTTTTTTTTTTGAGGCAGAGTCTTGTTCTGTCACCCAGGCTGGAGTGCAACGGTGCTATCTTGGCTCATTGCAACCTCCGCCTCCCAAGTTCAAACGATTCTCGTGCCTCAGCCTCCTGAGTAGCTGGGATTATAGGCGTGCACCATCATGCCCGGCTAATTTTTGTATTTTTAGTAGAGATGGGGTTTCACCATGTTGGCCAGGATGGTCTCAAACTCTTGGCCTCAGGTGATCTGCCCACCTCGGCCTCCCAAAGTCCTAGGACTACAGGTGTGAGCCACCACTCCCAGCCAACCTTCTCCTCCTTCTAATACTGTTATTTTAGTGCCTGTTTGCTTTCTAGCAGGGTAGATCGAGATGAGGGGAGTACATTTAAATTCCATCTACCTGTGGAGAAAGAAGCTGGTTAAATGTGTGAGGGCCAGGAGTGGTAGCTCACGCCTGTAATCCTAGCACTTTGGGAGGCTAAGGTGGGGGGATCACTTGAGTGCAGGAGTTTGAGACCAGCCAGGGCAACATAGCGAGATCCCATCTCTACCAAAAATAGAAAAAAAATGAGCTGGGTGGTAGTGTACGCCTGTAGTCCCAGCTACTCTGGAGGCTGAGATCAGAGAGTCACCTAAGCCCAGGAGGTCAAGGCTGCAGTAAGCCAAAATCACACCACTGCACTCCAGCCTGGCCAACAAGGTAAAACCCCATCTCTGCTAAAAATACAACGATTAGCTGGGCACGGTAGCAGGAGTGGTGGCTCACACCTGTAATCCCAGCACTTTGGGAGGCTAAGGTGGGAGGATCACTTGGGATGCCTGTAATCCCAGCTACCCGGGAGACTCAGGCACATGAATCGCTTGAACCCAGGAGGCGCAGGCTGCATTGAGTCGAGATCACAGCACTGCCCTCCAGCCTGGGCAGCAAGAGGAAACTCCATCTCAAAAAAAAAAAAAAAGAAAAGAAAAGAAAAAAAGCGTAGGACAGGACGGATAAGGTCTCTCCTGAAGCAAGATTTGGACGTTCTTTGAGGTTTACTGTCTTCCTGCCTCGGTGCCTGCCAGTGTGTGGAGAGCTAAAGGGTTGCCACATAGACAGGCGACCACACCAGCCTCCTAAGGCAGGTTTTCCTTTCTTCCTACTGCCAGGATTCTCGCCTCCTTTCAGTGATGTCTGAGAGAACGAGGGTTGTGTTTTCTCTGGGTCTTCCTATGGTGACGAGGCCAATCCAAAGCTAAACCAAGAGAAGAGGGCGGTGCCTGGGGGCTCACGACTGTAATCCCAGCACTTTGGGAGGCCGAGGCAGGAGGATTGCCTAAGCCCAGGAGTTTGAGACCAGCCTGGGAGACATAGGGAGACCCTGTCTCTACAAAAAATAAAATTAGCTGGGCATCGTGGTGAGCGCCTGTGGTCCCAAGTACTTGGGAGGCTGAGGCAGGAGGATCACATGAGCCCCAAAGGTTGAGGCTGTAGGGAGCTGCGATTGTGCCACTGCATTCCAACCTGAGCGAAAGAGGTCCCTGGGAGAGAGAAGAGGGTGGGGAGGAGATCTGACTTTGACTCTACACTTCTGTGTACTTAACTCATTTACTCAACAAACATGGATGAAGGCCTTGGTGGCTGTGGGCCGGACATTGTAGCAGGCATGGGACTGTAAAGACGGGCACCTGACCCCTCCCTCCAACGCTTCACTGTCTCCTGGGGAGCAGCAAGCAGACAGTGGCTCGATCAGACGCTGCAGCGGGTGGGGAGATACTGTGTGTCCCTCAGTGGGCTGAGCTGAGGATCGCTCTTTTGCTAACTAAAAGGCACACGTGTCCAGTTTCAGACAGACTTTCAAATGTAATGGAGCTTCTGTTACTTTTTAGGACTAGGGACTTGCCTTTTCCGTTTTCGTTTTTGTATATAACATTCAGGATCTAAAATGAAGGTGGCCTCATGACTTCTTTTTCTCCCGATAGATTTTTAAGGACTTTCAGGAAGGAGCCATTAACTTCGGACCCACCTACAAGTATGACGTCGGCTCAGCTGCCTATGATACAAGTGACAAATGCCGCACTCCGGCCTGGACGGACCGGGTGCTGTGGTGGAGGAAGAAACATCCCTTTGATAAAACAGGTGAGGGGCTGTTCAAGAGCCAGGGAGGGTGGATGAGAAACGCCGGGAAGTCTCTTTCCCCTCAGCCCAGTGCTCCGCCCCATAAGTGGGTCTTCTTCATCACCCAGATGACACCAAACTCATCCCAGACTTAACCCCTAAGCTTTGGAAGTTGTGCTTTCATGGGGCTCCCCCTCTGGCTTCTTTCTAGAGATGGTGACCTGCAAATAGGTCTCTTCTTGGCTCCGTGCCCCTGCATCACCCGTTCCCCCGCTCCTTTTTTCTGGGTGGGGAAAGAGAGCAGGGAAGCACCAGGTGGCCTCCCTGCCTGGCCCCACACTCCCCATCATGTTCTTTATCCAGCCCGATTTGTTCAGCTGCGTCTCACCTGCTTAGAGCCCTAATTCCAAATTGAGCACGTGCAAGACACAGTAAAACTCCAAGTTTTTAAAAATAATTGGTTGTCAGCCAGGCGTGGTTGCTCACGCCTGTAATCCCAGCACTTTGGGAGGCTGAGGCGGGTGGATCACGAGGTCAAGAGATCGAGACCATCCTGGTCAACATGGTGAAACCCCGTCTCTACTAAAAATACAAAAAATTAGCTGGGCATGGTGGCGCGTGCCTGTAATCCCAGCTACTCAGGAGGCTGAGGCAGGAGAATTGCCTGAACCCAGAAGGCGGAGGTTGCGGTGAGCCGAGATTGCGCCATTGCACTCCAGCCTGGGTAACAAGAGCAAAACTCCGTCTCAAAAAATAAATAAAATTAAATAATTAAATAATAATTGGTTGTCAAGTATATTTTAAACAACTGTTTATGCCCAGCTAGGAAGTGAAGTTTATTTAAAGTTAGAATGCCTGTGACTAGCACATTTAAAAAACAACAATTAGTTACACATTTTGGGAGAGAATAGCCAGGGAACTGCATCTGTAAACAGACAATGTAGATTTTCCTTCAGATGAGTTTGTGAACACGTGTGTGGCCCCAGGGCTCCGAGAGACGGGGCCTGGAATGAGTCTTCCTGTTCTCAGCTCCTGCAGCTCTTTCTGTCCCGATTGCTGCCAATCTCCTGGGATTCCTGGGTCCTGGAAACACGGCAGCAACACTGTGTCTCAGACCTACAGTCGGCCCGCTGGCGAGGACCGCAGGCATGGTCATGACAGTTTTGAATAATTAGGTGTGAGGAATGTTTTTAACCAAAGGCCTCAAAGCATCTGAAGCCTGGTTCCAAGGTCAAGGAGTCAAGAGGATGAGTCTGGGGCGCGGGGTAGTTCATGGCGCAGACCTCTACCGTGGAGGTTTCATGATCGCATTCCTGGATATTGACACAATTCTATGTCGCTCTCTCGAACGGAAACTCTGTGAGTAGCTGGAGAACTCAACCTTCTAGAGAGTGATCTAGATGCTGACGCCAAAGTCAGACACACCTGGTCTCCTGGCGTCCTCCAGTACTATGGCCGTGCGGAGCTGCAAGCGTCTGATCACAGGTAGGTCCTCACTTCGATGGCATTTTCTCCTGTGCTGGGGAAGGCAGTGTCTCTCTCTCCACAGCTAATATTTAGGAATTCTTGGTGGTGGGTCCACAGCTATCTGTTCTATCATTCTGTGTTCTTTGGTGTATTTATGCACACAAGCACCCACATGCATACACACATCCTTATGGGCAAAGCATGCAGTTCCCTGTGGAGAGATCTGGTTCATTCATTTGTAACTGCTGTCTAGTATCCCACTAAATATATCCATGGAACTCACAACTTACCGATTTACCTCTTGATGAATATTTTCTCCAGGATTTTATTATTACAGAGTCTCGATGTATCACCCAGGCTGGAGTGTAGTGGTGTGATCTTGGCTCACTGCAACCTCCGCCTCCCAGGTTGGAGCAGTTCTCCTGCCTCAGCCTCCCAAGTAGCTGCGATTACAGGTGCCACCCCTGCCTAATTTTTGTATTTTTAGTAGAGATGGGGTTTCACCATGTTGGCCAAGCCAGTCCCAAACTCCTGACCTCAGGTGATCCACCCACCTTGGCCTCCCAAAGTGCTGGGATTACAGGTGTGAGCCACCACATCTGGCCTTCGTATACCAGGCTTTTTAAATGCTCTGTGCCTTCATGCATTGAGGATGGGGTGGATGCCACGGAGAGGGCGCAGTGGGCGCTGGTGCCTGTGCACTAGGATGGCGGCAAAGGGAGACTCACCCTGCAGAATGTCGTTAAAGACAGAGGAGAGGATGGCATTTGAGCGTGTGAATAAGGAAGAGTTTGACCTTCCCAAGGCTGCTGCCAAAACTCTCACATCAGTTTCAACTTTTACAAGGGAAGAAATTAAGAAAAGGAAGGTGGGGAGCAGTTGTCAACCAAAAAGCCTATTTTGTCTTTTGAGACATAGTCCTCCAGGCTGGAGGGCAGTGGTACGATGTTGGCTCACTACAACCTCCACTCCCAGGGTTCAAGCGATTCTCATGTCTCCGCCTCCCAAGTATCTGGCATTACAGGTGTGCGTCAACACGCCTCGCTGATTTTTGTATTTTTAGTAGAAACAGCGTTCTGCCATGTTAGCCAGGCTGGTCTCCAACTCCTAGCCTCAAGAGATGGGGTTTCACTATGTTGGTCAGGCTGGTCTCGAACTCCAGACCTCGTGATCCGCCCGCCTTGGCCTCCCAAAGTGCTGGGATTATAAGCGTGAGCCACTGTGTCCAGCTGAGTTGAGCTGTTTTCAATAAGGCTATGTAGTTTTTGTAATATAGGATTTTCTAAATGTTTGTAAATAGAGTAATAGCCATCTCTATGTCATAATTACTATAAGGTTTGCATTATTTCCTGCTAGACTGTTTTCCTGTTTACGTCATTGATTTTTACATTATTCCTAATGATTGCATAGTGTGTTATATAAATGTATCAGAACTGTTTCCCCATTAAGAAACAGACCATGTTGGCCTGGCATAGTGGCTCTACTAAAAATACAAAAATTAGCCGGGTGTGGTGGCACACACCCGTAATCCCAGCTACTCGGGAAGCTGAGGCAGGAGAATTGCTTTAGTCTGGGAGGCAGAGGTTGCAGTGAGCCAAGGTTATACCACTGCACTCCAGCCTGGGCGACAGGGAGAGACTGTCTCAAAAAAATAAATAAATAAACAGAAAATTTTCCCTTTTTTTCCCCCTCCCATCAATAATGCTGTAAATGATCAACCTCATGCGTTAAATCTTTGTCATCAAGTCTGAGAAGTGAGATTACTAGGTGAAGACAGATGAACAATTTTGAAACTCTGTGTAAAGTGCCAGACAGTCCTCTGAAAACCTGCACCCTGGGCAGAGTGCAGGTGCCCACTTCCCTCTGTCCTTGGCAGTACTAAGGATCACCACGTCAAAAATCTTTGCTGATGGCTGGTTATTTTCCAAGTGCTGGGATACATCTTTAGAGCGCCACACTCTATTTTTCTGTTTTTCCCCTCAAATTATCCTTAGATTAACATGCCAAAGTGATACTAAGATAAAGGAAAGATGAGAACTAAAATGCCAGGGCAGGGCCGCTAGCCTGCAAATCCACCTGCTAGCGGCCACATTCTCAGGTTGTTGACTGTTTACAGAGAGCCCTGGGAGACAGAGGCTAGGGACTGGAGGCAGGGGGTGTGGCTATCTGTCCCAGGCTCACTGTCATCCCTCTTTTGTTCCTGTCTCACGCAGACCCGTGCTGGCGATCGTGGAGGTGGAAGTTCAGGAAGTCGATGTGGGTGCTCGGGAGAGGGTTTTCCAGGAAGTGTCCTCTTTCCAGGGCCCCCCGGACGCCACTGTTGTGGTAAACCTTCAGTCACCGACCTTAGAAGAGAAAAATGAGTTTCCCGAGGACCTGCGAACTGAACTCATGCAGACCTTGGGGAATTATGGGACAATTGTTCTTGTCAGGTAACTGCCGCCCTGACTGATGTGGGGTCCAGGGGATGTCGCTGAGGATCCGTGAGAGCTGCCGGGTCATTCTTGGCATTGACCTGGCGTTTCATTTATTCCAGGATCAACCAAGGACAGATGCTGGTGACTTTTGCAGACAGCCACTCGGCTCTCAGTGTCCTAGATGTGGACGGCATGAAGGTACGCTGTGCTGTGCTTGGCCACACTGTGGGTGGGGGCTGGTCAAGCCCTGTTTTCACATGGGCGTGTCTTCTCCCCTCCTCTTGCCCTGACCTGTGGCCCAACCTGTGCCTTTCTTTTCTTCTTCTTTTTTTTTGTTTGAGACAGGATCTTGCTCTGTCATTCAGGCCAGAGTGCAGTGACACAATCACAGCTCACTGAAGCCTTGAACTACCAGACTCAAGCAGTCCTCCCATCTCAGCTTCTCAAGTAGCTGGGACCCAGGCATGCCACCATGCCCAGCTAATTTTTCAAATTGTTTGTAGAGACAGGGTCTCGCTCTGTAGCCCCAGCTGGAGTACAGTGGGACAGTCATGGCTCTCACTGTAACCTCAGCCTCCCAGGCTCCCGTCATCCTCCTGCCTCAACCTCCCAACGTGTTGAAATTACAGGCACGAGCTTTCATGCCTTGCCACCAATCTGTCTTTGTGTGTAGACACCAGATGCAGGATAGAGTTTGGATTCTTCACTCTGGTTCTGAGGTGTCTCATGTCCAGCTCTGGCTACTTGCAGAATAGGGAAGAAGGCTGGGTGTGCTGGCTCACACCTGTAATCCTAGCACTTTGGGAGGCCAAGGTGGGCAGATCACCCAAGGTCAGCACATTGAGACCAGCCTGGACAACATGGCAAAACCCAATCTCTACTAAGAATACAAAAATGAGCCAGGCATGATGGCTTGTGCCTGTAGCCCCAGCTACTCAGGAGACTGAGGCAGGAGAATCACTTGAACCCAGGAGGCGGAGGTTGCAGTGAGCCAAGATCACGCCACTGCACTCCAGCCTGGATGACAGAATGAAATTCTGTCTCAAAAAACCAACCAACCAAACAGACAGAACAGGGAGGAAGAATGTCAGTCATGGTGTGCTGCACTGGATGGCCGCTGTACCAGCAGCTGCAGATTAGCCATTTTAGAGTGTACTTCCCGCCGAGTTACTTGATGTGTCTTTGCTCACATCTCCTTGTGGGAGACTGTTCCAGTCTTTCTCTTTAGAGTATGTATTTTGGAATATGCAGCTCATAGGTAGTTTCCATTTTTATAGTATCTTGGCTTTAGGTTTGTACCAAGTGGGAAGCTAGAGATGAGAGTTTAACTTTTTATTTTTTTTCTTTTTTGAGATGGAGTCTTGCCTTGTCACCTAGGCTGGAGTGCAGTGGCACAATCTTGGCTCACTGCAGCCTCCGCCTCCCAGATTCAAGCATTTCTGCCTCAGCCTCCCTGAGACTATAGGCACATACCACCATGCCCAGCTAATTTTTGTGTTTTTAGTAGAGATGGGATTTCGCCATGTTGGTCAGACTGGTCTCAAACTCCTGACTTCAAGGGATCCAACTGCTTCGGCTTCTCAAAGTGCTGGGATTACAGGCGTGAGCCACTGCACCAGGCCTAGTTCAAGTTTTTTTCAACCAGATGTATGAAAGCTATGCTGTGTCCCTCTGAGGTCTGGACCCTTGGTTTTTCATGGCCAAACGTAAAGATTGGCCTCACTGCGGGTGTGTGGGTTTGGATGAGAAGCACTGTGTCATCAACAGGACCAGTCATGATTTTTATTTATTCCTGGGTGGCCACTCTGCCCTCCCAGGTAAAAGGCAGAGCAGTGAAGATTAGACCAAAGACGAAGGACTGGCTGAAAGGTTTGCGAGAGGAGATCATTCGGAAACGAGACAGCATGGGCCCTGTGTCTCCCACTGCCAACTCCTGTTTGCTGGAGGAAAACTTTGACTTCACAAGTTTGGACTATGAGTCAGAAGGTTAGTCACCCTGCAGGGAGGGACGGGCAAGCTGTTCTTCCAGCAACAGGCTGAGCTTTTAAGGACACCTTCTAAAGCCTACCTTGCAGAAGTGACAGAGGACACCCACAGGGCAAGCCCTCCATCCCATGTGATGAACATGTTCACATGTGTGGACGATGCATGCTATGGTACCTGGGAATGGAGATGTCTAAACTTATGCTACAAACACTGGCTTTGAGGATGGCAGAGCTGTGGGCATACGAGTGGAGTAGGGGTACCATCCCTGCTTGCACCCGGACCCTGGATTGCAGGGCAGGGTGCAGGTGTCCAGACAGGAGCCGAACTAGTCCCACTAATGAAAGACCATGGCTTTTCCCCTCATTGTTTTCACCTTAATTGTGATTCATTTCTCCCAGGGGATATTCTTGAAGAGGATGAAGACTACTTGGTGGATGAACTCAGTCAGCCTGGGGTCTCAGACAGTGAATTGGGGGGAGATGACCTTTCTGATGTCCCCAGCCCCACAGCAGTGGCTCTGCCCAGCAAGTCACCTGCACTCACCAAAAAGAAGCAGCATCCGACGTACAAAGGTAGCCTGACCCTTTTCTTCTCAGGAGCCCCTGCCACAGAGTTAGCTCAGGATAGACTTCTCTTTTTCTCTCAGCAGTTGGGCACTGTATGATGTCAAGTTTGCAAGTCCCAGGAGAGACTTAAACCAGGCAGGCCCAGCGAGTGGTGGAGACAGCTCTTCAGAGGCAGCCAGCTCCCACATCCTGAGTTCCTCTAGTTATTTTATTTTTTTACAGTAACTTGTACCCCCCTAACACACCAGATTCAAGATAATTCCTGTTTCTTCTGGACATTCAAATAGTTGTCTATTTGTGACTATTTCCCACCCCCCACAAAACTCTTCTGATCTGGCCGGGCACAGTGGCTTACACCTATAATCCCAGCACTTTGGGAGGCTGAGATGGGCGGATTGCTTAAGGTCAGGAGTTAAGACCAGCCTGGCCAACATGGCAAAACCCCATTCTCTGCTAAAAATATTTTTTAAAAATTAGCAGGGCGGCTGGGCGCAGTGGCTCACTCCTGTAATCCCAGCACTTTGGGAGGCCGAGGCGGGTGGATCCCAAGGTCAAGAGATCAAGACCATTCTGGTCAACATGGTGAAACCCCATCTCTACTAAAAATACAAAAATTAGCTGGGCATGGTGGTGCAAGCCTGTAGTCCCAGCTACTCAGGAGGCTGAGGCAGGAGAACTGCTTGAACCCAGGAGGCGGAGGTTGCGATGAGCCGAGATTGCGCCATTGCACTCCAGCCTGGGTAACAAGAGCGAAACTCCGTCTCAAAAAAAAAAAAAAAAAAATTAGCAGGGCATGGTGAGACTGAGGCAGGAGAATCACTTGAACCTGAGAGACAGAGGTTGCGGTGAGCAGAGATCTCCCCATTGCACTCCATCTTGGGCGACAAAGTGAGACTCCATCTCAAAAAAAAAAAAAAACCTTCCAATTCAATCCCAATAGAGACATATTTCATATCTATGTCCTGAGTTGTTTGTATATTGTCACATTTATATAGTATCATATTGTCCTACAGTCATGCTACATGGCCATATCATTGTATCATTTTAGACTTAAGAGGGCCTGAAAGGTCACACAGATTGAACCACACACCCTTAGATTAAATGATACAACTTTTTGTTTTGAGACAGGCTTTCATTCTGTCTCCCAGGCTGGAGTGCAGTGATACGATCTCAGCTCACTGCAACCTCCACCTCCCAGGCTCAAGCGAACCTCCCACCTCAGCCTCCCAAGTACCTGGGACTACAGGCATGCACCACCATGCCCAGATAGTTTTTTGTAGAGACAGCGTCTCACTGTGTTGCCCAAGCTGGTCTCAAACTCCTGGGCTCAAGTGATCCTCCCACCTAGGCCTCCCAGAGTGCTGGGATTACAGGCGTGAGTCCCTGCACCTGGCCAATAACTGTTTTGAGTAACTTCTGAAGCCCAGAAGTTACTCATGCCTCTAGCTGTGAGTCATTGCGTCCCGAGTTGGAGGACACTCTAACCAGCAGGTACAGGAGCTCAGCCATGCATTGGGCCTCTTGAGCTGGGGCTGAGAGCAGAGAACAGGGCTGAAAGTGAATTAAGATACTTCTCAGGAAGGGTACTTTGCCAGGAGAGGTGCAAAGACCTCCAAGCCCCTTTGACTGTATGCTGGTCCCCACACTGATCAATAACTTGCCTACACCAAACCATCAGAAGCTTTTAAATCAGAAGCTTTTAAATGTATGGCTTTTTGAGCCCTGCTAGAGAGATCTGGATTTGGCAGGAGTGGGGTGGGACCCTGGAAGCCTGGCATTTCACCAAGCTTTCCAGGTGATTTGGACACACAGCCAGGTGTGGGGAACAAAACCAAAGCAGCAGCCTTCTTCAGAGCATCGAGCTGGTTGTGTGTGTTGCTCCTGCCAGGGGCGTCTGCCCTAGAGCTAAGTGGCTGGAGGGATGTGCTCTTCCCATGAGAAGGACCCTTTTCTTGGGGATGACCATCATGCAGGCAGCCTCTGGAGCCAGTGTACGTGTGAGCACAGGTTCTCCTTTGCATGAAGCTAATAGAGCGGCACGAGACACATGGGCAGCTTTGCTACCTGGTGGGCATTGAGAGGATCTTCCCTTGATGCTATGGGGTTATTCAGCCATTCCCATTTGTAGGAGAAATCCTGCTTTTCCCCAGTTCCAGCCTCCAGGACACATGGGGTGGAGCCGCTGGATACGAGGAGTGGGGTATCCAAGCCAAAGTGAACTGGAGAGGGCCAGGCTGTGGGGCAGCCCAAGGGCTGCTGATTTGATCTGTAGTGAAGCAGGAGCCTTGCCTCCTCAACACTCCTCAGCCTCTTGGAAGGTGCGTGCAGGGCAGGTCAAGATGGCAGACCCTTGGGAGAGGCCGGCCACAGGCCCACAGGGTTTGGGAATTGACAAGGGAGCAGGATGCCCAGTCCTAAGCACTGGCCACTGCATGCCAGACTGCCCTGCTGCCAGAGCATGGAGAGTACCTTCAGCTTCCTCAGTGTTGAGTGAGGAATTCAAAACGCCTCCCTATGGTTGGGTGACCCTCAGGGGCTGTTCGCAACTGTCTCCTCCACTCTGTGCGAGTCTTGTTATTTCACAAGAAAACACGCTTTGAAATAGCTCAGCGTCTCTCAAGCCTGAGAAACACATGTTGTCCATGGTCCACTGAATGTTCTAAACAGGCACTGGGTACCCTCCCCACCCTGACCCCTCGCCAGCAGACAGGAATGCCCATTTCTGGACAGAGCCTTCAACTGTCCTGCACCAGGTCCCCCTGCCACCCGCGGCCTCCTGTGCTCAGACCCGTGTCTGACACGCCTGAGTGTGGACCAGACCGTTGTACTCATGCCCCGCCATGTCCTCCAGATGACGCGGACCTGGTGGAGCTCAAGCGGGAGCTGGAAGCCGTCGGGGAGTTCCGCCACCGTTCTCCGAGCAGGTCTCTGTCGGTCCCCAACCGGCCTCGGCCACCTCACCCCCCGCAGAGACCCCCCCCTCCAAGTAAGACTCTGCTTGCTTTCAGCTCCCTGGATGCCTGCCGGGAATAACTGCGCGTTCCCTGCTACTGAAAACACAGCTTGGAATCCACTTCTCCTGGCCTTCGGGTCCCCACAGGGCCTCTTTCTCCTTGGGCTCCTTTTTGTTGTAAATCCAGGATGTGTTTGATGTCAGGGCTAGTTGTGTTTCTCATGGCACGTTAAATGGTTCCTTTCCAAAACTGCTCTTCACCCTGGAGCTGGGCTTTGGCGTCAAGCTGCTGTCCCTTGACAGCCTTAGAGAACGCAGAATGGGGCGCAGCCTGGTAGGGACGTGAGCTTCACAGTCAGATGCGTCTCTCTTCAGCTGCTGCGCAGTCCTCGCTCTGCTGCCGAGAAAACAAAGCTGTGATGTGCTTTTGATCAGCTTCTATCTTCCCGCTACTGTTTACTTCTTCCTCCCCAAAAACGCGATGATCAGACTTAGATCTTCCTAAGCCGTTGGGCTCATCGTGGCTGACGTCACAGTAGTAACCTATGGCAAGCCTCATGCCCAGATATAAAAATAACCGAAACATAACATGTCTAAGTCATCTATTATTGTGGAAATTTTAGAGAACAAAATTTTTAAATTCACTTCAGATAAAATTGTTACAAAAGACTTCTTTTTCCGGTTACATGTATCTGTACCAACGTACTTTTTTTTTTTTAACAGAATTAATACCTATTTTCTCTGGTCAATTGTCTTTCATTTAACGGGCTATATTTTCTGTGTCATTAAATGTTCTAAAACTTGATTTGTTAATGGCTGCAAGTATGATTTAAAAGTGTAATTTAACAGTTTATTCCCCTGCTTTGGATTTTTTTTTTTTTTTTTTTGGAGATGGGCTCATTCTGTCGCCCAGGCTGGAGTGCAGTGATCTCACAGCTCACTGCAGCCTTGACCTCCTCAGCTCAAGCGGTCCTCCCACCTCAGAGCTAGAAACACAGGCACATGCCACCAGTCTTGGTGGGTTTGTTTTTGTTTTTTTTGTTTTTGTTTTTGTAGAGACAGTTTCACCATGTTGCCCAGGCTTGGGTTTTTGAAAGATTTTCTTCCCCACACAATATTTTAAAAATCTGGTCCTTGGGCCAGGCACAGTGGCTCACGCCTGTAATCCCAGCATTTTGGGAGGCCAAGGCAGGCAGGTCGCCTGAGGTCAGAGTTCCAGACCAACCTGGCCAGCATGATGAAACCCTGTCTGTACTAAAAAAGAATACAAAAATTAGCTGGATGTGGTGTCAGGGGCCTGTAATCCCAGCTACTCAGGAAACTGAGGCAGGAGAATTGCTTGAACATGGGAGGTGGAGGTTGCAGTAAGCCAAGATCATGCCACTGCACTCCAGCCTGGGCAACAGAGTGAGACACCATCTCAAAAAAAAAAAAAAAAAATGCGTTTCTAGTAATAGTATTTGGAACCATTTCAAAATCAATTGGTTTTTATATCAGATCTGGCTCCCCAGGATTAAAGTTCGCATTCTAGTAATGTGTCTCTAAATCACTGACATCAATAGGTAGACGCTGGCAGAATCTAGTGAGAAACTCCATAGAGAGCCCAGGAGGGCCCGGCTCTGTGGGCGCCCTAGGTGCCGAGTGAGTACTCAGACCTCGCCGTGCCTGTGTTCTGCTGGGACATCCGTCCGTCTAGCCGGGCTCCTGGCAGCTGGCTGGGAAACCGTGCTTCACTGAGATTGAGATTCTTCACTCCTTGGTTTTCACAGCTGGTTTAATGGTGAAAAAGTCAGCTTCAGATGCTTCCATCTCCTCCGGCACCCATGGGCAGTATTCGATTTTGCAGACAGCGAGACTCCTGCCAGGAGCACTTCAGCAACCAGTGAGTTCTGCACTCATTTCACACCCAAGGGTTTTGCTGCAGTAGAGTATGGGATCTCTCTTCCCAGCGAATATATAGATTTAGGTGTCTTTAACCCTCTACCTGCTCACCAGTGCATCTCCAGACCCCATAACCTACCCTCGAACGTCCTCCATAGGGCTTTTAAATGGTTGTATGGAGTGTTCTAGAGAAAATTGCTTTTGATGAAAAATCCCAAGTATCCCTGGTTTCCAGATTCATCCATTTCTCTCTCTTCCCATTCTTGCCTCTGCCCTTAGTGTACGGACAGAGCATTGCTTGGTAGAAGGGAAAAGGGGAGAAATTCAGATTGTCATCCCGTGTCATCCCGGGAAAATGATGGTCATTCTGGAGTCAAGTTAATTGAGAGAACAGGCTAAAAAGACACCTAAATAATGAAGTTGGGGAACACACTAGTAAGAGTAAAAGCTGTAGAGGATTGTGGAGGTGCAGGGTTCCAGAGGGTTCCATGAACTGCTGTGAAAGAGAGCAGGTGAAGGCAGGGGAGTAGAGGGAAGAGAGGGGAGGCCAGGTGCTGGGGGGGATGCTGTGCCCGGGATGCCTCTGGGAAGCTGGGCCTGGCCAGGTGCTTGTGCAGCCCCGACAGGTGGAGGGGTGACTGGAGGCCAGTGGTTTACAGTAGTGAAAATAGGTCATGAAAGGCAACCCAGATGCTGGATGAAGAAGAAAAAGCACGTTTGGCCGTGCGTGGTGGCTCATGCCTGTAATGCCAGCACTTTGGGAGGCCGAGGCAGGTGGATCACCTGAGGTCAGGAGTTCAAGTCCAGCCTGGCCAACATGATGAAACCCTGTCTCTACTAAAAATACAAAAATCAGCTGGGTGTAGTGGCAGGCGCCTGTAATCCCAGCTACGTGGGAGGCTGAGACAGGAGAATTGCCTGATCCCAGGAAGCAGAGGATGCAGTGAGCCAAGTTTGCACCGCTGGACTCCAGCCTGGGCAACAAAGAGCAAAACTCCATCTCAAAAAATAAAAATAAAGCACTTTTAAAGAAACACATATCTGGAAGGTATTTTAATAACTCAACCAGACCATGGAAAGAGTGGCCTCTGATTTTGCTTTCTGACTTTAACCTGGTTATTGAAATAAAGACAGAAGATGGTCAGTCCATATACAAAAATCTGTAACCACGCAGCTTTGGAGACAAGGGTCATTAGGTCTCTAGCGTATGGCTCTCTTGTTGGAAAGAGGGTGCTCCTGGGGAAAGAGAGGATGGCAGGGTGTGGTGGAGGCTGGAGTTTGTATGGTCAGCATAGTCTGGGGGAGCCCTGTGCAGACCCGCAGGTAGCACATGCATCCGTGAGGCTGTCTTCCTGCCTGTGCTGATACTCTGCTCTTCCTCATTCTGCCCTCAAGCCCAAGGCTCGGACTGGAATAAGTAAACCTTATAATGTCAAGCAGATCAAAACCACCAATGCCCAGGAGGCAGAAGCAGCAATCCGGTGTCTCCTGGAAGCCAGAGGAGGTAGGTGTTCTGCTGGAAGGGGAAACCCGATCTCCTTTTCCTCTCCCCATTAAAAGTGGTCTACGAACAAAAATAACTCTCTTTATTCTTCTGGAGGCAACATAAAATGAAAGCATCCTTTAGCAAGATTTTATATAAATCTATACTGATTGTCCATTTAAAATTCAGTGTGTCTATGAAAATCATCCTAGGGCTCTTAAGCAGCATCTAGAGGAGAGACTGAAATAAACTAAATTGAATTTTAAAAACAGGTTAATGCTGCCAGCACTGAGTCATTCTGCTAGCTTTATAAAAAAAGACACAGTTACAGTGTTTGTCCTAATTTCAGGCACAAAATCTACCTTTTAAATGGCTGGCAAGTGTAAGTAAAGTTTTTAGTGTCAGGCAGGGACCTCTTTCCCATCATCCTGTCTGTTTTCTGTTGCGGGTACTTCATTGAACCCACGTTAGTCACCTTGGGCTCTCCCGGCTTCATTCATAATCACTGGTAATTTACACTTTTACATTTGGCCTTGGCTTTGTTCCAGAATCTCCTTTGGCAAGAGGAGTGTGTGCCCGTTTTTTTTTTGTTTTTGTTTTTGTTTTTGTTTTTGTTTTGAGACTGAGTTTCACTGTGTCACTTGGGCTGGAGTGCAGTGGCTCAACCCCAGCTCACTGCAACCTTTGCCTCCCAGGTTCAAGCAATTCTCCTGCCTCAGCCTCCTGAGTAGCTGAGACTATAGGCGCCTACCACCATGCCCAGCTAATTTTTGTATTTTCAGTAGAAACAGAGTTTCACCATGTTGGCCAAGCTGGTCTCGAGCTCCCAACCTCCGGTGATTCACCCGCCTCAGCCTCCCAAAGTGCTGGGATTACAGGCGTGAGCCACCACGCCTGGCCGAGTGTGCCCTTTGAAAAGGCGTAAGCAGTCACCATTGCCTAATTTGCTTTTAGTCAGCATGTTTAACTGCTTTGGAATTCTCAAATAATATTGAAGGGGGCATGAGTTAAAAGGTTGAAAACTACTGTTGTAGAATGATACTGCCACAAATGGTTTCTTTTTTTATTTTAGAAAAATAACTAAAACTATGGATATAACAACCCAAGTTGCCATCAGCTGATAAGTGGATAAACAAAATGTGATCCATCCATACAATGGACTATTGTTCAGCCATTAAAAAAGAACGCTGATACACACTACCTCCTAAGTGGGCCTTGGAAAGATTATGCTATGTGAAAGAAAGAAGGAAAACAAAAAAGGCCACATAGTATACCATCCCTTTTTATGAAATGGCCACAGCCAGCAAATTCATGGGGTCAGAAAGTGCTTCGTGCTTCCCAGGGTCTGGAAAGAGGCGTGGGTGGGGAGTGACTGCTGATGGTGTGGAGCTTCTTTTTTGTGTGATGAAAATGTTCTGGAGTTAGATGGTAGTGATGGTTGCACAACTTTGTGGATATACTAAAAACAATGAAGGGTACACTTAAAAAGGGTCAATTTCACAGTATGTGAATTATATCACAATAAAGCTGTTTAAAAAAACAAAAACTAGAGATGTAGGTGTTACTAGAGGTTTGAAATCTACCTACAGTCCCAGCTTAACACGCTCTTGGTCATGGCCCCACTGAGATTTGGATGTGTTTGGATCATCTCCTCTGAGAAAGGTAAGTACATATGAGACTTTGCATATGATCTCAGGGTCTCACTGGTCCATATCCAGACTATCCACAGACCCCAGATCACCACCCCTGCTAGGAAGGTGAATGTGAAAAGCTGGAGCTACTGGGCGCAGTGGCTCACGCCCCTATTATCCTAGCACTTTGGGAGGCTGGGGCAGGAGCATTGCTTGAGTCCAGGAGTTCAAGGCAAAAATTTATTTTATTTCATTTTATTTATTTATTTATTTATAACAAGAGTCTCACTCTGTTGCCCAGTCTGGAGTGCTGTAGTGCAATTTCAGCTCACTGCAACCTCTGCCTCCCAGAGGAGAAGATTGAAGCGATTCTCCTGCCTCAGCCTCCCGAGTAGCTGGGCCTACAGGCACACACCACCACACCTGGCTACTTTTTGTATTTTTAGTAGAGATGGGGTTTCACCATGGCGGCCAGGCTTGTCTTGAACTCCTAACCTCATGATCTGCCCACCTCAGCCTCCCACAGTACTGGGATTATAGGTGTGAGCTACCACACCCTGCCCAAAAAATTTGAAATTAGCTGGGCATGGTAGTTCACACCAATAGTCCGAGCTACTTGGGAGGCTGAGGTAAGATTGCATGAGCCCAGGAGTTCCAGCAACATAGTGAGACCTCATCTCTGCTAAAAATTAAAAAAAAAATTAGCTGGGCATGGTGGCACTCACCTGTAATCCCAGCTACTCAGGAGGCTGAAGTGGGAGAGTTACTGGAGCCTGGGAGGTTGAGACTGCAGTGAGTCGTGATCGCACCGCTGCACTCCAGCCTGGGTGACACAGCACAATCCCATCTTAAAAAATAAATAGTGAAAAAAGCTGGGCTGAACCTAGCTGGTTAGTCCTGAAATACACTGAATTCGTAAATTACCCTTAGGATGTAGACTGTCTAAAGACGAAATCATGCAGTGAATTGCCTCGCCCTTGACACTGCTGCCATGTGGTTTTATGCTTCAGGCGCCTCAGAAGAAGCCTTCAACACCATGGCCCCGAGGGACCAAGCATCCTCTGAACCAGAGCCTATACCAGGGGCAGCCAAACCAGAGACCCCACAGGCACCCCCGCTCCTGCCCCGCCGGCCCCCACCCAGAGTTCCTGCCATCAAGAAGCCAACCTTGAGAAGGACAGGAAAGGTAACAGCCTGTAGCATAAAGCCTCTTACTCCTAAGTCGCTCGGATGTCTTGTTAAGCATTGTGTCTCACAGACAAAAAATCTAGTTACCTATGGACATCCTCTCATTCATGAGTTCCAGACACGCCGTGTCTTTGGAGAAGGGTTTGACAACTGCTTCCTCCCTCATGCCCTACTGTGTCTTGGCTCTGGCTGAGAAGAACAAGGGGTCTGCTGTCTCGCAGATTGTCAGTGTGACAAGAACAGCTTGGAGGTATTATGCTTCCTAAGTGTTCTGGATCCCCAGAGGGAACCACAGTGGGATGCTTTTCCCCACGTGTTCTGGTACCGTCCATTTGTGTGTGGTCTGTGTTGTGTGCACGTGGTTTCAAGGCATTAGAAAAACAGTAACCAATTCCCGGATTTGCCAGGTTCACAGGCTCTCGTGCGGCCTCGGTCTACATGAGGTTCCACCGCTTTTCTTGACACTTTTCTTGCAGATTGTTTTTTGCTCTCGCTCTCAAGCTTCTCAGCCTTGCTTACTGCTTCAAAGACATGAGTTTGTAAGGACAGTAGCAGCCCAAAGACTGGCATCTGTAGACACATCTGGATCTTCCGTTTGATCTCAGTGTTCTAGTAACGGACCCTCGGTAATCCCTCCCTGGCCATCACAGTGTGGTGCTGCTCCCCCGCAAGGGGGTGAGAGCAGGGACTCTGGCTTCACTCTCGGCAGCACTTGCTTTGTATTTCCTGGGTTGCTCTTCCATCCCACGTTGGCTCATTGCCATCCATCCCTCGTCCAGGCCTCCTTACAAAGTGGACCTTTTTCCTCCCCCTTTTCCCTGTTCAGATGTTCCTCGACTTAAAATGGGGTTATGTCCCCAATAAACCCATCATAAGTTGAAAATTATCATATCAAAAAAAAAAAAAAGAAAAATGTCAAAACTGCATCTAATACACCTAACCTACCAAACGTCATAGCCTCGCTGACCTTAAGCATGCTCAGAGCACATACATTGGCCTACAGCTGGGCAAAAAAAAAAAAAAAAAAAAAAAAAATCTAACACAGCCTATATTATAATACTAAAAATAAAAGGTCAAACTTCAAAATTCAAAGTATGCTTTCTATGGAACATTAGCACTTGCAAACTGGGGTAAAGTGGAAAATCCTAAGCAGAACCATTGTTAAGTCGGGGACCACCTGCTTTGTCTTTTCTTGTGAAAGCCAGAAGCAGAAATGGATTCATTTTCTCAACCTGCTGCACAGGAGTTAGAGTAAAAAGCTGTTGGAAAAGAGATTTTTTTTTTAAATTTGTTTTCTAAAGAACCAAAAGAAATTCTGAAATGCCAACGTTTAACTAGCCTACTGATCTCCATTTCTGTACGAAAGCTTCATTTTGACTGTGCAATTGTTTTCTTTGTGATAGATCTGAATCAAAACCAAGGCAGTGTAAAAGTTTCCATTTTTACCAATATTTAAGTATAAAAGATTCAGTGAGCAACGTGCAGTGGCTCACGCCTGTAATCACAGCACTTTTGGAGGCCAAGGCAGGTGGATCACCTGAGGTCAGGAGTTCAAGACCAGCCTGACCAACATGGTGAAACCCCATCTCCACTAAAAATACAAAAAATAGCCGGACATGGTGGCACATGCCTGTAATTCCAGCTACTAGGGAGGTTGAGGCAGGAGAATCGCTAGAACCCAGAAGGTGGAGGTTGCAGTGAGCTGAAATTACACCATTGCACTCCAGCCTGGGAGACAGAGTAACACTCTGTCTCAAAAAAAAAAAAAAAAAAAAAAAAATTCAAGGAGAAAGTATATCCATTGGTTCTTCAATTAGTTTAGTATTGTAACACAAGTTACTTCACCCTAGCGTGGCCCAGACCATACATCAGCCCAGGCTGCATTTTCAAAGAGTGTTTTCAGAGAATTTCCCTTACTTTCAGTAAGGGAAAAGCATAACCCCATTTCCTAAAGTGACAAAGAGAAGTTTGTCTCTGATTATTTACTGTGGCCCTGGTTTTAAAATTTCCACTCATTTTCATTGGACCTGCTGGTGTGACCTGATAAATGTGTGTTTCTCCTGTGCTTTTTCTTACCTGGTCACATTTCTGGCATCCCACAAGTTCTCAAATCTTGAATTTGCTAGAATGTCAGCTTGGTCTCATCTCTGTCCTCTGCTGACCACTCAGTGTCCTCTGGTCCTCGGCTTCCCAGGGGTTGGCTTCTCATTTACACTCTTTGTCCTATTTTTTCTCAGCCCCTGTCACCGGAAGAACAGTTGGAGCAACAGCCTTGCCATTTTACAATCGGGCCCCCGGAGACAAGCCTTGAGACCCCTCCTGTCGCCACAGCTCCTCAAGTCCCTCCTGTTCCCAAACCAAGAACATTTCAGCCTGGGAAAGTTGCAGAGAGGAGGCCAAGCCATGGAAAGCCAGCATCAGATGAAGCCCCTCCTGTGGCAGGAGCCTCCATGCCACCACCTCCAGAGGCACCATCTCTTGTGCCCAAAGTCCCCCCGAGGAGGAAGAAGTCAGCCCCCGCAGCCTTCCACCTGCAGGTGCTGCAGAGCAATAGCCAGATCCTCCAGGGCCTCACTTACAACAGCAGCGACAGCGCCTCTGGTCACCCGCCTGACACGGGCACTGCATTCCCACAAGGGGACTTTCTCAACACTTCCTCTGCTAGAAGCCCCGACAGCGATGGCACCAAAGCAATGAAGCTAGGGGCAGCCCCCCTTCTTGGCGATTATCAGGACCCCTTCTGGAACCTTCTTCACCACCCTACACTGTTGAATAACGCTTGGCCTTCTAAGAGCTCAGACCCTTTGGACTCAGGGACCAGGAGCCCCAAAAGGGCTCCCATTGACCCAGCATCAGCTAGAGCTTCAGCTGCCAAGGTGGAGCTGCCACCAGATCGTGAACACAACACCTTGGGTCACTGGTTGACAATCGGTGACCAAGACAAGAGGACAGCACTGCAGGTATTTGACCCACTGGCAAAAACATGACTCCGTGGCTTTGAAGGCCGCCCTCCTGCAGAATGCATACCTTCTTCCCTCTAGGCATCGCTCCACCAGAAGACACACCCATTTAAAGGCACACTGGCTAAAACATTTGTGCATCTGTCACTTGCGTAGTTTACAAAAATTGTGTCTCTTATTCAGTAAGATGGTTAGCCACCAAAAGATATTTCATTCAAGACTTGTTCATCTGAAGTTTCCTCTTAAAGGAATGGGAACCTTCCTGTTAAATTCGGTGTATGGATTTTAAGCAAGGACATCTAGCTGATGAGGCCCGAGAAGTTCTTGCCCATTGAATTTTTAAATGGTCATTCAGTTCATGTTGTCTTTTGTCTTTTGTTTTATTTGTATTTTACAGATTTGGAATAACATTTTGGAGAGCTACCTGAAGGTTGATGTATAAAGTAAGGATTCGAGAAAGAGGTCTTTGGGACCATTAATAGCTGCCCTGGCCCACTTAAACAAGGTTACAAAAAGTCAGAGTAGGAAGCAGCAAATAGGTCAGCCTCATGACTAGACTGTACATTCCCATGAGCCCTCGTGTTTAACTGTATCCATGTGTATTAACCTTGATGTGTGAATCCCCGGGAAGCTGGTGTCATACACCGTTTTGCCTCTAAAGTATATACTGTTAGCTTAACCTTAGCTTCAACTAGCTGAAGACTCCTGTGCCATCTCTTAGACATTGCATGCCCTATCAATTACTATAATCCTGGGCCATGGCGTGCTACTGAAACCAATTTTTAGCCACCATCTAGTCCTTATTAAATGAAACCTCATGGATTCTTTGTTCCACTTATATTCCATACATACCACATAAAAGCACAGTGTGAAAACTCATGCTGGCATGGGATATTGATTCTCGTTGTTAGAAAATGGAGAGTATTTCAGCCTCGTCTGACCGGCTGGAGCTTCAGGGTGGAAAGTACTATGTGTCCGTGCATCTAAGAATCCCCAGGGCAGTGTTTCTGGGTTTCCTTGTCTGTATGTTTATTAGGTTTATTTCTTGCCTATTCATTTTACCCACATTTCCAACACCACTTCTCACCTATTCGATAACTGAAAAAGACATTACCATAATGTTTTACATTTCTATAGTAATGTGACAAGGTCTAGCATCCATTTGGAGCAGATATTAATAAGAAGTTCACTGGTGAAATCTTATTGTGTCACTTGTCGTATCTGGGAGCCTTTCATGTCACAGACTTGTACAGCAGTGATAAAGTGTCGTTCCTCACATGACTGGGAATGTCTGTCCTAAATGCTCACACTAGGACGGTAAGGATCATCTTGCCCGGGCTGTGCCACTGTCCTGTTACCAATTAGACCTCTGGAATTTCAGAGTTAGTTTTCATTGTCACTATCAAAATGTATTGTAGATTACTTAAATCTGGCAATCAAAACAAAAGCTACAACAGGCATCTCTTTTCATCTGAAAACTAATACCGGGAAAAGGATAAAAGAAAAAGGAATCCATGATCCACAGAGCTAAACAGATAAGATGCATAGTTGACCAGACATAAAAGGGGGTGTTTAGGTGGTCAGGATGCCTTTGGCGGCATTTACGTGCTTTATGTGATACTTACCTCCATAACAAGAGAAATAAATGGAATGGTCCTTAATAGAGTTTAGGGGAGCGCCCAAGATGGGTTGCTTGGAGAAGCTGATTTGCCAAGATGCACATCGCTACTAACAAGCAAGAGTCAGAAATGAAGTGAAATTGAAGAATTTATTCAAATGCTCTTTTCCTTATCACCTCTTTTCTCACCAAAAAGGAGGTAAATTTGAAAACAGAAAAATGTAACAACCAGTCAGGAAAAGTGAGCTCCTCTACTGCCTGCAGTGCTGAAAATAGATCTCATTTTTAGGTTTTCTCTTTGTTCCGGAGAGCAAATAAATGGGACAGAGAATAAAATTTCTGTTAAGATAGGTGCTCATCTCCTAAGTAGTGAATCCAAAAAGTTACAAGGAGTTTAAGAGTTAAATATTATTTGATGATGGCTGTCAAATTTAGTGAACAACACAGATTGGATTTTGAGTTGGTGATATGTGGTTCTCAACCAGAATTCTCTTTAAAAAAAAAAAAAAAAGAGGACAATTGGAATTGCCTTATTTTTAAAATTAATGCTTACTAGTTGGTAGCATTCCCAGGTCAGCAGCAGAGCTGATTAAATAATCTTGACAGTGAGCAGCTGCCATCTTGGGGATTTCGTCCTGTGGTTTTTTTAAAGGTTTCATCTTTGATGCTACCATCCAGGACTTCTGTGACCTTGTAGCTTACTTTGTTACTGCTGTTCTCTAACGTGATGGACTGCTTTAGGTACTTGACAACTCACCATTGCCTCCCTGATCCAAGCATAGTACCTTTTACATCATCATCTTCTCAGACTTCTTGCCTGTTCTTAAAATTTGTTTTGGTTAATGGCTGAATTAGGACATCAGCTCAAGCAATTCCTGTAACAGTTTAAAGTTGTTGAAGTTCAAGGCACATAATAAAATTCTCCCTAATGTGTGTATAAGTATAAACAAAGTAATGTATCAAAGCATTCAGTTTACAATGAAATCATTTCATTGGGAAGAAAAGCTGCAAAGATTATTGGGGAACTAGTGATTAATAAAATCCTGTAATATTTTTTGAAGTGAAAATTTGTACTGAAGTTGCACATGATACCTATTAAATGTTTTTGTCTTTTTTAAAATTGGGTTTCTTTCTTTTCAGATATGAAGAGAAACTTGGAATATCTGACTAGCCATCTGTTCTGGATCAAGTGCAATTACTAGTTATTCCTCTTGAGTTTTGGGTTTTGATTCATTTTTTTAACTATCAAATTAAGTTGAAAAAACAAAAGTAATCATTTGGTTAAGAATTTATGACTTGAATGCTACTAGCAGGGACCTCTGCCACAACATATAATAACTTTATGCTACGTTATCTACAAGACTTGAGAGCTGCTAGAATTTATTTTCTGCATGATTTTATAGCAAACTTATAAAGCCTGAACTGCTAGTTTGAGTCTATTACAACATAGAGGCAGGAGATGGGAGGAAACACTCTTCCAAGTTCTGTTTAGGTTTGCTCTAAGCTAATTAATACAATACAGGTCATAAATGTTCTCTGATGATTTTTAGAAATAATATAATCTCAAAATAATAAATATGGCTAGTCCTGCCTGGCCAGTAAGGAAATATATTGAATTCAATAAATCTGCAGCCAGTTGCAGAAACTTCCTTTCCAAGGGAGTGGGGGAGATAGGTTTAAAACACAGTCTCATAAAAGGCAAATTGTTTGCCTATATCTCAATTAAGATAAGAGTACAAATGACACCAGGCACAATGGCGCATGCCTGTAATCCCAGCACTTTTCGAGGCCGAGGTGGGTGGATCACCTGAGGCTGGGTGTTTGAGACTAGCCTGCCCAACATGGTGAAACTCTGTCTCTACTAAAAATACAAAAATTAGCTGGGTGAGGTGGCACATGAGTGTAATCCCAGCTACTTGGGAGGCTGAGGCAGGGGAATCCCTTGAGCCTGGTAGGCAGAGGTTGCAGTGAACTGAGACTGCACCACTGCAATCCAGCCAGAGTTTGACTCTGTCTCAAAAAAATTAAGAGTGCAAATTGAGAGAGTCATCGTGAACAGAGGGTTAGGGAAGATTTGGGAGAATCATAGTATGTAGTGTTTTCCTGAGTTGATTTTTTTATTTTTTTGAGATGGAGTCTCACTCTTTCGCCAGGCTGGAGTGCAGTGGTATGATCTTGGATCACTGCAACCTCTGCCTCCTGGATTCAAGTGATTCTCCTGCCCCAGCCTCCCATGTAGCTGGGACTACAGGTGTGCGACACCACACCCAGCTAATTTTTGCATTTTTAGTAGAGACGGGGTTTCGCCATGTTGGCAAGGATGGACTCAATCTCTTGACCTCATGACTCGCCTGCCTCGGCCTCCCAAAGTGCTGGAATTACAGATGTGAGCAACCACACCCAGCCAAGAGCTCTTTTTTTAGTGCTGAATAATAATCCATTGTCTGAGTGTACCAGTTTTTCCATTCTCCTACTGAAGGAAATCTTAGTTGCCTCCAAGTTTTGGCAATTATGAATAAAGCTGCTATAAACATCTCTACATTTTTGTGTGGACATAAGTTTTCAGTTCATTTGGGTAAATACCAAGGAGCACAGCTGCTGGATCATATGGTAAGAGAGTATATTTGTAAGAAACTGCCAAAGTATCTTCCAAAGTGGTGGTACCATTTTGCATTCCCCCCAACAGTGAATGAGAGTTTCTGCTGCTCCACATCCTCACCAGATCTGGTGCTGACGGTGTTTTGGGATTCTGGCCATTCTAACAGGTATGTAGTGGTGTCTCGTTTTTACTTGCAATTTCCTAATGACATGATATTGAACATCTTGTCACATGTACATTTGGCATCTGTGTGTCGTCTTTGGTGAAGTATCTCTGTTCAGATATTTGGCCCAGTTTTTAAATGAATGGTTAATTATCTTACTGTTGAGTTTTAAGTGTTCTTCATACATTTTGGGTAACAGTCCTTTAACAGATACATGGTTTGCAAATCATTTTCTCTGAGTCTGTAGCTTGTCTTCTCATTCTCTTGATGTTGTCTTCTGCAGAGCAGAAAGGAGGGTTAAGAATTTGAAAAGTAACAGAGTTGATTAGTAGAAAGAATGCTGCCAATGTTAAAGATACTTCCAGAGGGCCTTAAATCACAGTTGAGGATTTTATTCTGTGTATCATAGAAGCTGGTCATAGAAACATCTGAATAAATCTGTGTGGTAGAATGGCTAAGATTATATGCTTTGATGGGCTAATAGCAACTCTTCAAAGCTACTGGAATATAGTTTAGAAATGGTATGAAGGGAGGATCCAACAACTTCTTCCTGAGGGATGCTCACACAAGGACCATTTATTCAGTAATAAACCATTGCTCTTGCTTCCTGAATTAGGTTTCTTAAGGGGTTATTCAATTTTATTGACATTTTCAAAGAGCAGCTTTGGGATTTATATATCCTATTTTTTTTTCTTTTTTATCTTGTATCTTTTTTTTTAGATGGAGTCTCGCTCTGTTGCCAGGCTGGATGGAGTTCAGTGGCATGATCTTGGCTCACTGCAATCTCCGCCTTCCGGGTTCAAGCGATTCTCCTGCCTCAGCCTCCCAAGAGCTGGGACTACAGGCGCCCACCACCACACCCAGCTAATTTTTGTATTTTTTTTGTAGACACAGGGTTTCACCATGTTGGCCAGGATGGTCTCGATCTCCTGACCTCATGATCCACCTGCCTCAACCTCCCAAAGCACTGAGATTACCAGTATGACCCACAGTACCTTGCCTTTTCTTTTCTTCTGTCACCCAGGCTAGAGTACAGTGGCGTGATCATAGCTCACTGTAGCCTTGACCTCCTGGGCTCAAACGATCCTCCCACCTAAGGTCCCAAGTAGCTGAAACTATAGGGGCAGGACACCAGGCTGGTCTCGAACTCCTGGCCTCAAGCAATCCTCCTGCCTTGGTCTCCCAAAGTGTTGGGACTACAGGTGTGGGCCACCATGCCTAGCTCCCTCTGTATTGTATTTAAAAATATTTTTCATTGGCCAGCACAGTGGCTCACGCCTGTAATCTCAGCACTTTGGGAAGCCAAGGCAGGCAAATCACTTGAGATCTGTAGTCTGAGATCAGCCTGGCCAAACATGGGAAAAACCTGTCTCTACTACAAATGTAAAAATTAGCTGGGCGTGGTGGTACATGCCTGTAATCCCAGCTACTTGAGAGGCTGAGGCACGAGAATCGCTTTAACCCAGAAGCCGGAGGCTTCAGTGAGCCAAGATTGCGCCACAGTACTCCAGCTGGGGTGACAGAGCAAGACTCTGTCTAGAAATTTATTTTTTCCTTTGTTTTTCAAACATCTCTAATTTTAACTTTAATTTTGATCTGTTTTGTACTATTTTGTTCTTTTCCTAATCTTAATTAAAAGAACTGGGTTTTTAATTTTAGTCTTTCTTAATAATAAAAATATTTAATTAAAGTTATACATTTTCCTTTGATTTTAGCTTTAACTGCACTCTATACATTTTGGCATGAAATTTTCTCCTTGTCCTGAATTACTCGATTGTAATTTGTTGTTATTTCCTCTTTGATCCATTGGTTATTTAGGAGACTGCATAATTTCCAAGTAGTTAAGGGTTTGTTTTTAATTTTTTTTTTTTTTTTTTGGTATTTGAAACTGCTTACCCCTAATTTTATTGGCATGTGACCTGAGACTATGACCTAGAAAAGCATCTACTTTTGAAAACGTGTTAAAGTTAGATGTGACCACGTGCAGGATTGATTTTTGAAGTGGTTTCATCAATATAATTTTTTTTTTCAGTCATAGGGAATGGAGAGTGTGTGTGTGTGTGTGTGTGTGCGTGTGTGTGTGTGTGTGTGTGTGTGTGTGTAACTGATCTGCTGTCAGTTACACTCTACCTGCTGGAAAAGGTCTTTGTGCAAGGGAGATCTGTGGGGGGTGGTGAAGGCTCTAGTGCTAGTTCCAAAGTGATGCCCTCGCCCTCTCCTACCAGAATTCCTTAGATGTTGCTGAATAAATGTTTCACAATTTGTTGTAAGCCTTTTGGAGTATCTCTGGAGATGCTGAATGATTGCTTTTGCTAATTTTGACCAGTTTAATAGATGTCTTTCTGGGGAAGAGGTTTCCCTGAACCTCTCATGTGGCTGTTCTGGAACGTAGCCCCTCTGGGCTCTCCGTGTTCTGTCCCATTGGCCTCCTTGTCTATCCGTGTGCCAATGCAACATTGTCTTATTTTATTTAACTTTGATATCTGATAAGCACTCCTACCATATTCTTTTTCTTTAAAAGTATCTTGGCTATTTTTGAGTTTTTGTATTTTTACATCAATTTTAAAATTAATCCAAGTTCCATTTTTAAAAACCTGTTGGAATTTTTGGGACTGCATGGAATAGAATAGATTGGCTTTACATTATTAGCACATCTCTTCATTTAAGGTTTTCCTTGATGTTTCTTAGTTTTTAACTTGTTATAAGAAGTTTCAGACATACATGAAATCAAACAGTCTCGACTCTCGTATATGTCACCTAAATTTAACAATAATACTTTGCTATATTTGCTTTATATATTTTTCCTTTGCTGAAATATTTAAAGCAATTCTGCTATCACACTTGACTCCTCGATACTTTCAATATGTATCTCATTTTCTTTCATAATCTTAATGTCATTATTATATCTAACATAATTCTTATTTTAAAATTCATTTGCTATTTTTTGCTAGTATACTTATATATAGATGTTTTTATATTGAACGTATCAGCAACCTTGCCAAACTCTCAAAATTCTAACAATTTACTGTATTTTGATATACCTAATATGCCATCATTTATCAGATCCACCATTTATGTACCATCATTCTTAAGAAGACGTCTAAATTATGACTCAAGATCTATTGTGAGATGCAGCCCAATTCCAGAGATGTTCAAATATTGTAAGATGTGTCTTGGAATTGATAAGACATGGTATCTGTGGATTCTTTTGGATTTTCTATATAAATAATCATATCACCAGCAAACAATGAATTTTGTTTATTCCTTTCTCATCCTTGTATCTTTGTGTCTTTTTCTTGCCTAAAGAGTTGGCTAGGACATTTGGTACAATGTTAAATACGCTGATAGTAGGTATTCTTGTGTTATTCCTGTTCTCAGAGGGAAGGTGTTAATATGTTTACTAAGTATTGTTTATTGCTGTTGTTTTCTTTAAATATCCTTTATTGAGAAAATTCTCTTCCTGGCTTGCTATCTTTTGTGTGAATAGTAAATTTTATCAGATATTTTGTGTGTGTTGCAATGATTATGATTTTTCCTTTCATTTAATGTGGTGAATTACATTGACTGATTTTTCAATACCAATCAAACCTTGCATTCACTGTGTAACTCCAACTTGGGCAGATTATTTTATCCTCAAATATTGCTAGATTTAGCTTGTCAATATTTTTGCTTGGGATTTTTGCAGCTTCATCCGTAAGTGAGAGCGGCTTGTAACTTTCCCTTTTTTATACTGCCCTTGAATGGTTTTGGTATCAATGTTTTGTTAACCTCATAAAATGAGCTGGGAACAACACTCTTTTAACTGGAAGAACTTGATAATTTTGGAACTGCTTCCTCCTTAAACTTCTGGTAGCCCTCACCAGTCAAGTTCTGTCTAGGTCTGTTCTAAGCTAATTTTAAGACATAAAATATGGGTCATAAATGTTCTCTGATGATTTTCAGCAATAAGAATACACTGATAATCTCAAAGTAATAAATATGGCTAGTCCTTCCTGACCAGTAAGGAATAGTGTATGGAATTCACTTGGGCCTATAGTTTGTGATATTCTTAAATTACTTATTCTATTCCTTTTATAGGTATAAAACTAAGTTTTCTACTTCATGGGCAAGTTGAGTAAGCTGTATTTTCCTTGGGGTTTTCTATTAAAAATTTAATAATACTGGCCTAAAATATTCATTAATATCCTCTTTTAATGTGTGCATTGTAGTGATGGTTCCTCTTCATTCCTAATATTGGCAATTTGTGCCTTTTTTTTACCTGATTGTGCTAATGGTTTGTCAACTATTAGTCTTTTCAAATAATCAGCTTCTAGTTTTGCGGAGATTCTATGTTATTTTTTTTTCTATTTCATTTATGTTTTTAAAAAATTCTTCCATCTATTTTCTTTGGTTTTATTTCACTGTTCATTTTTCTTCATTTGACCATATGAGCTAAGTAAGTATTGACCATCTGGTCAAATGTGGTAAGAACATATATTCTCTATTCCTTGGATACAGTATAGGGCTCTAAATATTCCAGCAAGCCACGAAAGTGTGTTAAAAATCTCCTGTGGCATCTGTTTCTTTTTGTAGTTTTCTCCATTTTTGTATTATATAATTTTTATACCATGTACTCACATTCATACACAATTAAAATTTACCATTTTCCTAGTGAATTTAATCTTTTTGTTTTGTTTTCTTGAGATGGAGTCTTGCTCTGTTGCCCAGGCTGAAATGCAATGACACGATGTTGGCTCACTGCAATCTCCGCATCTCCCAGGTTCAAGCGATTCTCCCGTTTCAGCCTTCCAAGTAGGTGGGATTACAAGTGCATGTAACCACAACTGGCTAATTTTTTATGTATGTATATATGTATGTATGTATGTATGTATGTAGTATTTCGAGATGGAGTCTAGTTTTGTTGCCCAGGCTGGAGTGCAGTGGCATGTCTCTGCTCACTGCAACCTCCGCCTCCCAGGTTCAAGCAGTTCTCCTGCCTCAGTGTCTTAAGTAACTGGGATTACAGGCACCCACCACCATGCCTGTATTTTTAGTATTTCTAGTAGAATTTTTGTATTTTCAGTAAAATTTTTGTAATTTTAGTAGAAATGGGGTTTCGCCATGTTGGTCAGACTGGTCTCGAACTCCTGACTTCAAGTGATCCACCAGCCTCAGCCTCCCAAAGTGCACCATATCTGGCCTGAATTTAATCTTTTACCACTATCAAGTAACCGTCTTATGGCAGACTCTCTTTACTTGTCTATGTCCTTCGCCTCTCTTCTATATTTTCTACCTTTAGTTTCTCTGCCCTACATTCTGAATACTTTCTCTTTCTGATCTCTCTTCCAGTTCACAAACTTTGTTCAGGTGCAATCTAATTTCAACTAGTTTCCTTGTCTAGAATCTATTTCTAAGTGGAATCTGTTTTAGACTTTCTAAAATCTAAGTAAGTCATTATATAAGCCTGTTTATGAAGATATTTCAACCTTGTGTTTTAAAAAAAAGCTAAGCATGGTCGTTTTCTTTTTATTAATTTTTTTGACAGAAGAGTCTGTTCTGCTGCTATTCTCATTTATGGTATCTTATTTCCTTGTATGCCTGGTTATCTTTATTCACTGATTATGGCATTTGAAAAACTATTTGTAGGAATAATTTAAAGGCTGGGATGAATATATCTTCCTAATTTGCTTCTGTCAGATGCCTGGAGACATTACCAGACTGGAATCCTCTTAACTCAAGTGGTGGGCTTGAGATTTCTTGAATCATCCAGGAGTCATGAGCATAGTATGTTGCTTCTAGGTCATCCTTACTTTGTGTAACAGCCCTTTGCAGTTCCAGTTTAATATATTTGGGACCATCAGACTCTCCTGGCAAGCCCTGGTCTTTAACTTCTGTCCCCCTTACCTTGGGAATTTGCCAAAACCATAGCTCCATCTCTTGGTTGCTTCTTTTGGCTCTGCAAATGACCTCAAAGTGGGACCTTGTACAAAGAGACCCATCTAAAGAGGTAAAGTGGGATCAGAAATACAAATCCCTGCTCTATGCTCCAAGCCATAAGCTGGAAGAGGAAGGGCCTTTTAAAAATTATCTGGTGAGCTGTGATTGTGCCACTGTACTCCAGCCTGGGTGACAGAGAGAGACCCTGTTTCAAATAAATAAACAAATATTATATTATCTCCCCACAGGGGACTTGCTTTTTGTCTGTATACAGGGGCTGCCAAATATGTGAGTGGCACCCTTGCTTCAAGCCAACATAGTCTGCTTTCTGGTCTCCTCTTCAGTTAGTTTGTCTTTTTCTGGACTCTATTTCCTTTGAGATGAAGTCTTGCTCTGTCACCCAGGTTGGAACCCAGTGGCACGATCTTGGCTCACTGCAACCTCCACCTCCTGGGTTCCAGTGATTCTCCTGCCTCAGCTTCCCAAGTAGCTCAAATTACAGGTGCATGCCACCGTGCCCGGATAATTTTTTTATTTTTAATAGAGATGGGGTTTCACCATGTTGGCCAGGCTGGTCTCAAACTCCTGACCTCGGGTGATCTGCCCGCCTCGGCCTCCCAAAGTGCTGGGATTACAGGCGTGAGCCACCACGCCCTGCCTCCTGGACTCTATTTATAGAGATAAAATAATGATTTATTTCTCTCAACAAATCATTTTCTTCATAGCTCTTTGACAAAGACATTTCATCTAGATTCTTTAATTGTTCTCCTAAACATATCTACCCCTTCTCCCCATGTTATCACATCAACTAGTACATTCGTTGTTAGCAACTGTCATATTGGCTGTATCTACATAATATAATAACTGGGGTTTGCTAGGTTGTTGTATAATCAAACAATTAGGTATTGATAGGGTGTATTGGTGACCCATTTACCTTGAGATGCTGCACTCCAGTTTTAGCTTTGACTATCCCAACCTATAGAAGTCCACCATCTTCAAAATGTTAAGCACAGACTTACCATTTGACCAGCAATTCCACCCAAGAGAATAAAAAAATCTATCCACACAAAAGTCTGTACACAAATAATCATGGTAGCATTATTTATCATGGACAAAAAATGAATAGAACCTACATGTCCATTAGCTGATGAATGGATAAAGAAACATGGCATATCATACAGTGGAGTAACTTTGGCCATAAAAAGCAATGACATACTGATACATGCTATATCATAAATGAACCTTGAAAACATGCTAATGGAAGGCAGAGAGGGCCATATATTGTATGATTCCATTTACATAAAATGCCCAAATCCATAGAGACAGCAAATAGATTAGTGTTTACCACAGGCTGGGGAAAGCAGCGGTGGGAAATGACTGCTAATGGGTATGGGAATTCTCTAATTCTTCTGGGAAAGATGAAATATTCTGAAATTAGATAGCAATGATGTTGCACAACTCAGTGAACTATACTAAAAACCACTGAACTGAGGCTGCGCAGAGTGGCTCAGACCTATAATCATAGCACTTTGGGAGGCTGAGGCAGGAGGATGGCTTGAGACCAGGAGTTTGAGGCCTGGGCAACATGGTGAGACCCTGTCCCTACAAAAAAAAATTTTTTTTTTTTTTTTTTTAATTAGCCAGGTGTGGTGGCATGTGCCTGTAATCCTAGCTGCTTGGGAGGCTGAAGCAAAAGGATCTCTTGAGCCCAGGAGTTTGTGGTTACAATGAGCTATGATCATGCCACTGTACTCCAGCCTGGGCAACAGAGTGAGACCATGTCTCTAAACAAACAAACAAAAAAACCCAATGAATTGTACACTTTAAAACAGTGACTCTTATGGTATGTAAATTATACCTCAATAATGCTGTTACTCTAAAGAAAAAAAAGTCATCAACATGATTTCCTACTTCTCCCATGCTATAGAGGTCAATTAACACCACTTACAAAGGAGCAAAGAAAAAAGGTTTATTTAGCCAAAGGGAATCTGAGAATCCTGATACTACGAATTGCTAATCCATATAATAGCTGAGAATAGTTTTATTTCATACTCTGATGAATAATGGATTAGCTACTTTATCCTTATCTAGGCCAAATTCCAAGCATAGGTAACTACAGCCTAGAAAGAGTTATTATAAGCTAAAATTTTTCTAAAAGAGAAAAAGATTTGTTCTCAGCAATATTAAAAGAGATACAAGGAACTGACCCATGCATGAGAATAGGTCTAGCAAAGTTAACACCAGTAATAATGTGTCAGATAAAGGGTAGAAATGAGGCTGGGCGCGGTGGCTCACGCCTGTAATCCTAGCACTTTGGGAGGCCAAGAAGGGCAGATCACAAGGTGAGGAGATCGAGACCATCCTGGCTAACTTGGTGAAACCCCATCTCTACCAAAAATACAAAAAATTAGCTGGGTGTGGTAGCACTCGCCTGTAGTCCCAGCTACTCAGGAGGCTGAAGCAGGAGAATTGCTTGAACCCCGGAGGCGGAGGCTTCAGTGAGCTGAGATCACGCCACTGCACTCCAGCGTGGGTGATAGACTGAGACTCTGTCTCCGAAGAAAAAAAAAAAAAAACCTCAAAGTTAAAAACTAAAAGTTTAAAAAATTGACACGTTTAGGCCGGGCGTGGTGGCTCAAGCCTGTAATCCCAGCACTTTGGGAGGCCGAGGCGGGTGGATCACAAGGTCAAGAGATCGAGACCATCCTGGTCAACATGGTGAAACCCCGTCTCTACCAAAAATACAAAAAAAAATTAGCTGGGCATGGTGGTGTGTGCCTGTAATCCCAGCTACTCAGGAGGCTGAGGCAGGAGAATTGCCTGAACCCAGGAGGCGGAGGTTGCGGTGAGCCGAGATCGCGCCATTGCACTCCAGCCTGGGTAACAAGAGCAAAACTCCGTCCCAAAAAAACAAAACAAAACAAAAACAACAACAACAACAACAACAACAAAAAATTGACACGTTTTAAAAATTTACCTCAAATCAATACCCAGAGCTAAGACAGTCTTGAATGTTCTCGTTCATTCTTCTCTCCATTTTAGGTACTCTCCTACTAGCATTTTTATGGTAAGTTGAGTTAATGGTGGCTCTCCCCTTGGAACCTGCCGTGCCCTTCCTGGATGCAGCAGGAATCACAGATGGAAAAGGACACTCTATCACAGCAGCTTTGCTCTAGTCACCAAGCCCAAAACTCGGAACCATAAAATGGCACAAAGGGACTCCTGTATACCAAAGGAACCCAATCCAGCCCTTCCTTCTGTGTCTGCCATTTCCGGGTTGGTGCTTTATAGCGCTCGAAGGGAGAACAATGTTCTGTAATCTGCAACACACTCCAGACCATGTTGACACTATGATCACTATGTTTGCATGATTGCTTAGAGCTTAAAAAGAGAAATAGAACAACAAGTTTCTTGCATTGAACTCACATACGAAAATTGGAAGAGGACAACTGTTAGTTTTCAAGGTCTTTGGCTAAAGTTTCACGGATGAATTGTAAAGTACGTTGGTACAAAAAAGCATCCTTTTTCTTTGGCTTACAAATGTTCAAATGGTTAACATCCACAGGAATTAGATCTCCAATGCCTAAATCTGAAGAAAACAGAAAAGTCAATAAACCTAAGTAAAAATATAAGCTTTCCCCTTGGCAATACTGAAAGAGGACAAATGGGCAGTTCTAGATATTGCCTTGGTTGTGACAAGGGACTCTTAAAAGATAAAGGAACTTGAAGCTTGATTGTAGCTAAACTACATTTGATAAAACATGCAGGAATGGATTCCCAGTCAGTATAACCGTAATTTTATGCTTTCCATAAACTTTTTGTGTGTGTTCTGGCCTACTTCCTTATTTCACAGCGAGCAGACAGCACTAGCGTCTTCAAAACCTTCTTACACTTGTGGGTTATTTCTAAGTTACTCAAGAGTTTCTGTTATAAATTTCCTAATAAGTTCCTTTGTCCTGATGAAATGAATGGGAATGTCTCACACGGGATCCATTATAAACCTAAATCCCAATGATCACTTCCAGAGTAAAAATGATTCAGTGCTTGAGATATTTCAGGCTAACAAAGTCCCCCTGCATGGAAGCAGTAAGAGGTACTGGTGAGGCCACCTAGGTGAGGAATGCAGATGGCAATTATAAAGGAAGAAGAGCCTCTTGGTAACAGTATTAGGACAAGGCTATGCCACTCCAAGCAGCTGGTCTATGATATTAACTTTGCTTTTAGGCCAGGCATATTGGCTTATACCAGTAATCCCAGCACTTTGGGAGGCCAAGGTAGAAGGACTGCTTAAGGCCAGGAATTTGAGACCAGCCTGGGCAACAGAGCAAGACCCCATCTATACCAAAAATTTTTAAATGAGACAGGTGTGATGGTGTGCACCTGTGGTCCTGACTACTCAAGAGGCTGAAGTGGGAGGATCGCTTGAGCCCAGGAGTTTGAGGCTGCCGTGAGCTATGATAGTACCACTCAACTCCAGCCTGAATGACAAAGTGAGGCCCTGCCTCTTAAAAACAAAAACAAAAAAAATCTGCTGTTGCTTCAATCCAAAGTCCTTTTTAAAAACATCTGGCAGCTGTTCCCTGGAACTCTTCAAGTTCTTCAACTATTAAATAGTAACTCCTCACCCTATTGCATATTACCTTAAGATAAAACTTTTTTCAGTTCTACTGCAAAGTATGACATATTTTTCATTTTCTTCAGATAACATACAATGAAGTTAGGACAAAACTCATTATGTAGACAAAAGAACCATCTGGCAAGCACTCCAGATGCACGCTGTCCCTAGATTGAAAGACCCACAATGTGGCTGGGCACCACCAGGACAGCACCTAAGCCAGCCTCAGAGTAAGAAAGAGGTTCCCAGAGATAACCAGCAAGCTGAAGACGTGGCCAGGTGAGGCAAAAGCAATTCAGTGGTGAAATGTACGGGGTATCTACTCTGTACAGAGTAATAGAGGAGGCTATGAAGACCGTTAAGATCTAGCAACTCTTCCCTCAAAGAATCTTTAAGACATTACATGACACTAGACAGCTGGCATCGGCCATTTCTCTCAACCCCAGGATCATGAAGAGATTGTGTTTCAACACTAGTTTTTCCGATTGGAATATTTCTGGAGCGTTATTATTCCCCATAGATCTTCTATTTAGGAAAGCTTCCACACTTCTAGTTGATTTTCTTAAGGGTTCCGCATGCAAATATCAGTCTATTAAATAAATGCCCCTTTCAATCTAGCTGATAGAAGAGCTTGCTTTCTTTACTGCAATAGAGTTCACTGTTGATGACTAACTTAGAGTTAACCAATTGACCCTTCTCATCTACTCAGTTACATAAAGGGTGGGGAGAGGTAATGCCTGCATTATATGTTTACAGAGAAATTTAATTCTATTGCTGAAAATAATAACAGAATTCAAATCTAGATCTTCATGAACTATCTCCTAAAACTGAGAAGCTGGATATAAAAATTGGTGTTTACAATTAAATTCTAGGTACAATTAAGCATCTAACAGCCAACAAGTTTCAAAAGAGTGAATACCTGCTGATTCCACAGGCACCACATGGAGCTTAATCATGCTGCCAATGTAAGTTGGTAGTGTTTCCACAAAATTCAGCACCTGGAAGTTTTTGTCTTTAGCAAACTCCAGAAAGTCATCTTGCAGCTTTTTAAGTGCAGGAGAATCTGTAAAATTACACAGAACAAGACTGTGACAAGTATTTTACCCAATGCATTAAACTCTGAAATTTAGGGAGGAAATTAGAATTCTGATTCAAGATGGTGGCTTGAGTACACATGTTTATTTTCTCCCCTGCCAAGAAGCCATTAAGATTCAAGGAAAAAGCTAAAACCAAGAACTGACAGGTCAGCAGCAGGAGAGGCTTTATCACATTACTGGGGGCAGGAAGCAGTTCCCAGGGCAGTCTGGTTGTGTGGGACCACAGGCGTCCTCCAGTGTGATGATGGTACCACTACACCCACCCCAAAGCCCAGCCTCCCATCAACAAAGCCTGTCTACAATCACAGAGTGCCTGTCCCTTCCCATCCCTCACCCTCACATAAGAAAGGGCAACCAAGAGGCACCAGATAGGCCTGTGACCTCAAAGAGCAGATCAGATAAGCAAACACAAAAGCTGGCCACAGAAAAAGCAGCTAGATGAGGAAGAGAAGGGAACTCACAAACCCTCTACTTAGGATCTTTAGAATTATTCGAAAAGATAAAGGAGCCACAAGACAAGAGGATGTGAGCGCAGAACAACCAGGGCACAGGAAAGAAGGCACGTGCGGAAAACAAAATCTGACTCCACAAAAGGAAAGTCCAACGGAAGGTTTAGAAAAAAACCAACAGATTCTCCATAAGTGGAACAAAGAGAAAATATGAGCAAAAAGACACCTGGTATATTTAGGCTTGAGCCAGGGAGTCCAAATTCTGATTCACAGGTGTTCCAGGGAGAAAACTGCTTATTATTCAAAACAAATACTTTAAAATTAAAACTAACAATCTCAAAGTTTCATTTACATTTTAACAGTTGATGATGTTCCACTCATGGGGAAAAGCCATTTATCAGGTAATTCAGAATAATATTTAAAAGCAAAACATTATGTGATTTTTCTAAGTATTTAGATAATATTAAAATTATTATCATGCTTGAGTAAATAATGGCTTAAGAACAAAATGAAAAGTTATCAAAGAAAAATCAAGCCCAAGCCCCAAATCTTCCATGAGTAAACACAATTATATACAAATTATAAAATGAGATAATATATTCAAGGAATAAACTGGTTTTTTTCTTCTTCTCTGTATAACTGATGTTAATAACCCCAATTTCCTTTATGACAGAAAGTATTACCTTTGCTGAGTTCTTTGACTTCCAAAGAGGGAAAGAGAAGATAGCGAACATTAACAGAGTATTCAGCCAAATGTGATCCATGATGAGGGACGCTATAAAAAATTATTCCTCTGGTATTGTTGATAACAGTACTCATTTCTGGCTTCTTAGAGGCTTCCAACAGCATCTTTTTGACAAGAAGCCCTAGCCACAGACAAGAAAGAAAAACCATGCATAAGGCATTTTCCTTCCCTCTATTACTGTAAAAAAAAGGCCAAATAAGAAATACAAAAAAAGAGATGCTTTCTTTTTTAAAATGGTTTAAACAATAATTCTCAGTGTAGTAGTATAAGAAAGAGGGCCTTAAAATATTAACACTTCATCATACTCCTGATCCTTATAGTGCAAGTCTACAAACAGGTAAGATTCTAGAAACCCATTCATAGGGCAGATCCTTGTCTCACAGGATCTACTGTTCCACTGCAGGAACGTGAGGCACACAGCACTGGGACCTCCCTGAGGACATGAGTGTGCTGTGGCTGGTCTCTCAGCCTGCCATGGCGGCCCACTAATGACCACACTGTTAGGACGGTGCTGTGATCCCACAGCACACAGTCCCCCATGGGGAACACAGGGAACTGTTTCATGGGAACTGTTTCTCGGGAGATGCCTTCTCTTCCATCCCCCTACCCTGGGTTTGGAACCAATAATGAAACACAAAGATCTCAAAGATGATGACAGTGGGTCTTTGAGGACACAAAGGGCTACACCCACCTTTGTCTCAGCAAAAAGCGCCCCCTCAAAGGCAATCCTAAGTTCCTAAGTGCTTCACCAGATAAACTAGGCCATGGACTGCAGAAAGGCCTTCTGCAAGGTGGGTGGTGAAAATTTCAAACTGGACTCGGGGAGTCGCAGGGGAGGCAGTTCCATAAGCAACCACTGGGACCCCAAGAACAGACACTCAATCACACCTGCACCTCAGCAGCTCTGGGCCTGGTGTGAACAGGTAACCAAGGTCTGGGACTATGGGCACTAAAGTGACCACAGACTCTGCAATGGTGAAGGGGAGCAGGAAGAATAAGGGGCACCATTGGGGCCACCCAGGAATGCTGAGGCACGTTTACGAGGTGGGTGTATATGAAATGGGCTGCTTCTCACGTTTATTCATTACCACTATGTGAAAGCGCTTCGCTGGTAACAGGTTGCCCCTTTCTAGAGAAAGGAACGGCACAGAACAAGAGTAGTAATTTAAAAACTACTAGTCATAGCCACACAGATTAATTTAGCGGAGGGTAAGGGGGTCACTATTAAGTGAAACGGAAAGATACAGTAACTTTAGGTTGGCCACAGTGGCTGAAAATCACATCACAACAGTCACTTCACAAAGTTGAAACTGCACTTACCTCCCATGCTATGTGATATCCAAACCACCGGCCTATCCCCAACACCAGCAGCTCTGAGCTTCCGGAGAAGTTCGTTGCTTCTGAATGCAATGGACCTTCTAAACAAAACAAAAACAGCAGGCATGACACGAGGCTATCGATACCCTCAATTTGTTATCTAATTTTTAGAGGTAAGAACTTTGTCTCCAGGACAAATGCCACATTTAGAGTTAGAAATACCCCTATTCTCTCTGCTTAGTTACTTGAACTCCTGGCTTCAAGCAATCCTCCCACCTCGGCTTCCCAAAGTGCAAGGATTATAGGCATAAGCCACCACGTCTGGGATCTCTCTGCTCAATTCCTGTAATAGTTCATTCTCTACTTGTAACTTATTAACACTGGCATAATTAGGAACATCTAAGCTCAGAATAGGCCATTCATTTACTATATGAACACTGTTGGAGCATCTGTGTCAGGTAACTTTTCAGGTCAAACTTGGGTCTCCCTGCAACCGCCCCCCAAAACTTAGGATATGGATGTCCTTTCTCATCCAAGGCCTGACAATGAAAGTATCACCAAATACTGTGGTCTCTTTTGTGAGTTTCAGTTCTACTGGTAGTTATGCTGCAAATATTAAGCTTTCGTAATTTTGGTTTATTCTTTAGAAATACTAGGATGCTATTTAAAGATACTAGGATTAGTCAAGTTTATTACAACTTATTCCTTCCGATGCATGCTTTTAAAACTAGCATAAACAGGATGCTATTAGAATCAGAGAATTCAAAATAATTTTCAAACTAAAGAGGAACTTCAAAACTCTCTAGTCTGGTAGTTTCAAGCTGTTTATTTGTAGACACATTTCTTCAAAATAAGGGTTCTCCAGAGCTCCTCTGGTTGAAATGGGGAGGGAGACCTGGAGTCTTGCCCACTCACCATGACACCTTTCTTAGGCACCTATGACAGGTCCATTCAGAAAGCAATTTGATAACACCGATTTAGACCAACTCTCTCAATCTGTAGACAGAGCTTCCCAGACAAGTTAACTGACTGGTCTAAGACTGCACAACAAATCAAAGGTAGGATCCTGCTACTCTCAGTCCAGTAATTCTGAAATCCAGCACTCCTTCCCATGTATACTACTGGCACAGAGGACACACAAGGGATAGAGCAGCTGATATTTCTCAGCATCTTTCTCTTTGCTTCCTTTAGCCAGTATGATTGAGGACACAAGAGCAAAAAACATCATTTTTACTTCTGATAAAAAAGGAGACTTTGCTAGAGAATCCACAGTCCTTAACCATTAGAATAGTTGTAAATGAGGCTGGGCGCAGTGGCTCACGCCTGTAATCCCAGCACTTTGGGAGGCTGAGGCGGGTGGATCACGAGGTCAAGAGATCAAGACCATTCTGGTCAACATGGTGAAACCCTGTCTCTACTAAAAATGCAAAAAATTAGCTGGCCATGGTGGCACGGCCTGTAGTCCCAGCTACTTGGGAGGCTGAGGCAGGAGAATTGCCTGAACCCAGGAGGCGGAGGTTGCGGCGAGCTGAGATCGCGCCATTGCACTCCAGCCTGGGTAACAAGAGCGAAACTCTGTCTCAAAAAAAAAAAAAAAAAAAAAAAAAAAAGAATAGTTGTAAATGAACATGTTAGCAGCCCACCATTGATGATATACCTAAATCTTCTACTATTCCATTGCTTATTGAGAGCAAACTCCTTCTGGAAGGAAGAGGAAGAAAAGATTGTTTTCATAAGAAAATCCTGTCAATGGCATCAAAAAATTAAAATCACTTCCCATTCCAGAGGGCCTAAACTTGCAGCCTGAATTCTTCCCTGTCCTTCTGGTCTAAAATTTGCCTGTTACCTTTCCATAGGGCACCTTGCTCTCCAGTCGCTCAGGCTGGTGTCATACTCCACAGATATAATTCGAAGAGCAGGACAGTCTTTTGCTAACCATGTCTGAGTAAAATAAAATGTACGTGAGAACAAGTATGAATCTTCACCACTGCAATTACTGCCTAGTAAATGAAATGTATAACTAAAGGCTTCTTGCACTATATAATTAAAGACAGCACTGGAATAAGGTTTGAAGGTACTGTAAAAACAATTCCAGAATTTTATCTTTTTATGTCTCTGGTCTCAAAATGGTACCAATATATAGCATATTTTCCATTTTAACCTGCTATAGCCAAAAGCAAGGCATTTTAAAGTCTATATCAAATTGCCTTTTTGAAAGAATTTAGTAGAAAGCTATCATCTCAGGACAGATTCTGGATCTGAGAATTCAGACACACTAATAATAATGGTCAGAGTCCTATCTCTGTGTGCCCTAGGTTTATCATCATCTCTGTACTTCAGTGCCACCAGAAAGTACAAATCATTCTTCTACTTGATAAGCCTTTGTGAAGGAGAATAAGTAGTAATGGAAAAATGCCCTAGAAACTATTCACACATATATGCAGCATCGCTTTTAAATGAGCTTTAGGTAAATTCCATTCAATAAATTCATTCCAGAATTAAGGTTCCTTGGGAGAAATAATACCAAAGAAATGTAAAGTATAAATTAGCCAGGTGTGGTGGCATGTGCCTGTGGTCCCAACTACTCAGAAGGCTGAGGTGGGAGGACTGTTTCAGCCTGGGAGGTTGAGACTACAGTGCGCTAGGACTGCACCACTGCACTCCAGCCTGAGTGACAGAGTGAGTCCCCTATCTCAAAAAAAAAAAAAAAAAAAAAAGCCCGGGCGCAGTGGCTAAAGCCTGTGATCCCAGCACTTTGGGAGGCCGAGGCAGGCAGATCACGAGGTCGAGAGATCGAGACCATCCTGGTCAACATGGTGAAACCCTGTCTCTACTAAAAATACAAAAAATTAGCTGGGCATGGTGGCTCGTGCCTGTAATCCCAGCTACTCAGGAGGCTGAGGCAGGAGAATTGCCTGAACCCAGGAGGCAGAGGTTGCGGTGAGCCGAGATCGCGCCATTGCACTCCAGCCTGGGTAACAAGAGCGAAACTCCGTCTCAAAAAAAAAAAAAAAAAAAAATCAAGAAATGCAAAGAAAAGAAAAAACAAGAAATGCAAAGTATAATTACTTCTTCAAAGACTTTCCATTTTTATAATTATTAAGGTCATAGAATTAGGTAACTATTATAAATACAATTGTGGTTATACAATTTTTTTGTATTATATTACAACAAAAGTGAACTATTACTGGCTTTTGCCCCTATTTTTTACCTAATATTTTCTCAGAGTCATACACATTACCCCAAACGGAAATTATACAACATAGGGTGACCAGCCCAGTAATGTCCCTAAGGGAAAGAAGAACTGCATAGAAAAAAATCCCAGTACAAAGAGAAAAACAAGCAAGTCACACTCAGGGACCCAACAACCAGGGCCAGAGTCAGTGGCTCCCTCACCTTGGGCCAACATGTCGTATATCTGTCTTCATCCTCTATAGGCTTTTCAATTACAGCCTGCTCACTGTCCTGCTGGCGCCATGTTTTGAATGCTGCTCCCATAAGGCCATGAATAAAAAGGACATCTGCTTTAATGGGCTGACTAATAGGGGAGAGAGTTTTAAAAAGAAGCAGAATAAATGCATTATTGCTTTGGTAAGAATCTACACAGATTCTCTGTGGATGGTGCTTTAAGCAGGTTTATGTGACATAAAATAAAACTGAATTAAAGCAAGCTTTATAAGCACAGGTTTGCTGAGGAACCCTAGAAGGAGCTTTGCCAAAGACATACATAAAGCATGTTCACTGTTCTCTCTCTAAAAACGGAGACATCTGGTCAGGCAGACCAACCACAATCAATTGTAATGAGCTTTAGCAGTCAATCAAGTGACAGAGGTCATGGTCAGATTACCCTCTAAAGACTTCCATTTGAGAATACTCTACAAATCAATAAAAGTATTTAAGAAATTAAAGAACATGCTACTAACAGTTTCAAAGTCAATATGCATAAAAGAGATTTTCGAAATGTATTAAGAAAACTAATACTTATGGGATTTCAAAGTAACATTCATTCTTTGCATATGATCCATTAAAAATTGTAGACAGTTATATGAGTTGCAAGCTATTTATAGTACACATACAATTATGCAACGCACATATAAAATACATTACCATAACATTTTATTTATAAATTATAATAATAGCAAAACTTGGCTAGATGCGGTGGCTCAAGCCTGTATGTAATCCCAGTACTTTGGGAGGCCGAGGCGGGTGTATCACGAGGTCAAGAGATCGAGACCAGCCTGGTCAACATGGTGAAACCCCGTCTCTACTAAAAATACAAAACATTAGCTGGGCATGGTGGCGCGTGTCTGTAATCCCAGCTACTCAGGAGGCTGAGGCAGGAGAATTGCCTGAACCCAGGAGGCGGAGGTTGCGGTGAGCCGAGATCAGGCCATTGTATTCCAGCATGGGTAACAAGAGTGAAACTCCGTCTCAATTAAAAAAAAAAAAAATAGCAAAACTTCTTTTAAATTAAAAAATGGATTAACCAGGTAATCCATTTTTTAATTTAAAAGAAGTTTTGCTATTTTCTGAGGTATTTTTTGTAAAGTGCCCTGAGGAAACCAAGAAATATGTTATTTTTTTCAGTGTGGTCCCTTCCATATTTATTGTCTTAGTAATTATACAACTAGATATAATGACCACAAATAACCTTAAGGAGCATGAGTCAAATTTATTACAACTTCTTCATTTCAATGGATGCTTTTATAACTAGCATAAACCTTCCCCAGTTCCTTGAGTTTTAGGCCCAGGCAAATTTGGCTGCCACATAAAACAAGGTCTTATCTCCTTCCTATTCAGCTGACTTCTACAATCCAAATCAGCTATTAACTCTGATCTAAAAGCAAATGCCTTGAACCAAAGAAGATGTGCGTTACAAAGTTTAAGTGTGACGCATTATCAAAGGTGAATGCAACCTTACTGAGGGGAAGCCCTTTGTAAAATAACCCTGATAATTTAGCTAGTTCACACACTTTTCACAACCACTTCCAATTCTTCTGAGGTTACTACAGACAAACTATTTTAGAAAACAAGATATTTGACTTATAAGGTATTTAACTTATCTGAAAAAAAATAAAAAAAAATAAAATAAAAAAAAAAAAAAAAATTTGAGGCCTCTAGGCTTCACATTCCCAAAGGGAGCAAAGCGACTCTCTTCTGCTTCCTTACCTCGTTCGATACTGGGGATGCAGCACATACACGCCATCCTGGTATTTTTCTTGCACAGTTTCTCGATCTAGATTTGCCAGGATTCTGGCAGCATGTGAAGCCTCCATAATGTGGTGAGATTTCATTGCTTCTGCCATGATGGAAACCCAGCCTGGTGAAAAGTACATATGTCCTAAATACTGATGTGAATCCATCACAGACTGTCAAGAGAGGTTTCAAACTGCATGGGATGTGAGCAAGGCAAACCTCGTGTGTCTGTCCTTGGCAGAGAAGCCTGACCACTCCAACCCCATTCTGCCCTATGATCCTCTGAGTCCCGGGGCACAATACCATGCCATCCCCAAACACACACCCCTTAAGGGATCTCAAAGAAAGAGGGGTTCAAGAGCCATTTTTTAAATTTAGAAAACCTAACACTAATAGCAATTATAGAGGTGTTCACAAAAATGAACAAAATACCATGATGTTTTGCTTTTCACAAGAATTAGAAAACTCAGTGGGTTAAAAGTTATTTCATCCTGACCAGCAATCATAGTAATAGCCGTTAATACGAATGAGGAAATTACTTAATAATAGTGAATTTGAGACACAAAACTCTTGTAGAATCTGGAGATCAGGAAGGAAAAAACATTTTTTAAAGGGAGACAAACAGAAAATGCATAGATAATACTGAAAAAGTCCAGTATGATTTCATTTTTTAAATGTGTTTGTCTTTAAAATTTTATATACATAAATACATATAAGAGTACATGCGTGCACATATACACACAAACACACAAAGATCTATACACTAAACTAATAGTCATTACCTCTTAGGAGAGAGGTAGGGTGGAAGAGGGCTCTGTAAAAAAGGTACATTTAGTTTTTTTGCTATAGCTATTTTCTGAAGTACTTAAAGTCTATTTATATAATTTATTTAATTTAAAATAAAGCAGAACATGGGCCTTGAAGATAGAGAGACTGGGGCTCAAATTTCTGCTCCCTGACTACTTGCTCTGGAACTTCAGTCAAGTTATTTAGCAACCGAACTAGAGAAAGGTTTCAATAAACTAATGTATGTGAAAATCGTGGGCCCAGGCCCAGCATGACAGCTGTCCCCATGTCCTTTTCCCACTCTTTATGACAAAAGTGTTGAGTCACTGTGGTGATGGGAAGCCAGCATTTAATAACCTAAAAGAAGCTTCAGACTCACTACTTCTTTAACAATATTCAAAGTTATAACATCAGAAGATTCCTCTCCAAAATCTGTTAAAGATTTTAAAATAGTAAAATAAGAATATTTTAAAAGTCTATCTATAGACAAGTGAGTTATTGGTATGTATGAAAATATGGCTTTATTTTTAATGAAGTCACAAGAAAAAGCACGGCACAAGCCATCTCTGGCATTTTTTAGTTGACAAAATATGTTCACAATGTCCAACACACTCCACCTTTGAAAAATATCAAATGCCCTTTGGAAAACTTATATCTTTCTTTAATACTGAGCATTTTAAAACTGCATAACATCTGAATGCACTCATGCACCACATAATAATGTTTCAGTCAACAATGAAACACATATACTATGGTGGCCCCATAAGATTCTAGTACAGTATTTTTGCTGTGCCTTTTCTATGTTTAGCTAGGTTTCGATATGCAAACACTTCCCATGTGTTACAACTGCCTACAGTGTACGTACACACAGTAACGTGTGTACAGTTAGTTTGTAGCCTAGGAGCAATAGTCCCATCCAGCCTAGATGTGGAGTAGGCTCTACTGTCTAGGTTTGTGCAAGTGCACTCTATGATGTTTGCACAGTGACAAAACTGCCTAACAATACATTTCTCAGAATGTTTCTCCACTGTTAAGCAATGTCTGTCTGTACATGTTAACTGTAAAAAATAATGAAATAACTGAAAGCAGTATTTAATGATGAAAGCCTTGCTTTAGTACTCTCATCATTTCCCAACTCCATTTACATCCTCAGAGTAATGAAAGCTAGACGTTTGGTGGACACCCTTTTGAAAATTATAGTCATATACCTATAATTTAAACGTATACAATGGGCTGGGTGTGATGGCTCACGCCTGTAATCTCAACACTTTGGGAGGCCAAGGCAGGTGGATCACTTGAGGTCAGGAGTTCAAGACCAGCCTGGCCAACATGGTGAAACCCCATCTCTACTAAAATCATAAAAATTAGCCAGGTGTGGTGGTGGGCGCCTATAATCCCAGCTACTCAGGAGGCTGAGGTATGAGAATGGCTTGAACCTGGAAGGTGGAGGTTGCAGTGAGGTCTCAAAAAAAAAATGTAGCTCTATATGGAATCACACTACTGTTGTGACTGTATTGCAGCAACGTGTCTTGAAGAGCTCTCCATTTATATCAACTTCATTCCTTTTAACTATGGTATTATGTCACATGAGTATGCCATTGTGTAACCATTATTCATTGCTATTGGCAGACATTTAGGTTGTTTCCAACTTTTGTAAATCTAAAGGCAAAAATTTGCAGATCTAAGATTGATAGAAAATATATAAAAACAGGGAAAGACACCGGATGCCTAAAGCGAAACAAACAAACAGGGCAAGGTAGCAGAATTCAAATTGGAGTATTAAGAAGTAATGCCCTTCTTTGAAGGCTGAGCAAAAAGAAGGCAGAGGTGGGTAGCTCTTAGAAGTTTAGCTATAACGGGGAGGAGAGAATGTTATAGGGGATGTAGTTTATGTTTTTCATATCTTCCTCCAATGTATGTGATCAGAAGGTCCAGCTAAGAGGGAGGAGCTAGCTGACCGTTAAGACCAAAAAAAAAGTATACATTCCTGAGACTGTGACCCAAACATGGCTGGAGGCCTTATAAAAGAGGTGTCTCTTCTCCTATTATCAAGAAAAGGAAAGAACAGGATTTGGTTTTTGTTAGTGCCAAAAATTCTTTTAGGGCTTCAATTGTCTGAGTAAAGTAGGAGAAGTCATCCTCTGAAAGAAAGGAATACGTGGAAGGTTTAAGGAACATGGGGAAGGTTTACAATAGTCACTGGTAAGAATGTTAAGGCATGTTGACTGGAGAAACATAATTGCTGAACAATACTGAAGGTTCTTTAATTTGTGATCTTATAAGCATGGTGAAAACCAGTCTGCAATGAGTCCAGGTTCAGACACAGAGTAAGCAGCCAGTAGGTTTCATCAAGATCTTGACCAAGAGACTACTAACAAGATTGAAGGGAAAGGGAGTTGTAGGTACTGGCAGAATGTTACTGAAATAACAGATCATGGAATATAAGCTGGGTTCAGGGAGGAAGTAAAGAAGAAGAGTGATGGACTGGGAAAGGATAAAGGGGTCTATGGATAGAAGACTTCAGTAGAAAAGAAAACCACTCCTTATGGGGTAGATGCAAAAACAAGCCTGAATGAAAGAAGGATGTGCTCAGGGCTGATTTTTAGGTGAAGTGGTTTCAGGCAGTGGTGAGGTTCAATGCATGACTTAGGAGTAGAGTACTCGACAACTCAGGAGCAGAGCAGAAAGTCAATGAAGATGACAAGGTCATGGAATTGAGGCCAGGGTGGTGAGTGGGCTATCCAAGAGATGTTGAAGCCAACCAAGAAGACTGAAGACTTGGGGTAGAGCCAGGTTTCAGAAAAGAGTGATTTTTTTTTCTATAATAAGGTACTGATTTGATCAGGTCTTTATCCTGCTTTGAATCCTTAAGTCTCCGTTTCATCAATGAACCTGTAGCTAGGTCAACAGAAATAATACAAAGTAATGCACAGAGGAAAAAACTGAAACATAATGAATAGAGTCCCAATAACCTGCCAAACAGAATAAAGAAGTCTAATATACTTAACTGAAATTCCAAAAAAAAGATAAGAAGATAAAAGGACAAAAGAATAAATACTGGAGGATATACTGGCAGAAAAGTTTCCACATTTGATCAAAACCATCAACTCATCAATATAATGTATCGTATTACTGAAAATTGCTGAGAGAATAGATTTTAAATGTTCTCACCACAAAAAATGATATGTCTGAGGTAATGAATATGTTAATTCTGTCAGTTCAGTGGACCCCAAGCAAGATAAATATGACATGAAATGCCTAGGCATTTCAGGGTCAAAAATCATGCAGAAAGATCTTAGAAGAAGCCAGAGAAAAAAGATATTATATATAAGAGAACAGAAGTGGGAATCCAAAGAGACTTCTTATCAGACAATGGATTCCAGGAGAGAGTGGAATGACATTTTAGAAATGCTGACAGAAAAAAAAAAAAAAAAAAGCATATATATATATATATATATATATAATATATATGTATGTATATTTGTATTATATATATGTGTATTTGTATAATTTTATATATATATTTATTTTTATATATATACATATATATATATGTATATGTACACATATACATATATATATGGTCAACAAAGAATATCCAGGGAAGATATCTTTTCCTGGACATAAAATAAAGGCAAATTAAAGACATTTTCAAATAATGAGGTGAGAGAATTTGTTGCCAGCAGACCCAATACACAAGAAATACTAAAGGAAAGTCTTTAGGCTGAAGAGAAATATTATCAAATATAAATTCACACATACAGAAAAAAAGCGTACTGGAGATTATAAATACACAAATAAAATAGATTTTTGCTTTCTTATATTTTTTAAATGTCACATGGCTGTTCCTATAGTTTCAATGTGTTCCCTCCAAAATTCAAGTGTTGCCAATGTCATTGTACGAAAAGGTGAGCCTTTAAGAGGTAATCGGGCCATCAGTTGTTCCTCCCACATTAATAGAATTAAGCCCTTATAAAAAAGGCTTCATGTTTTAAGTGAATGCTACCTCAATTGCCCTGACTTGATCATTGCACATTATTGTATGCTTGTATCAAAATATCACTACATGTACATCCCCATAAATATGAACAACTCTCATGTACGTAAAATCTTTTTTTTTTTTTTTTTGAGATGGAGTTTCACTCTTGTTACCCAGGCTGGAGTGCAATGGCACGATCTCGGCTCACCGCAACCTCCGCCTCCTGGGTTCAAGCAATTCTCCTGCCTCAGCCTCCTGAGTAGCTGGGATTACAGGCACGTGCCACCATGCCCAGCTAATTTTTTGTATTTTTAGTAGAGACAGGGTTTCACCATGTTGACCAGGATGGTTTCGATCTCTTGACCTCGTGATCCACCCGCCTCGGCCTCCCAAAGTGCTGGGATTACAGGCTTGAGCCACCGCGCCTGGCAGTAAAATCTTAAATTCAAAATTTTTAAATTAAAAAAAAAGAGGCTTCCTGCAGCATGAAAGCTAGCTTGCCCTTCAGTCTTCTGACATGTGACGATAAAGCAATAAGGCCCTCACAAGACACCAATGGTCAGAACCTTGATCTTGAACTTCTCAGCCTTCAGAACTGAGAGACAACAAATTTGTTCTTTATAAATTACCCAGCCTCCGGCATACAGCCTCAGGTTATAGCAGCACAAAATGAAGTAAGACAGCTATTAAAACAAAAAATCACAACAATGTAACCAGGCACAGTTGCCCAAATACATAGTCCCAGCTACTCCTGAGACTAAGGTAGAAGGATTGCTTGAGCCTAGGAGTATGGGGACAGCCTGGGCAATACAGCAAAACCCTGTCTCAAAAAATAATAACAATGATAATGTATTGTAAAGTCTATAAATAAGAGTAAAATATATTACAACAATACCACAAAGAATGGCAGGGGATGGCCGGGCATGGTGGCTGACGCCTGTAAATCCCAGCACTTTAGGAGGCCAAGACAGGTGGATCAAGAGGTCCGGAGTTCGAGACCAGCCTGGTCAACATGATAAAACCCTGTCTCTACCAAAAATACTAAAATTAGCTGGGTGTGGTGGCACATGCCTGTAGCCCCAGCTACTCGGGAGGCTGAGGCAAGAGAATCACGTGAACCCAGAAGGCGGAGGTTGCAGTGAGCCAAGATTGTGCCACTGCACTCCAGCCTGGGTGACGAGCGAGACTCCATCTCAAAATAAATAAATAAATAAAGAATGGCAGGGAATGTGAACTGAATTATGGGGTTGTAATAATCTTACATCATATGAAATGGTATAATCTTAATTCAAAGTAGACTGCTAGTTAAGGATACAACCATTAAAAAATACACACAAACATAAAAAGCCAAAAGAGGAGAAATAACAGAATTTAAAAACAAACACTCAAATAATACAAGAAAAGTTAGAAAAAGCAGAAAAAGGGGGACAAAGAGAAAGCAAAGAGCAAGATGAACATAACCAAACAATATCAATAATTACATTAGTAAGTTTTGAAAGTGTACCCTCCATCCCACAGCACACACACATATATATACATATATACATGTGTATGTATGTGTGTGTGTGTATATCTGAATTATATGTATATGTATTATCCAGCTCTTTCTACTGAAAGAGGCAAGAAGCAAAGATACCCCAGGAGCAATATGCACTCCTACCATTTAGACCTTGGTCTCTAAGAATCATTCTCCACTAAAAGGATAGAGGTTTCTTCAGAGAAACGAGCCAAAACATCTTGCTATACCAGAAAATAAGAAATGCCTCCCCAAAATAATGTAGGCATATCATAAAGGACATGGGCCAGTTTGCTTGGGGCTCCCATTAGTCAAAGCTGGAACAATTTGGCACCAAATTATTAAGTACGGCAATAAATTATAAATTATTAAAAACAGGAATTCATGTACCCATCCACAGAAGGGAGATAGGAGATGGAGGGAGGAAGGAGGGAGAGAGAAGGGCTCTTGCTTCCAGTAGAATGTCAAATGCTGAAAAGTAAATGCAGAGGGTGTGCTGGAGCTCATTCTGAAACCATTAAGGTAAAGATTAGATTGGGCAGGAACTATCAGAGGATAGAAAGCAGGATATGTGCTTGGTCTTAAGTATCTCCCCACAGCTGGTTTATCACTTGCAAGGGAGAAAATCATTAATCATATAATGAATCTCTTTTAAGTCTGACTGTGCCTCTTACTTAACCAAATCACATCAAAAATCACAGGCCAGGCATGGTGGCTCACACCTGTAATCTCAACACTATGGGAGGCCAAGGCAGTGGGATCACTTGAGCCCAGGAGTTTGAGATCAGCCTGGGCAACAAAGTGGGACCCCATCTCTATAAAAAGTTTTTCAAATTAGCCATGCACAATGGCATATGCCTGTAGTCCCAGCTACTCAGGAGGCTGAAATGGGAGGATCCCTTGAGCCCAAGTGTCAAGGCTATGGTGAGCTATGATCACACCACTGCACTCTAGCTTCAGTAACACAGCGAGACTCTCCCTCAAAAAAAAAAATTATACGTAAACAACTGGATGATCATCATGGCAAACCTGCTCTCCTACAATCACCTACAACACTGATTATCTTAGGCTTAGATTATCTACAATCTCAAGCAATTCCTTGCCTCTACCAAAATAACATGTTCTAAGGACCCATAACTAACCACTTCATCTATTGAAAAACGAACATATCATGAGGGGTAGAGGTAGAAGAACAAAGGAAAAAATACTCAGTATATAAAGCTGTTACCTGAGCGAACTATAGAAGAATGAAGATGTTCATTCAAAGCCATGTTTCCAATGATACGCATTATATTTCTCTGTACTTTAGGGCAGTCCTTGTGAAGTCGATATAGCCTCTGAAGTAGTTGCAGGCCTCCATTTGCTTCTATTTTATCACAATGTGTGGCTATCTGGCACAATACATAAGTGAAAGATACATGTTTATTGCATATGTTTGTTGCAACATTATTTACAATAGCAAAGACTTGGAACCAACCCAAATGCCCATCAGTGATAGACTGGATAAGGAAAATGGGGCACAAATACACCATGGAATACTCTGCAGCCATAAAAAAGGATGAATTCACGTCCTTTGCAGGGACATGGATAAAGCTGGAAACCATCATTCTCAGCAAACTGACACAAGAACAGAAAACTAAACACCGCATGTTCTCACTCAGTGGGTGTTGAACAATGAGAATACATGGACACAGGGAGTGGAACATCACACACCAGGACCCATCAGAGGGTGGAGGGCTAAGGGAGGGATAGCATTAGGAGAAATACCTAATGTAGATGACGGGGTGATGGATGCAGCAAACCACCATGGCACGTATATACCTATGTAACAGACCTGCACGTTCTGCAGAGGTAACCCAGAACTTAAAATATAATTTTTAAAAAAGAGAGCTAGAAAGATCAAGTAAAAATAAAAAGGGATTTGAAGTTTTAATGGAAAAAACAGGCAAAAGAAAAATAAAACATGCATATTAAGGGAAGAGAAGTGACCAACAAGTCGGTCTTTCTAACGTCACTAGGCACAGCCTTGCCTCTTCCCATCACTAGCTTTACTCAAGGACATGATACCATATGCACAAACAGCAATTTTCATTTTCTGGATTTTTATTAAATTATAGCACATTTTAAGTACTTTAAAATGTATGCCTTTTAGATATACTATGTATCAAGTGAGATCTGCAGTAATTTGAGATTTCTGGAAAGGTAACTATTATATTCCATGCACTGCCCTTTTTACTGAAGATGCAGCTCTTGCTTCAGAAAAAAACAGCTCAGGAGACACCACACCCAAGCACGTTTTCCCAAGTCCCTTCTGTACAACAACACAGTATTCCCTCTGCTTTGTGCTCAGTTCCTAATTTCATGGGTGAGAACTAAAGATGACTTTCTAGTCTAAAGATGACTCACACCTTTATGTCTTTTAAGCCATGTCTAATGTGTCCCAAAACTGAGAGTTGAGAATCTCAAGGATGATGCTTCTCTTGATGTGGGATCGATCACTTGCATTCACCTCACCAGGGTGCCGGCTACAAATGCAAAATCTACTACATTAAACTAGATAAAAATGAGTGGAAAAAATGTACTATTTTTAAACACATTTCCTGAGTGATGTTTCTGCACTATGAGCACTACAAGGTTTGTTGCTCTTTCCTTGGTAGTTATAGTTCAAGAGTATGGTCATCTAGTATTTCCTTGGCTTTTTGTTTTTGTTTTTTGGGTTTTTTTTTTTTTTTTTTTTTTTTTTTGAGGCAGAGTCTCACTTTGTCACCCACGCCGTAGTACAGAGGTGCAATCTCGGCTCACAGCAACCTCTGCCACCGGGGTTCAAGCAATTCTCCTGCCTCAGCTTCCCAAGCAGCTGGAATTACAGGTGTGTGCCACAACACCCAGCTAATTTTCCTATTTTTAGTAGAGATGGAGTTTCACCATGTTAGCCAGGCTGGTCCTGAACTCCTGACCTCAGGTGATCCACCCGCCTCAGTCTCTCAAATTACAGGTGTGAGCCACCACACCTGGACTGTTTTTTCTTTTATCTTGTCACATCTTTGGCAGTTGTTTTAATGGAAATTATCTGAAAATATTATGTAAAAATGATCTCAGAAAGGCAGCAGAAGACAGCATACCTGAAAGGTGAATGCCACATTTAGATAATGGGCTACTTTCTTTTTATGCAATTAAAATTAAATAAATTTTTAGAAATACTTGGCAAAACTGAATCTGATTTATTGGTGCTAATCAAGATTATTCTAACAATTAAAACTGGAGGAAAGCAGACATTTAAAAACAAGTAAAAAGCTTTTCTCCTTTTATAATAAATTATGATTACTGCCCTTGCAAGAATCAATCTATACATTATTTCAATCCAATAATAGAAAGTAAACTACATTTTGAAAATGTAAATTACCTCAGAATGTTTTACTATAGCTTCTAAACAGAACATTTCCACTGTTGCTGAAGGAACTTCTCCAAAACTTTCAGCATAAGGAAGTCCATTTCCTCCAAAACACCATAAACCACCCTGAAATTAAAATAATTAAAAGTTTTACTGAAAAAATAGTGACTAATATTTTTGTCTGACAAAAAAAATCTCTGTACTAATATATGGCATTAGAAAATACTAATGTGTAGGGACTCAAAATATATTGGAAACTTTAAAGGAACTTTATACAAGCTGTGGCTTATCAGAATAGAGAACATAGGGAATTATTTCGAGAAGAGCATGACCTCTGTGTCCCCCTCAAGTCTCTCCTCTGTGTCCTTTTGTCTGAAAATAGGAAGACTAACACACAATTCTTTAACAAGAAAAGCCCAGAATGTTCTAGTGTCATCTCTTTCAGTCCCCAGTAGTCAGTACAGTCTATTATTTTCCAGATTCTGCTAATAGCCTACTTAAAGTCTAATAATCAATACAATTCAAAAGATATAAAGCATCACTGGACAAGTTAAAAAGAAAGATCATGATGACAATGATCACAGAGCTTTTAATCCTTCTCAAGTTGAACTTCAAGTTCATATGGAAGAATAAACAAAAATCATTTCAAAAATTACAGAACAAAAGAGTAGCAGGGATTATTCTAACAGATACTAAAACATAAAGAATAAAATAGAACAAACATTTCCATTTCCACTCTTATCATAGATCAACAGCTAATGTCACTAACATGCAATATCCTCCTCCAAGTCAGTGACAATTATAGAAATATAAGCAACAGTAATAAAGTTCTTAGGAAAATGAATACAATGCCTCTAAAATATATAAAAATATATTATAAATTATATATATGTATATATTTTATATTACATAGTATATATTTATTATATATTATAATATACTATATATTTTTATATTTATAAATTATATATGTTATATAATATGTAAATTATATGTGCTATGTAAATTATCTGTATTTTTAATTTTAGAGGTATATCCCTAAATATAATTCATTATATATGAAATAAATATAACATATAATTATATATTTGTTTATATATTTATTTCATAAATATACATAAACAACGCTCAGCACTGCTCATAATGAGGGGGCGTGTACATTGGAAGGGCACTGAGAAACTACATTTGTCATCTATTGGACAGACGAGATTCTGGGGAAACAAGCACGCACAGCACCTTGCTGCTAGTGATATCAATGGCACGACTTCTATGGAGGACAACTTGACACTGGCGATCAAGATCACAAGTGCACATGCCTTTAATAATTGATCCTACAGAGATGCTCACACATAGGGAAAGTGATAGAATGCAAGTCTGCTCACTGTCGCATTGTTTGTACAATAATAAAGACTGAAAACCAGCTAATATTCATCAATGGGGGTTAAATCAATTATGGTACAGTTGTACAATGGAATGCTATGCAGGTCTGAAAAATTTTGTCTCTTCTTACATTGATACATACCAATCTCCACAATAATCCTTAAGTGAGAAAAAGGTACAGAACAGTGTACAGAGAGAGAGAGACTGTGTGTGTGTGTGTGTGTGTGTGTGTGTGTGTTGGGGTAGGAGAGACGAAAGGCATGGAAAGAAGATGTATTGCTGCATTGCTGTAGGTGCTTTGGAAGTGTTTCACTTTTGAGCTAGGGGTCATAACTGCACGCTTACGGCCCACCTGCTGGCAAAAAAGGACAACTAAAAAGCAATGGCTCAAAAATGTACAGAGTAATATAAAGCCCAGTGTTTTCTATAGAAAATATAATCCATAAAGTTCTGCATTTTAATTTATAAGGTCCATGGTTCAGTAAACCAACTAAAAATAAATTTTGGCCACTCTATACCTTTTATTCATGCCTTCTTCTCATATATATTGTTTTTCTAAATTTAAACATGCTTGAATCTGAGAGTCACATTATTTAAATTGAGGATTGAGATATGGCTAAGTCATGAAAAGTCATCCTTCTCTGGCAGAGATAATGGTAAATAGTGGATTGGTGAACTCTGTTAGAGGGTAGGAATTTTTTCCTGAAGATTTACCACCACATCCTGGCTCCTCCAAACCCCTCTTCCCAGCTTGTACCCTTGAATCATCTGATCTATTTCTACTCTAAATACCCCAAGGACAGAGACAGGGGAGAAGGCAAAGAAAAATGATCTAGGACTTTCATTGTCTTGGCCATTTTGGCAGTATGATGTACAGTGCAGGTCCCATTTCATTCTCATTGTCAGCAAAGCTTGTTACTTATGAATCGGTAGATTTCGTGGCAGTAAGAAGTATAAGCAAAAAGGAATGAATACAAAGGAACAAACTCACACTATGGTGGTATGGATTATATTCTAAACCCATGTAAAAATAAATATACATACTGCTGCTTTATACTGAATTAAGATACGACAAGACTAAATAAATTCATAAAGATTTAAGAAACACTACACATCAAATTCTATGAGTGCAACAAAAAAATAATTTCCTAAGGATTAAAGAAATGCATAGAAAAGGCTAGAGAGAATGACAATATTAAAAACAATGATAAAGAGTAGGTACAGGCTGAATGCGGTGGCTCATGCCTGTAATCCCAGCACTTTAGGAGGCCAAGGCAAGTAGATTGCTTGAGCCCAGGAGTTCAAAACCAGTCTGGCCAATACAGTGAAACCCCATCTCTATGAAAAATTAGCTGGGGATGGTAGTGCACACCTGCTGTCCCAGCTACCCAGGAGGCTGTGGTGGGAGGATCACCTAGCCTGGGAGGTCAAGGCTGCAGTAAGCCATGATCATGCCATCACACTCCAGCCTGGGCAATAGAGTGAGACCCTGTCTCAAAAAAAGACCCAAAAAAAAAAAAAAAAACCAGTAGGTAGAAAAACTAAAAGGCAACAGTAACATGTAAGAGCTAATATCTGGTGTTTCTTCATAAAAAGTTACAACCTTAGAGTTCTGTGATTTGTGCAAACTAACTGGGCTAATAAAATGATGTTCATTCTAAAGCAGGAGTTTTTAACAAGGGTCCTGAGGGGTATTGGGTAAGTAGGAGTCAAGGCAAGTAGGACATAAACTTGGATGGAAAAAAATTATCTTTGTTTTTTCCAACCTCTGACTGAAATTGTGCATAGTATTCAGTTATGAACACAGACAACAAGCCACAGTAACTCTAGCAGTACCTATGATTCTGTCAGTAAGGAAAAGCACAGGTATTTTCATATCACATCTCATTTTGCAGCTATCTGAAAACACGGTTATATTCATTACTTCTTTCAAGGCCAACTGTCACCAAACAGTGAAGTTGCACATTCTCATACTAGTGAGCCCAAATCTACACAGCTTTCCAGTATTCCCCAGCAATAATGATTTGAGATCAATATTTGGACAGACTAGTTCACAGTTCGATGTTCTTATTCAGCAAAGCAGCAACAGTATTCACACTGGTATGTCACTAAAAAATGTATACATTGAATGGAACCATATGAAGCTGCCTCTTTCCCCAGCTCTACACACTGAAGGCCTAAAAGCAATGACAGCGGCAATGAGCTGACCTAGCCCAGAACTTGTTTACTAAATGCCATTACCCCTAAAAGAAATCAAAGCTGCTTAATTCTAGGGCTAGTAACAGGGAAAGGTTAAGATGAACATTCTCTAATACCAGAAAATAAGCAAGTGCTCCAAAAATAATGAATGAAACCATTTCCAAAAGACATGGGAGACAACAGGCAGGGGCTCCCACAGCCAAACCTGGGACAATCTGAACATCAGTATGAATAGGATAGTAATAGATTATAATCTATGGAATAAAAACACCCATGCATGATCCCATTTGGATTAGAAAGTAAGGCAGAAAGAAGAAATAGGAAGAGAAAAAAGCTTTCCTTACAGAAGAGTACTAAATAAGTGAGTAAGGAAGAATACAATTAGGGGGAAAATCTCAGCATTTTGCAAGCACCTAGCAATAACTGTTATTCAGGCAAGACTCATTAAAAGTTTATTATTAAATAAAACTACTGGCTGAAAGTCTGAAGAGCAACAGGACAGTCTCCTAATCTCAAAGTATCTCCTCCTCTTACAAATCGACGTGCTTCCAGGTGTGACACACTGGGAAGGACACAAAATCTCTATTGTATTCCTGTAATAAATGTACACCCAAATTTAATCACGAGGAAGCATGAGACAAACTAAACTGAGGGGCTTTCTACAAACCACTGCTTTGTACTCTTCAAAAATATCAATGTCACAAGGACAGAGAAAGGCTGAAACAATTTTCAGGAAAAAGGAGACCAAATACACAACACTCACATGCAATGCTTAATACTAGACTAGATCCTGGAATAGATTTTTTAAAAACAAAAAAGCTGTCATAGCCCAGGGGCAGCAGCTCACACCTGTAATCCCAGCACTTAGGGAGGCCGAGGCGGGCAGATTACGAGGTCAGGATATGGAGACCATCCTGGTCAACATGGTAAAACCCCATCTACACTAAAAATACAAAAATTAGCTGGATGTGGTGGTGGGCACCTGTAGTCCCAGCTACTCGGGAGGCTGAGGCAGGAGAATTGCTTAAACTCAGGAGACAGAGGTAGTAGTGAGCTGAGATCACACCACTGCACTCCAGCCTGGGCAACAGAGCGAGAATCTGTCTCAAAAAAATAAAAGTGGCATGGTGTATTAAACCACTTTCCCTCTCTTCACTTGGCAAAATGTAAGGTTACAGAACACTATAGAAGGTGGAGAAATATTAACTAAATAGTAATGTCAGGCCAGGTCCCAGGAGCCCAGCATAGGGGTGCAGGAGAGAAGTTAGTGATGGGAGTGGGAGACACTATGGCAGAATACAGGGAAGCACCCAAGTCCACAAGACTCTGTCTATAAATCGCTTGGTCCCACCAAGCTGAAACTATTAGATGTTAGACATGCCTGCTGAAATTGACGCGGTTCCCTGAGATGAAAAGCAGGCCATGAGAAGAGACAGGAAGAATATAGATCTAGATAAGAAACTACTTGACATGACAGCCCCATAGTTTCCTAGATTTGACACCAACAGCATAAACAACAAAAGAAGAAAACGTATAAATTGGACTTCATAAAAAATGTTTTTTATTGTTTAATTTTTTTTTTTAGAGATAGAGACTTGTTCTGTTGCCCAAGCTGGAGTGCAGTGGCACAATTACTGCTCACTGCAGCCTTGAATTCCTGGGTTCAAGTGATCCTCCTGTCTTAGCCTCCTGAGAGGCTAAGACACACAGGCGCACATCCCACAACTGGCTAATGTTTTTGTTGTTGTTGTTGAGATGGAGTCTCACTCTGTAGCCCAGGCTAGAGTGCAGTGTGATCTCAGCTCACTGCAACCTCCACCTCCAGGGTCCCGGTTCAAGCAATTCTCCTACCTCAGCCTCCCAAGTGTCTGAGATTACAGGCATGAGTCACGATACCCAGCTAATTTTTGTATTTTTTAGTAGAGACAGGGTTTCACCACGTTGCCCAGTCTGGTCTTAAACTCCAGACCTCGTGATCCACCCCTCTCGGCATCCCAAAGTACTGGGATTATAGGCATGAGCCACCACACCTGGCCCCAGCTAGTGTTTTTCTTTGTAGAGATAGTCTTGCTATGTTGTCTAGGCTGGTCTCAAACTCCTGGGCTCAAGTGATAGTCCCAACTCATCCTCCCAAAGTGCTGGGATTACTGGCATAAGTTACCACACCTGTCCAGACTTCATAAAAATTAAAAACATTTGGGGTTCAGAGGTTACTATCAAGAAAGTGAAAAGACAACCCACAGAATGGGAGAAATATCTGCAAATTACATATCTAATAAGAGATTTGTATCCAAAATATATAAAGAGTTCTTACAATTTAACAATATAAAGAATTCTTAAAATTCAACAAAATAAAGAACTCTTACAATTCAACAACAAAAAATTTCAACTCTTACAATTCAGTACATCTAATAAGAGATTTGTATCTAGAATATCTCAGAAACTCTTAAAATTCAACAACAACAAGAATTTTTAAATTGGGTGATACAACGTGAAAAGATGCTTCAAAAGGACAAGTAAGCCAATTTTAAAATGAGCAAAGGGAGCCATGGTGGCTCACACATGCAGCCCCAGCTACTCAGAAGGCTGAGGCGGGAGGATTGCTTGAGCCCAGGAGTTTAAAGCTGTAGTGCAAGTTATGATTTTGCCTGTGAACAGCTACTACATTTCAGCCTGGGCAACACAGTGAGATCTTATCTCAAAAACAAAAACACGAGTTAAAAAAAATTGAGCCAAGGATTTGAATAGACATTTCTCCGAAGAAGATATATAAGGGCCAACAGCACATGGAAAGATGCTTAATATTATTAAGCATTAGGAAAATGCAAATCAAAACCAGAAAGAGGAAACCACTTCACATACAATGGGATGGCTGATATAAAAGATGGACAATGACATATATTGCTGGTGGGAATGTAAAATGGTAAAGTCTCAGTGGAAAACATTTGAAAGTTACTCAAAAAGTTGCACAGAGCTACTATATGACCCAGAAATCCCACTCTTAGGTATATACTCAAGAGGACTAAAAACATACAGTCACACAAAGACATGCACATGAATGCTGATATTGAGATCTAATAAGAAATATATATTTGGTCTCTACTCCTGGTCCCCTCCAAAGTGATGAGTATCTTTTGTATGCTAATGAGATGACTGGTGGCTGCAGGGCCCCTCAATAGTTTCAAGAAGAGGGCTGGTCAGAAAGACTAAGGCATGATTAGAGGGTAGGAACTTTCTGCCCTACTCACCAACGTCTGGGGAGGACAGAGGGGCTGACGGTTGAGGTGATCACCAAAGGTCAATGATTTAATCAATCATGCCAACTGATTAAAACCTTGACAACCCAAAAGGACAGGGTTCGGAAAGCTTCTGGATAGCTGAACACGAGGAGATGTCTGGAGAGTTGTGTACCCGGAGGGGACATGAAGACTCGGCGTCCCTTCCCACATAGCCTGCCTTGGGCATCTCTTCCATCTGCTGTCCATCCCCCTCCTCTGTCATATCCTTTATAATAAATGAGTAAGCAAGGTGTTTTCCTGAATCCCATGAGTAATCAGACCCAATGAGAGGGTCATAGGCACTCCCGGTTTATGGCTGGTTGATCAGAGGCACAGTTCACCACTTGGAAGTTGCAACTGGCATCCGAAGTGGGGTGCAGTCCTGTGGGACACAGCCCTTAACCTATGGGCTTTGACACCATCTCTAAGTAGATAGTGTCAGAAATGAACTAAATTAAAGGACACCAAGCTGGTGTCTGATGGAAAATCGCTGAGCATGTAAAGAAAAACGCTCCACACATGTGGTGTCGGAAGTTTTAAGTGGTGTGAGAAAGTAGGAAAAACGATTTGTTTTTTTTTAAAGTAGGAAAAATGCTTTGCTTTTTTTAATGTATTTTATTCATACATAATAGCCAAACAATAGGAATGACCCAAATGTCCATCACTAATGAACAGATAAATAAAATGAGGCATAGACATATAATGGAATACTACTTGGCCATAAAAAGGAATGAAGCACTGACATGCCACAATGTGGTGGAGCCTTGAAAACATTATGCTAAGTGAAAGAAGTCAGACACAAAAAGGCCACATACTGCATGATTCCATTTATATGAAATGTCCAGAAGAGGCCAATCCATAGAAAAAATAGATTAGTGGTTACCAGGGGCTGGAGAGGGGAATGGGCAGTGACTGCTAATGGTTACAGGGTTTCCTTGGGGAATGGTGAAAATATTCTGGAACTAGATTGCAGTAATTACTGTATAATTGTGAGTATATTAGAACCCAATGAACTGTATAGTTTTAAAGGGTTTATGGTATATGGATTATAAAGAAAACTAGTTGAACCGGAAATATCACCATAAATTTAAAGCCTTTTAAGAAAAGGTAATTGTTCTGCTCTGTTACTTGGGTGTCTAGGAGCCCCAGGGTCCACCAGCTCTACCTTTATGTAGAACTATTATGCACACCTAGTGCCTGGGTTTTGGACTCTAATCTTCTCCTGTAAGAAGAATCAGATCTCCTTGGAGAAGCAGGTGAATCTTACAGGGCAAGAAGAATCAAAAAGAGCCAGAGATATCTTGTCAAAAAACCAAGGTACCTTCCAGGTACTTTGGGAATAGATTTTAAAAGGATAGAGAAGGTCAGCCTACAGAAAGGGCTCTGGAGACCAGGTGATCGAATTCTCACCATCAAAAAGAAAAAAACCATTATAATTCACTGAAGCAATTCCAAGACGTGGCCCAAAAGGGGAAATTACACAAAGTATACTAGACAAGTCATATCTACTAATGTGTCCCTAATTTCTCATAAAAGGGAAAATGAGAAAATGCATTTAATTGGTAAAAGATTATAGAATATTGTGGTTTTTTACTGACAAAATATGTTCCTTTCATAGAATAGATTACATAGTTATTGCAGTTAATAATGATGGTTATTTGTTTCTGATTTCTCTATGAGATTTTTACAAAGATAAAAACTTGCTGACATGATATACCAAGAATACCAGAATTCAGTATTCACTGATAGCCTTTTTTTCTTTTTTTTTTTTGAGACAGGGTCTCATTCTGTTGCCCAGGCTGGAATGGCACAATCATAGCTCACTAAAGCCTCAATCTCCTGAGCTCAAGTAATCCTCCCATCTCAGCCTCTCAAACAGCTGGGATTACAGGCACATGCTACCACGTCCAGTTAATTTTTTATTTTAATGTTTTATAGAGACAGGGATCTCACTGTGTTGTCCAAGCTGGTCTCAAACTCCTGGCCTCAGGCAATCCTCCTGCCTCAGCCTCACAAAGCACTGGGATTACAGTTGTGAGCCACTGCGTTCAGTTCTATTGATTAAGATACAACTTAAGAGTTACCTCCTGTGAAGCTGCAAATGACCTCGTTAGCAGAGTGAAGGGCTTCTGAAGTTACCTGTATCTCTCTCACACATTCTGTGACTGTTTACTTACCTGCCTCTCTGTCATCCCTGAAATCCAGCCCAGGGCATGCCGCACAACCAGAAGTTACTATGTTTACTCAGTTACTGGGTGAATGTTAGCCCCTGAAACAATACAATGGAAAGAGTGGACACTCAAAAATATTTGCTGAATGAATAAATGAGCTAACCTTCTGAGCAGCCAGACTCTGACTGCTTTCACTAAGAGCCAAAGATGTAAAATACTGGATACACTCATCTACCTCTGTTTGAGGTAAGGAAGCCAGCAACTGTCTGAGCTCCTCTTCAGTTGAAGAATCCTGAAATAAAAGGAAAGGAAATTCTTCATAAATACTCAGCAACTGAGTACAACAAAAAATATCCAAAGACTCAAAGCTGGTATTGCCATATATATCAAAGCCATATATTGTGTGTATATGTCTCTCTCTCTCTCTCTCTCTATATATATATACACACACACACACACACACACACACACACATATATATGATATAGATATAGAGATATAGGGAAAGAGATATCAGAGATAAACTACTGCTTTCAGTCTTGAAAACAGTCACTCACCCAGGTAAATAAACAATCATTTAATTTTAAGTTCTGTATTTTCATGTCTGCTACTTCAAACTGAGAGACCTATTATAAATTTTAACTCTTAATTTTCATGAGTGACATCTTGACATTCTCAACATCTTGACTCAAAATGAATTATCATATCTTTACTAATTAAAGCTATTGCTTTTTTTTTTTTTTTTTTTTTTTTGAGACAGAGTTCCGCTCGTTACCCAGGCTGGAGTGCAATGGCGCGAACTCGGCTCACCGCAACCTCCGCCTCCTGGGTTCAGGCAATTCTCCTGCCTCAGCCCCCTAAAGCTATTGCTTTTTAAATTGAGAACTTGTTACTATCTCATTTTCTCTAATAATTAATCTCATATATTCATTTTACTATTTTTCAAAAAACTGCTAACGCAGAAGTTTTAAGAGCTTCGTTTTTTAGTCTAGAAAAGATACTCAAGAAACATGCTTTAAATCTATGACAGTGGTTCTCAACCAGGGGCTATTTTGCCCAGGAACATTTGGCAATGTATGGGGACATTTTTTGGTTGTTAACAACCAGGGGGTGCTACCGGCATCTAGGGAGTAGAGTCCAGGAATGCTGCTACACCCTACAATTTACACAACAGCCTCCTATCACAAAGAATTATCTGGCCCAAAATGTCACTAGTGTTGAGGCTGAGAAAACCTGATCTACAGAAACTCAGACGGGATCAACTCATGGATGCTGATATGCTATGAAGTCACCCAACGCTTTACAGAGACTTCCAATTACCAAAAGCAGAATATAATCTAGGAGGAACAGCACCTCCTGAGGAATCAAATCTTTCTATAAAAACTATGATTTCAATTTTACATCCTACTTTATCTGCTTGTGAGAAGCAGCCAACAACTACTTTTTGAAAGTATTTTGTAGCCAAAGTGAAGATAATATATTAAACCATTTTCCACTCTCTAAATTATTATTATTGTTTTACTTACTTCTTTTAAACACGGCAAAGGAGGTGGTAGGAGAAAAAAGCGAAGATCACTCTCTTTGCTTCGTGCCAAACCAATAAGAGTTTTCGGATCACAGGCTTGAGCAATTATCCTATACTGGTAATCTATTGAAAAAGCATATCTTTTGTTAATACCAAAACTAGCTTATAGATTTCATAAAGCTTAACTAAACAAACTACTTGAAAGCACTCTAATTTTTAAACTGCTCTGCATTTCTGTAATCCAAAATTTCCCAAGTACAACTACATTTACAATACCTCTAAGTTAGACACATTTCCAGGACTGATCTCACGATTCTTCTCAACATATATCTGGGGACTGGGTCACAGCCTAACTTTTTGGAAAAAATGAAGCTCAAGGTAAAAATTGGTAGGTCAAACCAATTTAACTTCTTCTTAAAATAATTCCAGCATTCAAAAGCTGTTCTGACCACTACTCAGAATACATGAGACTGCATTTAAGCCTACTGCCCTATGGTGATGATATGGTGTTTTGGTATTCATAATGTCCATGAATATTTAGTTTGCAGTTCCAGATAGCAGTACTTTGAATTAACATGCCATTCTTTATATATCAAAAACAAAATTCCAGCCATGAAAGCAAACATTATTTTCAATAATGGCAGCTTATAACCTGGGGTTGGCCGGGCACTGTGGCTGAGGCCTGTAATCCCAGCACTTTGGGAAACCTAGGCAGGAGGATCATCTGAGGTCAGGAGTTCGAGACCAGCCTGGCCAACATGGTGAAACCCTGTCTCTACTAAAAGCACAAAAACTAGCCACGTGTGGTGGTACCTATAATCCTAGCTCTCTGGGAGGTTAAGGCAGGATAATAGCTTGAACCCAGGAGACAGAGGTTGCAGTGAGCCGAGGTTATGCCACTACACTTCAGCCTGGGTAACAGAGAAAGACCCTGTCTCGAAAAAAATAATAACCTTGGTGAGTATTTCTGGATCTCAAGTGGGGAACTTTTTCAAAATCTACAGGCCAGGGATCTTCCTCCGATTTCTCTGATACAGTAAGTCTGGAATGGAGCCCTGGAAGGCAGATTTTTTTTTTTTTTTTTTTTTTTGAGACGGAGTTTCGCTCCTGTTACCCAGGCTGGAGTGCAATGGCGCGATCTCGGCTCACCGCAACCTCCGCCTCCTGGGTTCAGGCAATTCTCCTGCCTCAGCCTCCTGAGTAGCTGGGATTACAGGCACGTGCCACCATGCCCAGCTAATTTTTTGTATTTTTAGTAGAGACGGGGTTTCACTATGTTGACCAGGATGGTCTCGATCTCTTGACCTCGTGATCCACCCGCCTCGGCCTCCCAAAGTGCTGGGATTACAGGCTTGAGCCACCGCACCCGGCCTGGAAGGCAGATTTTTAAAAATATCTCTATTCTAAATCTCCACCAACATTAAGTGAGCTTATAATTATACTGTAAATTATCATTGTAGATGCCAACCAATTAACAAATTAATTTGCAGAGATCTCATTCTGAGACTTAGAGACAGTTTTGCTCTGCTGTCCATGCTGGAGTGCAGTGGTGCAATGTCAGTTCACTACAGCCTCCACCTCCTGGGTTCGCAATTCTTGTGCCTCGGCCTCCCAAGTAGCTGGGATTACAGGATTACAAGCACACACCTCCATGCCTAATTTTTTTGTATTTTTTTAGTAGAGACAGGGTTTTGCCATGTTGGCCAGGCTGGTCTTGAACTCCTGGCCTCAACTGATCCACCTCCCTTGGCCTCCCAAAGTTCTGGGATTACAGGTGTGAACCACTGTGCCCAGCTGAGAAAATTATTTTTTTCTATTTTGCCCATTTTTACAAGACAGCTTTACTAACAAATTATAGCTTAGTCCATGTACTATAATCAGAGCAGATATGAGTTCTTTGTATTTTTATTGTAAAACTTGTGATTTTTAAACACAATTACATATTTCAAATGGTCCATTAAAAATGATATATACACGGCCAGGTGCAGTGGCTCAAACCTGTAATCCCAGCACTTTGGGAGGCCGAGGCGGGTGGATCACGAGGTCAAGAGATCGAGACCATCCTGGTCAACATGGTGAAACCCCGTCTCTACTAAAAATATGAAAAAAAAAATTAGCTGGGCATGGTGGCACATGCCTGTAATCCCAGCTACTCGAGAGGCTGAGGCAGGAAAATTGCCTGAACCCAGGAGGCGGAGGTTGCGGTGAGCCGAGATCGCGCCATTGCACTCCAGCATGAGTAACAAGAGTGAAACTCCGTCTCAAAAAAAAAAAAAAAATATATATATATATATATACACACACACATACAAATTGGGTACATTGGACTAACTCTTAGTAGTAGAGCCAAGTAGACTGTAAAAAGTTGAAAGCAAATATAATTGTATGATGTAGCAAGCAATTCAATATATTTCATTAAACAGAAACCAAAAGAAAATCCAAGTACATTAGGCAACTATCACAATCAAGAGTTTCTCTCAAAGAAGTATGCAATCAAATATGACTTTGTTCTGGTAGAAAGTTACACAAATGTATACACCTCATTTTTGAGACTATTCTTACCGAACACATTTGTCTACCAGGTCAGCAGGCTTTCTACTTTTTTTTCACTGAAGCTTCTGAAAAATTTTAAAATACTTTTTATATACACTAAGATTGCTTGAATTATTTTCCTTCCTGAATCTCACTGCCTTGTCTTTGACATCCGAAAACAAGAGTCAGCTGACGGACTGCCACCTGTTCAGGTGGTCTCATTACCATGCCAGTGATGGGTCTCTGACATTTCCCGCACAGCCTCCAGTCGCGCCATTTTGTCATCTGACTTGCTCTTCCGTAGGAGCAGCCACACAGCACATTCATGATCTTCTACATCAACTGTACTAAAAGCATCTTTGCAAAAAGAAACAGAAACCAAGGCAATGTGAACAGTTAAGACAATACTTTTATCTTCACTTTAAGCTGGTAATTTATAAATATTTGAAATCAACAATTGGAGAGTTAAATCCACATGTATATAGGTATTGATAAAGACTGATATTATTTGTTCTCAATTCTGTCATATTATCTTTTACAGTTATGAATATTATGTGTGCTTTTTTATTGGGGGGGAGAGGGGTTCAGTTTTGCTTTGTTTTTGAGGCAGTCTCACTGTGACCCATGCTGGAGTGCAGTGGCATGATCATGGCTCACTGCAGCCTCAGCCTCTTGGGCTCAAGCAATCCTCCCACCTCAGCCTCCTCAGCTGGGACCACAGGTGTGTACCAACAGGCCCAGCTAATCTTTTCCTTTTATTTTCCTAGAGACAGGATCTCATTATACCACCGAGGCTCAATGCGTGCTTTTGTTTTATATATTCTGGTGTCTTTCACATGTGGTCATTTTTAAAATCTTTTTCTCCCCAAAACTTTTTCAAAAAGATCAAATATATGAAAGAAAGAATGATAAATTAACATCCATACATCACATCTAGATTCAACAGCTGTTATTATTTTACCATATTTTCTTCATCTATATTCATATGTAATTTTTCCCAAACTATTTGAAAGGATGATGCAGACAAAATGACATTTTACCCTCTCACAGTTCAATCTGCATCTCCTAAGAACAATCCTGCATTCTCTTAAATAACCACAATGTTATTATCACACCCAAAAACACTAACAAAAATCTTTCCAAATCATGCTTCCCCAATTAAAAAAAAAAAAACCCTTAAAGCTGTTTTTTAAAGCCAGGATTTAATAAAGTCTCTTTTAAGTGTAGAAAGTTTTCCTGCCTTTTATTTTCATGCCAACTTTTTAAGATCAGATAAGCTCTTTTCCATCTAGCTCCACATTGTAGATTAACCTGATTGAGAAAGCTATGTTTTTTTATGTACTATGCTCATTATGAGAAGGCATGGGAGTAATTTTCTAACAAATTTAAAATTATAAAACACTCATCAAGAGCCTGGGGTATACTTTATCTCCACATTTATTCACAATTATCTAAGGAAGAAAGAAAACTGTCCAAAGCATGGAGCCCTTAAAATTAAATACAGTCCAAGAGAATGTTACTCAATTAATTTTCTTTTCTTCTTTTTTTACTGAGACAGAGTCTTACTCTATCACCCAAGCTTGAGTGTACTGGCACGATCTTGGCTCACTGCAACCTCCGCCTCCTGAGTTCAAGTGATTCTCCTGCCTCAGCCTCCTGAGTAACTGGGATTACAGGCACCCACCACCATGCCTGGCTAATTTTTGTATTTTTAGTACAGACGGGGTTTTACCATCTTGGCCAGGCTAGTCTCGAACTCCTGACCTCAGGTGATCCACCGGCCTCAGCCTCCCAAAGTGTTGGGATTACAGGCATGAGCTACCGCACCCAGCCTAATTAATTTTCCATAGTTATAAAAAATATTAGTATAAGAAATGAAAAAAAGTCTTGAATTGGTCATTCCAATGACTTTCAGATTACTGATAAGGATTCCAAGTCATTTATTTGATATTTACCAGCAAATGGATTCCGTAGTATCTTGGCTGACGTTGCCAATACCTTTCTTACTGCTTTGTGAAGTTCTTTTCTTGCCTGCCAGGCAATACCTAAAATGATTATAAAATTAAGTAAAACTTAGAATGTATTTTTAACACTATGCTCCAATGTTTCAAAGAGAAATGCATAAACTCCAAATTTTTTCACAAAGAAAATACAAAATAGCATCGTTGTCTTTATATTGTCACTATCAATGCAACTAAAGTCATTATGGAAATGCAGAGCTCTCAATTCCAAAAAGAGATTGCTCTCTAAGTCAGGGGAAAGTAAAAACAAAAACACTAACTAAAGCAAATAAAAATCTTCATATACAACATAGGTTTCACAATATCCAGGAAAATGTCCTTCATGATGAGCTCACCTCAAACTGAAGTTTGGAGATACTTTACTAACCAAATTAGGTCTCACTACACAGGTATACTATAAGCAACAACAATTTTCTATGGAATTAAAACTGTAAACATGCCATAAAAGCATGTTGCAATACATGAAAGTGATGTAATAACTAATACGAACAGGGCAGAGTGGTGGCAGATACAGGAGAGCAGCAGAGCCTGACCCACTCAAGGAACATCATGTTAACTGGCAAATTCTGGCTCACAGCGTAGGAACAGACAGCTGTGAGTCAAGTGTGTGACTCATCATGCTACCCGTATTTTGATGAAAATATACTCCTCTGCTCTAAAATTTCATGTTCGCCATGCAACCATATGATCACTAACGAGGGCTTCCATGTGACCTTAATACTGAGAAGTGGAAAGTCCTACCTAGTAAAGATAGGTTTTCTAGCTTTGGTGACAGGTAATTAAAAGAAATGAGTTGGCATTCATATTTATGAATATATCTCATGAGTTTGGTTTGCATGAATACATCCCTTTTTGCATGAAAACAGAAATATTGCTGAGCTAAATGACAAAAGCATGTTATTTGTACTTGCCAAACTGAAAGTCAGCCTCTGTATTGACAGTCCCACTAAGATGTGGAATTCCAGGTTCAGACTAAAAATGCCAGTTAGTCTTCACTTAGTTTTAAGAGAGCTGCAAACCTAGGTTAAATACGGAAGTCCAAAATTTGATCCTCAATTAATTCTTTAGAAACTTGGTTTTCATGGGGCTTGGTGATTCTTAGAATTAGCTGAATCCACATTACTAATACTGTGTTTTAAATAGACTCGTTTTTAACTTCAATAACTAGCTTCTGTTTTTCACAAAGAGAAGATTACAATAAACTTACCATGATTTTCTCCTTTATCTAAAGAAACCGTGTGCACATATATATATGACTTCATTTTTTCTCTTTCTACCACTTGAGTATCTAATGTCAGAGCCTTCTTCAGTGCCAGAACTTCATATGTAAGAAATAAAGAACCTCTTAAAGAGAAAAGAAAAAATTCATCATAAATACACAATCCAAATGTAACACAAGAGCTACTCTTCTCTATTAAGCTCATCATAGTAAACTTCTTTCTTTTTTATTGGGAAACAACGTATATACAGTAATATGCATATAACATTTATACAGTCATGCACCACATACTAACTTTTTGTTCAAGAACAGACCTCATATACGACAGCGGTTTCATGAGATTAGAATGGAGCTAAAAAAAATTCCTCCTAGTGACTGAGTAGCCATCGTAACATGACTCACATGTTTGTAATGATGCTATGTAAACAAATCTGTGCTGCCAGTCCTATAAAAGCCTAGCACATACAATTATGTATAGTATATAATACTTAATAAATGATCATGTTACTGATTTATGTGTTTACTATGGTATACTTTCATTGCTATTTTAAACTGTACTCCTTCTACTTAACTATAAAGTGCCTTAGGTGGATCCTTGAGGAGGTATCCAGAAGAAAGTGTTGTTATCACAGGATATGACAGCTCCATGTGTGTCCCAGCCCCTGAAGAGCTTGCAGTGGGACAAGATATGGAGGTGGAAACAGTGATATGCATGACCCTGACCCTGTGTAGGCCTAGGCTAATGGGTTTGTGCTTTCATTTTTAACAAAAACATTTTAAAAGATTTTTTTTTTAAATTTGCTGGCATAGTAGTGAGGCCTGTAGTCTCAGGAATTCAGGAGGCTAAAGCAGGAGGATCCCTTGAGCCCAGAAGTCCGAGGCTGCAGCATGCTATGACTGCACCCATGAGTAGTCACTGCTCTCCAGCCCGGGCAACAGAGCAAGATCTCATCTCAAAAAGATTTTTTAATAGACAAAAGTTTACAGAATAAGAATATAAAGAAAATACTTTTATATAGCTATACAATGTCTTTGTGTTCTAAACTAAGCGTAATTACAAAGGCCAAAAAGTTTTTCAAAAATTTAAGCTTATAAGGCTAAAAAAAAAAAAATACAGTAAGCTGAGGTTAATGATTAAAACCAGGATTTCATTTATTTTTAGAGACGGGGTCTCAACTATGTTGCCCAGGCTGGCCTCAAACTTCATGTAATCCTTCCGCCTCAGCCTCCCGAATTGCTGGGACTACAGGCGCACAACACTTCATCCAGCTAGGTTAATTTATTATTGAAGAAAAAAACATTGTTTTATAAAAGTATTGTAGCTGGGTGCAGTGATGCATGCTTGTAGTCCCAGTTAGTCACAAGGGTGAAGCAGGAGGATCACTTGAGTCCAGGAGTTCAAGGCCAGCCTAAGCAACATAGTGAGACTCCGTCTTTAAAAAAAAAAAAAAAAAAAGGCTAGGCACTGTGGCTCATGCCTATAATCCCTGTACTTTGGGAGGCCAAGGCAGGTGGACCACGAGGTCAAGAGATCGAGACCATCCTGGTCAACAAGGTGAAACCCTGTCTCTATGAAAAATACAAATACAAATTAAAAATACAGGTGGCTCACACCTGTAATCCCAGCACTCTAAGAAAACTTAGCTGGGTGTGGTGGCACACACCTGTAGTCCCAGCTACTTGAGAGGCTGAGGCAGGAGAATTGCCTGAACCCAGGAGGCAGCGGTTGCAGTAAGCCAAGATTGCGCCATTGCACTCCAGCCTGGGTAACAAGAGTGAAACTCTGTCTCAAAAAAACAAAAAACAAGCAAACAAAAAAAGTTTAGCCAGGCACAGTGGTTCACACCTGTTATCCCAGCATTTTGGGAGGCTGAGGCGGGGGAATCACCTGAGGTCAGGAGTTTGAGACCAGCCTGGCCAACATGGCAAAACCACATCTCTACTAAAAATACAAAACATTAGCCAGGTGTGGTGGCGAGTGCCTGTAATCCCAGTTATTTAGGAGGCTGAAACAGGAGAATCGCTTGAACTCCAGAGGCAGAGGTCGCAGTGAGACAAGATCACACCATTACACTCCAGCCTGAGTGACAGAGCAAGACTCCATCTCAAAAAAAAAAAAAGTTTCATGTGGCCTAAGTACACAGCGTTGATAAAGTCTACAGTAGTGCACAGTAATGTCTGAGGCCCTCACGTTCACTCACCACTCACTCACCCAGAGCAACTCCCAGTCCCATAAGCTCCATTCATGTTAAGTGCCCTATGTAAGTGTAACATTTTAAAATTTTTTTACTGTACATTTTTTTGTTTGGATATGTTTAGGTACACAAATACTTACCATCGTGTTGTAACTGCCTACAGTGTTCAGCACAGTCACATGCAGTACAGGGGTGGAGCCTAGGAGCAATAGGCTGTCCCATACAGCCTAGGTGTGTAGCAGGCTCTACCATCTAGGTTTGTGCAAGTGTATTCTGTGATGATTGCACAACAATGAAATAAGCTAACAACACATTACTGAGAATATATCCTCATTATTGACACATGATTGTATATGCGCATATACGTGTATATACACATTTTAGTTTACAAATAATAATAAATAGCTGCATAATCATACCCAGACAAGAAACAGAATATTAACAGTATCCCGGAAGCCCACAGTGTGTCTCTCCCTGATAATAACCTGTTCTCATCTCTATATATTATTCTGATTTTCATTATAACAATGTGCTTACTTTTCTTTACAGTTTTATCACCTATATGTCCATCCTTAAACAACAGAGCTTAGTTTTGCCTGTTTTTGAAATGCACATCAATGGACTCACACTACATGAATTCTTTTGCTCAGCCTTGTGTTTGTGTGATGCATCCATGTTCTTGCATGTAAAACGTACTTCCTTAACTTAGATTTTCCTATAGGATGCAATTATCCATTGCACGGATGGATATACTACAACTTAATTATTCACTCTTCCATAGATGGGCATTGAGAACATTTCTAGTTTGAGTCTATTACAACAATGCTGTTATATATCTTTTTTTTTTTTTTTTTTTTTCCGAGACAGAGTCTCGCTCTGTCACCAGGTGCCAGGCTGGAGTGCAGTGGCACGATCTCAGCTCACTGCAACCTCTACCTCCCAAGTTCAAGCAATTTTCCTGCCTCAGCCTCCCGAGTAGCAGGGACTACAGGTGTGCGCCACTACACCCAGATAATGTTTGTATTTTTTAGTCGAGACGGGGTTTCACCATGTTGGCCAGGATGGTCTCGATCTCTTGACCTCGTGATCCACCCGCCTCGGCCTCCCAAAATGCTGGGATTACAGGCGTGAGCCACCGCGCCTGGCCACTATTATGTATCTTATACATCTCGGCTGGGCGTGGTGGCTCACGCCTGTAATCCCAGCACTCTGAGAGGCTGAGGTGGGTGGATCACAAGGACAGGAGTTCAAGACCAGCCTGGCCAACACAGTGAAAACCTGTCTCTTAAAAAAAAAAAAAAAATGACATATCTTATATATCTGTACTGTGCATACCCGTACATGTTCCTCTAAGGTACGTATCTAGAATTACATACCTTCTGATAGTATACATCTCCAATTTTGCTAGATAATGACAAACTTTTTGCAAAAAGATTAGCCAATGTGTACTCCCATCATCCGCATATTAAAGTTTCTCCTTTCCTAACAACAATACCTGAAGTTAACTTTTAAATGTTGTTTGTTGTGTATCTCAAAATGAAGATTTCTTTTTTCCTAATCAGATTGACAACACACTCCCTAAATCCTGACACAAAGGTTGTACTCTGGATTCAGAGCTTAGCAACATTGTTTTCCTATACCTTCTGACTTTTGGTTTCCACCCTGAGGCAAGCAGGTGAAACAAAGTTTGGACACTGGCTAGCACCAGAGGAACACAAAGAAGCCTCTTTAGAATCCTCTGCTTTTGGTCAGGGGTGGTTGCTCAGGCCTGTAATCCCAGTACTTTAGAAGGCCAAGGCAGGCAGATCACCTGAGCTCAGGAGTTCAAGACTACCCTGGGCAACATGGCGAGAGCCCGTCTCTACTAAAAATGCAAAAAAAAAAAAAAAAAAAAGCCAGGTGTGGTAGTACACACCTGTGGTCCAGCTATTTAGGAGGCTGAGGTAGAAGGATCACCTGAACCTGGCAGGCAGAGGATGCAGTGAGTGGACATCACACCACTGCACACTCTAGCCTGGATGACACAGTAAGACCCTGTCTCAAAAAAAGAAACAGAATCCTCTGCTCTCTTGAGGATGTATCTGAACAGCCAACAAAAGGGGTAAATGTATTCAGTACTTTTATCATGTTTTCTATGAAAGACAAAATTATTTACTATAACAAAAACTGTAATTAATTTTCACTATATCCTGAATATAATTGTGAGCTAGACAAACTGCATTACAGAAAAGGGTACGTATACATTTATCCTTTGGCCAGAACGAGTCAAAGGGGAAAATTATCTATATATATTATGCCTTACATTACAATGTCATAGAGAAATGTCTGCATTTGCATAAAATGCCAAATATATCTCTTTTATCATTTTAGCATCTAAGAGCTAATTCTATATTTGTATTAGTAAAACAAAGTATTAACAAACACAGTATAATGGTATTACATATACATTCCTCCCCTAAAAAGAAAAAAAAAAAAAAAGGAGGAATGTGAAAACAGTTTGCTGAAAGAGTGTCACTGCATTCATCACACATGTGTTCCTGAGGGAACATCGGATGGGAGATATCGATCTGCTGGTTTTCTCAGTCAGCCTCAACTGCCTTTCATGTGAGTTTTACGGTGATTTAAGGGATTTTCCAAAATACTTTTGACTATAGTAATTTGTACCTTTTTTCACCCACTTTAGAAAGTAATATACAACATGACTTTAAGTGTGTCACAGCTAAGTGAGTGCCTGAAAGGAGTGTGTGTCAAAGTGCTTTTCTCACAGCAGCAGTGCCAGGGAGGCAGAGTTCCTGGTACACAGCTGGCTCCAGGAGAAAGCATTCCTCAGAAGGTAAGGAAACATCATGACAACATTTAAGTAGTGGAATCAGTGATTAAATCCACCAGTCTAATTCCAAAATCTATACCCTTTGAATACCCCATGCAACCTGTAAGACACTTCCATTGAGATTTCAAATAATGAAGCCAATTAATATTCCACAGTTGACAACTTACCCTAAAATAAGTGATCCAGTAAACTTTATTATATTTCCTTCAAAAGAAAAAAAGTCAATGTGATGAATTTCATTTTTTAAAGTGTGACAGGAAATAGGCAACAGGTAATTCTCTACCTATATCACATATTATCAGATGAGAAGTCATTATTTTTCTACTAACATAATCAGTTGCTATCAATAAATGGTCTCCTCTCCTCAAACACATCAATCAATTAAACACTGAGTGCAAATATAATGCGTATTGATGACATTTCCTACTCACTCTCCCCTTTCTCCACTTCCTAGTCCCTGTTCCACTACTGATGCTGACAGGACTACAGGTCTTCCATCAAATGCAACATGCAGGCAACTCACTTCCCTTCTGATCCCTTTTAGTTAACAATTAAATAAAGGAATGGGAAGCACTGTCCCTATCACTACTAGTACTATACTGAAGGATTATATTGTCAAGTGGGGACACAAAAGAATGTTTTCTAAAGTAATTATGTTATAATTGATGCTAAGGTATAGATGTACATAGCCCCATTTAAAAAGGAGATTAGGCCAGGTGCGGTGGCTCACGCCTATAATCTCAGCACTTTGAGAGGCCAAGGCAAGCAGATCACCTGAGGTCAGGAGTTCAAGACTAACCTGGCCAACACAGTGAAACCCTGTTTCTACTTAAAAAAAAAAAAAAAACAGTTAGCCAGGCATGGTGGCCAGCACCTGTAATCCCAGCTACTCAGGAGGCTGAGGCAGGAGAATTGCTTGAACCAGGGAGGTGGAGACTGCAGTGAGCCAAGATCGCCACTGCACTCCAGCCTGGGTGACAGAGCAAGACTCCGTCTCAAAATAAATAAATAAAATAAAAATATAATATAATATAGAGATTATATTCTACAAGTTTATTTATAAATGTTTGTTTGGGTCTTGGAAAACTTTTTTCATATTAAAAAATTCCTGTGGCAGACATTGCTAATTGCTTGCCCAATACACATGCCCTTTAGTCCTTACAAATATGCAATCTGACTGCCACCTAAAAATAATCAAATTCCTAGAGCAGTCTGTAGGTAGGGCTAACACAATTGTAGCCAACTGGATATAGACGGAAGTCTATAGAGGCAGATCCCCCCCCACATAAAAAGACAAAGCCTCAAGATGGCTTTTGGCCCTCTGCTTCTTGATGCCCAAGGATTCAGCAACCATCTTGTGACCATGAGGACAATGAAGAGAATGGAGCAGGAAGACAAGAAGATTGCTAAACTGCAATTCCTGCCCTAAACTGTCTCCACCTTGACTTATTATGATTTAAGAAGAATGAAAACCATATTAACCTAAGCCACTGGACTCAAGTTTCTATTGCATGCACCACGTACAACCTTAACTGATGTGGTACTCATGATGATTAGGTACTAAGGATAGCCCATAAAAATCTATTTTTTATATAAATATATTTTAATATATAATTTTACATATAGCATATTTTATATATATATAAGGGTATATATATGTATACATATTTATATATAATAAAATATATATTTATATATAATAGATTTTATATATATATATATACACACACACACGTATATAAAAAGAGAGTTTCACTCTGTTGTCCACACTGGAATGCAATGACACAATCTTGGCTCACTGCAATCTCCCTATCCCTAGTTCAAACGATTCTCCTGCCTCAACCTCCTGAGGTGCTAAGATTAAAGGCATCTGCCACCATATCCAGCTAAGTTTCGTATTTTCAGTAGAGATGGGGTTTCACCATGTTGCCCAGGCTGGTCTTGTACTCCTGATTTCAAGTGATCCGCCCACTTCAGCCTCCCAAAGTGCTGGGATTACAGGCATCAGTCACTGCACCCAGCCTTAACCTATAATTTATTGCACATATAGAGATAGTGCTTTGTTCAGAGATTCAACTCATGCTGCCAAGATGACATTTGTGCTCACTTCTCTTTTTGTATTTAAAACACAGTATCAGAATTTTCTAGATAAAAATGATCTTTCCCTAAAAACAGATTTGTCTTAAAGATCAAAAAGAAACTCCATGAGAAAAAAAACTTTGTTTTATTCAATATTGTTTTCTTAGGGTCTAGCAGAGTACCTGGCAGAGTACATGGTCAATTAAATATTTTTGCTTATTGTCAAATGATTAAAAGATGTTACAGGCCAATCTTCCCATTTTACACATAAAGGAAATATGCTCAGAAAAGGTAAGTTATTTCATTCTTCCATTCGACGAATACTATTTGATCACCTACTATATGCCATGCATAATAAATAACTAGGTTATAATGGTAAACAAGATAAAATACTGCCTTCACAAAGTTTACAGTATATGGGGAAAGACAGATAATTAACTAAGTTCTATACTGAACCTACAAAATGTGGGTTCAGTATAGATGAATGATGCTAAATTTAATTTAGCATCTAATTCAAAACATTTAACCACAAGTAACAGATCCAACCTGGCCTGGGGTGTCAGAGACGCTTCCTCAATGAAGGCAAGGCTACAAATGGAGTAGACTGCAGCCACATCCCAAGCCCCTCTAAGGCAAGGACAGCATCTTCCTTGCTCATTACTGCATGCCCAGAACCTAATATGGGTGCCTGGCACTTCGTTTTGCAAGAGTTTAATAAATATCTGCTGAATGGAAATGCAGTTATATTTAAGTTTAGGATGATGAGTACGAAATTTGACAGAAGTAAAAGAGGGAAAAGAATTCTCAAGGAAAAGAAGTATGTATGGCTCTGGTCCTATAAATTTGGGGTGGACTATTAGTACAGAAAGACATAAACTAATTTGAGATTTCATCATGGGTTCAAATAAGTTTTTGTGGCCCACCCTGGAAAAAGCCACAAGTCTATCCCTGTTTCTAAAAGAAAATAAGTTGTTTAAGCTGTACTCACTGATATCTCTCCAGTATGTGTCACTTTTTGGTGGGGAAGTAGAGGTTCCTATCCTTCTGCAACAGATGACACAATAAGCAGCCAGGGACATTCTGTGTAAGCAGAACAATTACAACAAATTTAATTTAGCATCTAATTCAAAATTAACCACAAGAACATGTTACCATCACAGTGGATGACCCACAGAGTTAGCTTTTTCAAGATCACAAAAAAAACTTTCCAACTAAAAAAAATTTCTCAGTCAAGCGCAGTGGTTCACACCTATAATCCCAGCACTTTGGGAGGCCTAGGCAGGCAGATCACCTGAGGTCAGGAGTTCGAGACCAGACTGACCAACATGGAGAAATCCTGTCGTTGCTAAAAATACAAAATTAGCTGGGCGTGGTGGTGCACACCTGTAATCCTAACTACCTGGAAGGCTGAGGCAGGAGAATCACTTGAACCTGGGAGGCGGAGGTTGCAGTGAGCCAAGATCACACCACTGCACACTAGCCTGGGCAACAAGAGTGAGACTCCATCTCAAAAAAAAAAAAAAGTTTTTCTCCCTTAAAAACTTAAGAGAGAGGCAGAGGTTGCGGTGAGCCGAGATCCCGCCATTGCACTCCAGCCTGGGTAACAAGAGCGAAACTCTGTCTCGAAAAAAAAAACTTAAGAGAGACTTATTAAATAATATATTGTTAGTATTTTCATTACTCTTCCTCATACTATAACTAATTGTGCATAGTTTTCACAATTGGAATGATGATCTAAATATGATATAGTCAGTCCCAGAACACCAGAATTAACAGGTAACCAGAATTAGATTATTAATCAGAGTATCAATATAGGCAAGAAAAACATTTAATGTCCTTGAAAATATACATATGTTTATGTATTTATCTCTGATAACTGAAGGCCCTACAGAAATGAGCAGCTCTACGTGGACGGTACCCTTAGAATCCTTAGACACATTTAGCTTTTCTCTAGTTCCTTCAGGATAGTACCCACATTGATTAAAAATTTTGAAATTTGTTAATTGTTGGCATTCTATCAAAGGAGAGCTGACACCCAACTAATTAATCAACTGAGTGAAGACGATCTAAACATGATGCAATCATTCCCAGAACACAACTCAGTATTCTAGAACCACATCAGATTGTCTTTGGGTAGTAAGATTTTTGCTACAAGGGGAAGGAGGGAAGGTACCTTGAGGGTACTTCTCTCTTCTGTTTTGTTTTCTATTTCTGTTCTTGTTTTCTTCTTTGAGTGCGCCCTGTCCTTTTCCTAACTTCTTCAATAATGCCTAAGACAAGCAATTATTGTTCTTTCACAAATACATTTAGGACTATAAATTCTTTTTTTTTTTTTTTTTTTATTGCATTTTAGGTTTTGGGGTACATGTGATGAACATGCAAGATTGTTGCATAGGTACACACATGGCAGTGTGCTTTGCTGCCTTCTGTCACCTCACCTGTATCTGTCATTTCTCCCCATGCTATCTCTTCCCACCTCCCCACCCCCCCGCCCGCCCCTTATAATCCCAGCAGTGTGGGAGGCTAAGGCAGGCAGATCACTTGAGGTCAGGAGTTCAAGACCAGCCTAGCCAACTGGTGAAACCCTGACTCTACCAAAAGGAATCAGCCAGTTGTGGTGGTACCCACCTGTAGTCCCAGCTACTCAGAAGGCTGAAATGGGAGAATCACTTGAACCTGAAAGGTGGAGGTTGCAGTGAGCTGAGATCATGCCACTGTACTCCAGCCTGCCGTCTTCAGCAACAGTGAGACCCTGTTTCAAAAAAAAAAAAAAAAGACTATAAATTCTCGCTCTTAAATTCCACTGCAATTTTTCTCTAATCTGTGAACTGTTTAAGAGTGCGGCTTTTAGTCTGCCAATATATAACATTTTTAAAGATTATCTTTTTTTTTTTTTTTTTGAGACAGGGTGTGGCTCTGTCACCCAGGCCGGAGTGCAGTGGTGCAATCACCACTCACTGCAACCTCTGCCTCCCAGGCTCAAGCAATCCTCCCACCTCAGCCTATCAAGTAGCTGGGACTACAGGTGCCCACCACCACACCTGGCTAATTTTTTGTAGAGACAGGCTTTCACCATGTTGCCAAGGCTGGTCTTGAACTCCTGACCTCAAGTGATCCACCTGCCTTGGCCTCCCAAAGTGCTGGGATTACAGGCAAAGATTATATCTATTGTGCTATGTGATCCTTTAAAATTATAAAGACTCGCTTTGTTACCTGGTTCCAGTTAATATCTATAAATATATAATATAAGCTTATTATTTTGTTGTGAGCGCCATTATACCAGGCTTCTTAATTTTGTTTCTATAGTCTTGCTAATTTTTTTTCACAGCTCCAAATAGCCATTGAGTAGCCTTGCTAATTTTTGTCTGCATGATCTACCAGTATGAGAAGGGTTTTTTAAAAGTTTCATCCTGATTTGTATACTTGTCAATTTTCCCCTTTGGTTGTACATTACTTTTTTATTCATTAAGCAAATCCTTTTCTGAGTCCCTATGAACCAAGAACTGTTGTAGACGCTAGTGATTAAACAATGAAAAAAAAAATGCCCTTGCTTTCATGGATCTTACGCTCTAGTGCAGAACATCCCTATCAGTGTGGCAAACAAATACTACCCTTTTTAGGGGTCATGATGTGAAAAGATAGCCATTAGGTACCCACAGATTCATGATTATTAGAAACTTAGTACTTTCTTCCTTTTGTCATCACATCCTATCTTCCTTTATCTCTATTAATATTTATTAAGTTCTATTTCATATATTAATATATCCATGCCAGTTTTCTCTAAAGTATTTAACTATTTTACCTTTTTCCATCATGGTTATAATCTTTTAGTATCATTTATAATTTCAAAACCTCTCCTTTGATAGATGAATTTAATACATTTACATTTATCGTATGTCGGATAAATCATGATTTTATTACTCTTAAATTGGTTTAAAGTTATAACATTTATTTCTATTCCTTCAGTAAATAGCTACACTTCAAATGTGCTATATAAAGTATGAATTTAAACAATATAATTATCCTTCCAAATGAGAAAATTAAAATGCTTTAAATCCAATCTTCCCCTATCTTAGGCATTTTTGTCCAGTATTTTAATTCCATTTTATTTTTAAACAGCCCAAAAGAAGTCATTTTTTAAAGCAGTCAATCTAAATATTTACCAACATTTTGTCAATTTCTTCCCTTAGTTTTGTTTCTTGCATCCACAACTTCCTTCCAGGTTCAAATCATTCCTGATGAAGGTACATCCTTTGATAGTTTTCATGAAGGCATATATGTACTTAGCACTTGCACTCTCAGCATGTCTAAAAATGCTCAATTTTAGATATTCTAAAAAATAGTTGTGTTTGGGCCACATGTGACGGCTCATGCCCATAATCCCAGCAATTTGGGAGGCCAAGGTGGGCAGACTGCTTGAACCCAGGAGCTCTAGACCACCAGGAGTTCCAAGACCAGGAAAACCTCATCTCTCCAAAAAAATAAAAGATTAGCCAGGCCCATTGGCATGTACCTGCAGTCCCAGCTACCCAGGAGGCTGAGGCAAGGGAATTGCTCGAACCTGGGAGGCAGAGGTTGCAGTGAGCCGTGATAATGCACTACACTCTAGCCTGGGAGACAGAGTAAGACTCTGTCTCAGAAAATAATAGCTGGGTTTGGAATTCTCGGTTTAGAATTTAGAATAACCGATTTCCTTCATTACATTAATGATATTTTCACTGCTATTTTTTGTTGCTCAGGAGAAATCTAAGTCTAATTATTGTTTCTTTACAGGCAAAATAATAGCAAAGAAGTTTAAGAATGTGCTCTGTAGGACCATACTACCTGGTTTCAAATCCAGTTCCACCAGCAACTCATATTAGCCATTTTTTTTTTTTCTAATGATGCTTTGACATCTTAGGACCTTAAGAACCTAGAGAGTGACTGCCCCCTCTGGGATGGCTAACTGCTATAGGTAGCAAACAATTTGCCTGTGAGCATGCCTCTCAAACGCAAAGCAACCAATCCCAGGTGTACACCTCCAAGCACCACACACAGCTGATGATGCTTCCGTTACTCTGTATCTCCTCAGAGCCAGGAACTGGCCAACTACAGACCACCTACCTCTCTGGCCTGTCAAAATTATTCAAACTAACTCATCCTAAATTTGTTCAGCTTGTCTGCCCCGTCTCGCTCATTCCTTCCCACAAAAACCACAACAAAAGCAAGCTCTGGCCCATGCTTTCACATTGCTCATGTTCCTCCTGAATGACCCTGGTACTTCCCCATGTGGCCTTGTATGGTGTGGTGTGCCCATTATTCCTTGGCACCGGTACATAATAAACTCTTCTTTCTTTCTTTTCTTTTCTTTTTTTAGAGACAGGGTTTCGCCATGTTGGCCAGGCTGGTCTCAAACTCCTGACCTCAGGTAATCCGCCCGCCTCAGCCTCCCAAAGTGCTGGGGTTACAGGTGTGAGCCACAGTGCCCGGCCATAAACTCTTCTTTCAAAGCAGTTGTCTCTGTGTCTGTCTTCTTACCATACCTGATTAAAACAAAATCCAGGTATATTTTAAAACACTAGATATATGATAATGAGCTAGTTAATTAACCTGTGTCTCACTTTCCTCATCTATAAATGGCGATAATAAGGAAACTACTGTAAAGGATTGTTACAAATATTACATGAGTTAATATATGTAAAACACACAGTGCCTATTCCAAATTAAATGTTCAATAAATCTTACTTATCATTGGTATCAAAATTATATTTTATCTGGCAGTTTGAAGATCTTTGGTTTGTTTTTGATGTTCTTATAATTCTCTACTTTATGTCTATGTATGGGTTTGTTTTTATATACCCCACTCAAGATTTGGTATGCGCCTTCAATCTTAGAACTCACATTTTTCTTCGATTCTGCAATATTCTTAACAATTACCACTTTGACCCCCATTCAACTTTTACCTTCTGGTACTCATGTTAGATGTACGCTAGATTAAATATAACCTTCAAATCTCAACTTCTTCCATTTTTTTATATCTCTCTAACATGCATTACAGATTATTTCCCCAAATTTATCTTCCAATTAATTAATCCTCTATT